ATTTAACAACTAACAAGTCAAATTAATTCCAAATTTGTGTGTAATTTAAACAGTTTCCAATAGAAAAGATAGAATTGTTTTCTTTATTTCACTTTTCGAAGCAAAGTTTTAGGGATTTAGGTCGGGAAAATTAGACCGAAGGTATATTATCTAGAATGTACCTATAACTTTTACAATTTTGCCCTTTGAGGCCCAAATTTGGGTTTCCAAACCATAATATGTAAGGTTTTATTTTATGCTCTGAATTTTCTTTGTATGTTATAAATGCGTAAACAACACACGGTTAGTAATATTTTCTTTTGCGTTTTATTTACCTTAAATTCGTATCGGTATGAAAAAACATATGAGTAATAATAATACACATAAAAAAGCTCCTTAATGGTAGATGTAATCAGATTTTTTGTACTATTAAATGCGTTAGTATATAAAAGGCCTTGGAGTTTTATTATATTAAACATATTCGATATAGACACAAATGTGTTGTATAAACCTTTGGGTAGAATTTACAGAAATGAGAAAATTGTAAATATATTTATAATATATTATTATTTATATAATATCAAAAAAAAAACCATAAATTATCATGAATACATATATTTTTTGTATTGTATTGTATTTTTTTTTATCTATATTCCTACAATTGGTCTTAGAACACCTAAAATTGTCTACATCCGGTCATAAATTATATAACTATGATTATTTTTACATTCAAAATTTAAAACCTTTATCATTACTTGTCTAAATAATTGTATATTCACTATCTTAAACGGGTAAACGTATTGAAAACGCGTTTTAAGTTCTATTATTTATTTAAAATAAGAAGAACACTTGTTTTGATTTATAGTTTTGTATGCTTGTTCAAACAGTTACAGTCATATACCAATGTCCTGAATAAGAAAATATTCGAAAACAAAAACAACATCTTTTATCATCGACCTAGTTAAATTATTTGAAGTCTCCAACGTTAAAATGATATTGATAATTATTATATTCTGGGTCCAATAATTTTTTACTTGAGTAATTTGAATTGTAGGACTATTGTCAGTATTCCGAATTTAGTTTTATAAATGTATAGAAAAAAATTGTATTTTAAAACTAACAGAATACATTCCATCATCTCTTATGGAATATTTTAAAATTAATATAAATATTTGGATAATAATGTGGATAACTTAATTTTTTATTATAAATAAATCCTTTCGCCGACGAGTATACAATTTATAACATCTTAGATCAATATTAACATTTTTTATCTGGAATTTCGATGAAATTTATTGTTTACACTTGCAATTTTTTTGTTGTAATATTTCTGGCCGACTCCTTCTCAAACATTAGCTTAAATGAGTCAGTAGATTGATAGAAAAAGGAATTTTGAAAAAAAAAACAAGCAATCAGAAATAAACGAACTATCATCAGGCATCATATATTTCGAGTTAAGGCCTTAAGTCTTAACAACATACCATATAAAAAAAAATGTTATAATTTATTTGTGTGCATTATAAATTCATTATATAATATGTTTTTAAATAATTACCAAGGCCTAACCTAATTAAATTTGTTTGTATTATACATATATTAAGAATTGTACAGACACCTAATTGTTATTGCCTATTTTCCAAATTTTATAAAAAAAAATATTTTCCCAAGTTTTATACAGAAAAAATAAATCGTTTCTTTTAAACACAAAATAAAATTATATTATCATTATTATTATTGACCATAATCAGGCTGACACTATTTAGCTACTACAACGGCTACCTGAAATACAGATTTTTTTTTTTTTTTTAGATGTACTCGAAGAACATTAGGTATGTGAATTAGACCGAGGGTAGATCTAAAATAGCGCTAACACATAAACAAAAAATAAAAATGAAAAAATTATTACACTTTGACCGTAGTAAAATTCTACCTAAAATTTCAAAAATATTGGACGTGTTCAAAATTCTGTGGCGCTAAACCCCTTCAGCCCCCTTCCCGTCCTAAGACTATGTGCGTAGAAGACTATAGTTGTTATCCGTTTTGGTAATAATATTTAAGCTTTCACGAAAACAACTATGAAAATATGCTGCCGAATCGTGTGAACACTATTTGTTTTTAATGTTTGTCTTTGCAATTTTGGTGAAAAATATGATATGTATTGTGATGGTGTTCTTCAACTACTGCATCAGTTGTGCGACGGAATTCACATTGGTAGTACTTGAAGTATTAAAAAAAACTATAAGATTTTCAGATGGATCGCCGTGGCTGTTTACTATTGTCGACGACATTGCTGTTTTGCTTTTATACCCTGAACTCGGTAAACGCGGCGTTCGAACCGGTTTGCAAAGGGCGATCGCTTGGGGAAGATTACAATAAGTTTTTGGTACACTTGAAACTGGGATACGACAATCCCGATCCAAGCACCAGCCAGGATCTAGCCAGCACAAAGAAACAGATCCAGTTAAATACACGGTGCGGAATACAAACAATATGTCTGTCGATCATGCGAGTAACGGCGCTGGATACCTCCAACCGGTTTAGGTTCGAAAAGTTCGAAGAAATTTCAAAAGACGCTTTGGTGATACTCTACAACATGAACGCCAACTACGACCGCCGGATCCTGTATCCGGTGTGGCTGTTTTCTTTGTACGTTAAAAATTTTGGCTTATATGGTAAAAAATTTAACGACGGACAAATGAAATGTGTGGAAGAAATGATCATCAAACAACTGTCAGAGTCCATGCAGGACTGTCCGGGTGACAACGAATTCTCCTTGACCGATCACAGTAGCTCTGAGATGCTTCAACTTTTTCCAGGCAAGATTAAAAAACGCTTGCGCCTAATTCGTTGGAATCTGCGGCTTGTCACCACAGCAAACAAATCCTACGAACAGATCGATGTCGACAACTTGCTCTTTAGTTATAAAAACCTATACGAGGTCGCTTATAATTTTGATAGGTTCATGAATGCATTTGGCCGCTACGGCGAAATTTGGGGCGACGTGTCAAGGGAGTTTTCGAATGCGTACCACAAGGCCACGGATCCTACGAACCTGTACACCGCGTTGGAAGGCATAAAACGGTATCAGTCGGTGGTCTTGACTCTGTTGAAAATGGTCGTATTGCGAATGGTACACATTCACTTGTTGCTTGCCGTCGCCGACGGAAACAGACAGGAAGTGAACGCTGCAATGCACGAGACGGTCACCTCTTTTGTCGACATAACCGGATTGCAAGACGACCAGACCTTTGCGGAGACTTTGAATTTCTTGCAAGTCCAAAGTCCCCAGCAGGCGACTTACGATGCACTTAAGAAACGTATCCTATTAAATATGAGGAAATTTCTTTGAAGTTTCCGGGCTGCAAAGTCTGGCAGATAGTCGAAAAAAACATTCCGCAAATCTTGACCGAGGCATACATGTTGGAAAACTTCCCGACCGTTTTAAAGAAAAATCATGGTTCGGCTGTAATTTTCGTCCAACAAGTCAAAGAATGGATGGGTAACGCCGACCTAGATTTCATCAAGTCGGTTTTGGCGTTGTCGTATCCAATCCCTGGGAATTTCCCAGACCAAAATTTACCTCCTTTTTTTGTCGATAACACCACATATTATGATGAATAAAATATTATGCTTCATAATTAATATATTGAAATATTACTAAACAATTTTCTGTATAATCATTTATTACATATTTTGTACCAAATCTTTTTTTCATCGAGTACACCAATGAGAACCGAAAGGGCCAAATTATACATACAAATTAAATCACTTTCCAAGGTTTGTGCTCAATGCCAATATTTTATCTATGGTGACTGAATTTTAGTAATTGTTTTTAACATTCAAGTAAATCAAATGTCGTTTATTTAGCCGGCCCATTAAGTCCTCAGAAACGGTTTTTATAGTAGTCGTCTTTACATATAAGTACAAAAAACAACATGTGGCTAGAAAATATATACCTGTGTTATCTTATTTTACAAGAACAAAATATTATCCGCCATCGTCAAGTACAAGGTAACTCAAAAGGTAAGTAAATGTATAATATAGTAATATTATACAGTGATAGTTATATTCAATGTACTCATGAAAAAATTCATAAATAAATATTTTCTAGATGATACAAGGTAATGTAAGGCACTCTTTTCAAATCATAAAAAATATGATATTTAAATAATTTCATTGATCATTTTTGGAATTATTGTAATTCATACCACCAGAGTTGTTATATTGATATCAATAAATATAAAATTCCTAATCTACATAATAGACATAAAAATTAAATTTTTTTAATAACTAAAAAAAAAACACATTTTGTTTATCCTAGTGTTACAATATAGTGTTTTGTCATATGGGTACAGTTCTTTGTTTCATACAGTAAAATACATTATATGAATTACCTATTATTTTCGTTCTAATGCAAAAATGGTATACGAATTTGATTATACGTTGAGATATTATATTATTTTTGTGCATACGTTTTGAGCTTTATGGAAAACACATGCAAGATATAGTTAGTAGTTTGTTCTTAAATTAATTATTATATTTATACAGGGTGATATTTTACTTAAAAGTAATTGTTCAATAAGGTTTCTATGTTATTCTTTAAACAAAATTTCCTCTTTCTTAGACATAAGTCAATATATTATGTTTTAAACTAATATTGGATATTAAGCTTAGTAAATTTCTTTAAGTATTAAGTAGGTACTGTACATTATTTTATTATTTTTATTGACCAGATCTTTAATTTACAGCATTAAAATACTAAGTTAGATAATACTATGTAACTTTAAGTTAAAAAACTTAAATGTTTTATCGACGTGTACGCAATACGGTAATTTGTACAAATATTTTTAAATCTAAATTTTCCTGTGGCCTGTGGAAATCAACTCAAATTTTGTACAAGCATAAGAGTATACACTCTTTTAAAGTAAATTATGTATTACGCATAATATGTAATAGACTAACAATATATTAGTGCCATGTAAAAAAATTGATTTGCAAATTGTGTTTGGATGAAATGTTCCATACAAATGTTATTTATTGCATGTTTATATAATTAATATAACCAACTAAAAGAGATTATTATTTACATATATACAATACATTGTTTTGTAAATTACACCGTATTTAATACTAATAACATAGTATATTTAAGTTTATAATTTTCAGTCTTCTCTTAATACTAATAATTCTTCATGTGTAATATGTATTCTTAACTGTTTCTCCACTAATATATCACAAATGTTAGTTAATTCTTCTGGTAAATAAAATGCTGCTTCCAAATATATAAACTGCAAAATTATTGTACTTGTAAAACTTGATATTTTACTAAACTATATAAATGCTTTAATAATTTATTATGAATACCTTATGCCACGGGCAATTTTCAACAGCTTCGTAGAAATATTTTTTATAATCTAAAGGTGCATTTTCAGCGATATACTGTAAGAAAAGTCTCCAAAACATTGGACACTTTTTTATTTCCTTTATATTACAAAGATTTCGTATAAAAAAATCAAACAAATGGTGCATGTTCTTAAATAAATCAATATCATTCCCAGCTCCTTAATACGTAAAATAACACATGAAATATTTTATGTTTACTCTCATTTGCACTTTTTTAACATCAACTCACCATATTGGCACATCGAAGATTGATAATTAGTTACATTTTTTTTAGCCAATTCACTGGACATTCGTAAACGTTCTCTACCTACTAAAATTAACATCAATCTAACTGCATCCGTATTTTCAGCAACATCATGATCGATGTAAACATTTTCTATTTGCCATAAGGGTGTTCCAAACCCACCAGTTTTTACCTACAAATAATAACTTAATGAAATGAAATGCATTGTCATTTGCCAATTTAACATTGTATAAGATGTAACACCCTAACAACTCTAGACATAGTTATTTTTTCTTCAACTTAAAAAATAAACACAAATCTGGAAAAACCAAGCCATTTCTAAGTATTTTAACAGTAGAGTATCTTACTTCATTCCACACCATTGAAAATAAAAATTGCATATTCTGAGGATATTTTGATATGGCATAACGCAAATGTTTTCTAAGATCTTTATGACCAGTTTTTGATTTGTTGCAATGATGGTTTAAAATAATAACTAATGTTTCATTAAGAATTTCTTCAGCCGCACTAAAATAGAAATTTATATAATTTTTTTTTTATATTATACGAATTATGTGAATAAAAATTATTACTGTTGTGTTTGAAATGTATTCATTTTGATTATGTCCCCAATTCTATCGACTACTCTTTTCAGCATTACCACAGCTGATCGTACATTTTGAGTCAAGTACAAAAACCAAGAATGACATACAACCCATTCAATGAAAAATTGTGGTAAATAGTTGTACTCTAAATTGCTGTGTGAAAATTGGTCATGATCATCAAGACAACGTTCTGTTACATTGTTAAATGTACTATTTGCTTGTTCCAAATCATTCAAACTGCCATTTCCTGGTAACACGCCAGTAGCAAGAGCTAGTAATATCTTTATAGCTTTATCACTAAAAAATTCAATAAGCAATAACTCAATTATGACTTTTTATTGAACTGTCAACATAATTATTTGACAATGTTATGTACAAATTAATGTAAAAATTCACTAATGTACCTGTTATCAGACTGAATCATTATTTCAGTTATGTTTTTATAAATAGCAGTGAAAGAGGCTCGGTAAGTATAATTTTCATAAATTGGTTTGTTATCTAACAATACTGGTTGAGCATCAACTAGTTTTTGCAATATTTTCAAGGCATCATCAATTTTTCCCACTTGACTTTTAAGTAATGCAAACTCTATGAATAAAGGAATATTATTTCTAAAAAAAAAAAAAAACAAATTAATACTTTACACGTAATTCGAACTTTTAATGTTATTGTTGGTTAATTTTACCTGTATTGCGGTTTTTGAAGTAAACACTTTACCTCTGAAACCAAATGACTATTATCGGTACTGGATTTTATTACTATCCGGTACCTTTCAAATCTCAACCACCACACTAAAAACATATTTGCTTCTGTAGTGTAGTCCATGGCATATAAACAATCCGTTATGTGTCTTAAAATTGACGTGATAAGACTAAAATATGTTTTGCTGGAAGTGGATTCATTGTCATAATAATGAGGTGGCATAGCAGCCTTCAGCATCACCAAAAGCACATTACTTACTCTATCACTACTGTAGTTACCTTAAAAAAAAAAAAAATAACAATATTAATTAACTGTTTCATAAAAAGAGAATACACAAAATAAATTAAATAATATATACTAACAGTTCTGAAAATGATGAGCCATAAAAACACTACTAAGTACAGTTTCGAGGCTGTCTAAATTGAAATGGCAATTGTCGATGCCCAATTGACGGAAAACAAAATTACGAGATGGCAAAATAGGTATTTTCAATAAAATACAACAAGCAAAAACCAAATTCGTAATTATGGAACGATGCATTGTTATGGGTTGTACTAATTCTGACACGTCCTCGGGTAAAACGACTCTCTGGGGATCATCTGCTGTATCAGCCATGTGTTTTGGAAGTGGCATCCAATGATCAACAGTTCTTAATGTTTCTACTTGGTACCATGCTTTATGTACAGGCATTGATTTAAGTTCTTCGCTAAACACTGTAAAGTAATTTATTTTATTTAGATTTCAAAATTAAAAATAAAGAAATAAATATTACTTAAGAAATACTACTTATTAACAATAAAGCGCAACTGACAATTATATTTATACTGTATACATATTTTTTTTTATAAAAATAAAGACGAGTAATTTTTGATTTCTTACAAATGTCATCTGTAGACTCTGTATAAAACTTTTCCATGAGATTACCATCAAAATGTTTGATGCTAACAGTTAAATACATATTTATCAAAGTCAATAGCTGTTCATAGTGTCCTGCTTGTCTCAAAAATAAGCCACATTTTACAAACAATTCTGTAAAAAAGTTGAAGAATTGAATTATAATTAAATTGAATCTAAATGATTTAATTAATTTTAAATACTAGTCACTAGAACTAATATTATACATTTCAACAGCTAATGGACCATCAGAAGTATATGTCACAAGATATAATTCGAAAGCCTGCATTTGGTAATGGACAAGGTGGAAAAATCAAAAAACATAAATTATCAAACAGCAAAGAAGGCATTAAAAAGTAAAAAATAAATATTTTACAATAAAACTCAAGTTTATGATAATTACATCTGATATCCTGTCAGCCATTAATTGTTACCGTTTCTTTTTTTTTTTTAATAACAAATTTCTAACCAATAGTTTGTTTTTCAATTTCCAATTTTTGTTCAATCGGTAAACCATGTTTTATTTTACTGATGGCAAGCATTGCATCTGAATAACTTTTCAACACATCAAAGGTATTGCAATCAGATAATGAACTTTGAATGGCGTTTATATAATAATTCCATAACACTGTGTTTGCCGATCTACAATTTTTTAACTCTTTTAACAGTTCTTCTTTAAGCTGAAATTTCAAGTACATAAATTAAAACTATGTAATCAAAGTTAAATAATAAGAATACATTGTATGCGTTTTGGCAGCACTCTTTGGACCCATAACCTTCCGTTAGTGGCACAAGTTTTGGTCACACTTAAAGTGTGTATGGCGTACAGTTCTTACCTGAATCACAGTGTGACTGCATTCCGTTTGACCATTAGAGTGACTAACGGAGGTTAAACTGTACATTAATATGGGATCCATTCATTATCTAACCAGATTACTATAAAAGTATATGCCACTAGTTATGTATGTAATTTATAAATCAGAAATAAAACATACTTGATCTGTTGTTAACAATTCTGAAGCAATTGTCCATCTTTTATTTAAAAGTATCTCAGAGTCTGGATTCAAAGAAATGGCTTTATCCAGAATTGCAAGTTTTTTTTCCATAATACTATTTCTATTTGCAATAGCCTTGTAGCCATAATCCCTACTGAAATTATGTGAACTATCCTGTAAATACATAATTTAAATTAAAAATGTAAATATATATACTGTATATTACGTAGTATACCTGGAAATTAATAAAATTGACCCATAAGTTTATGTCATGAGGATGTTCCGATAGTTTTTTATTATAATCAGCAGTATTTGGTGTTGTACTATTTTCACATTTAATAGAGCTTGATTCAATTTTTCTCAAAGCTTCTTCATCAACTTGTTTGGTGTTGATTAACATCAGTTTGTTCATTTTTAAATCATCATCACAAGCATGACTTTCCAGACAAGTATCTCCATAGTATTTTTCTTTGTAACTATAATATCGTTTGTATTTTTTCTGCTTAGACGATGTATACACCCATCCATGGTGATCTAAGTATTTATACTTAGTAAAATGAAACCTTAAAACAAGTAACGATTAGAAAAATATACTAATAATTTAATAGTATTTAATTATGTTAACTGAAATGTAAATTAATATTAAAACTTGTGTAAAGCAGTGAAATTTTGGAAAGATGAATACTGATAACAGATTGTCCAGATCCACATTAAAAATCGGGTGCCTAATATCAACCATTCATGTAGTCAATTTGTAACTAAAAATGTAAAACCAAATACTTACATAGGAGCAGCTGGTCTATAGAGTTTATCAACTTTTAAATTTCCTAACTCTGGTTTTCGATCAAATGAAACAAAATCACACTCGGCTACTATGTGCTGCGCAAGTTCTCTAAAAATGTCAACACATTTGTTAAGTGCTACAATTTTGAAAAATAATTCACGTTCATTAAATACTTGGTTCTTATAAATTTAGAAATATTTTTTTTTTCTTTTTTCTTCTTCTTTTTTCCGTGTCTTTTTTTGTATAATTTATACAAATGTTCAACATTTGTATCTTCGCTTTCTTTTTTTTCATCATCAATTCTTTTATTTACTAGTTTTGTCGCTTCAGGTTCGAAACTTGAATTAGTTAGCCATTTGGAGGGTGTTGCAACATCTTCATCATTTTCTATAATAATAATAAAATAATATTATAAAATTGTTCACATCAACCATTACAAAAACTCGTTTTAATAAGTTCAAAATGTACAAGGTGCCTGCATACGTTATCCGTAAAATGTATCATCTGTCATCAAGAATACTTACTTTCCAAGTCTACATTAGATTTACTTGCACTACTATCCAGGTATGCAGGAAACAGAGACATTATTATTCTCTAAACTAACAAGTAAAATTTAACTGAAATCGGAAATTCAGGTTTTTCCTAAGCAATAATTAATAACAAATAGATTAGGGTATTGATTTTATTTAACTTTATAGTTTACACATTCAGAATTTCGTTTCAATAGCCTAGGTATATACGAATTTATTAACATTTCAACAACTCAAGTCACAACAAAAATCTTGAAACGTTATAGCGCGCTAACTCGTGATAACACTATGATAATAATTGTGTTATTAATATCTCATGGGTCTGCTACCACTTTTCCCAAATTGCATAAATCCCAATATCTACTTTCCCATAGAACAAATTATGGAACATAATTATTAATTCCATTTTTAGCTTGTGGAAAGTCAATTAATGACAACTATATAGATTATAGACGGTTATTAAATATATTTGAACTTATGTCATCTATCCATAGTTATGCCTATGGGAAAAATGGCTTGGTGTGTAATCGTGTTTACTTATAACTGCCAATCCCAATTTAGTAAATTATAACGTTGGGTAAACTGACTTTTATAAAGTTACCTGTTTATTCCAAATTTCGCAATTACGGATAATTTCACGGCTAATTCTACAAGAAAGAAGTTTGTGGAAAAAATGATACAGTGGATCAGCTATTTCTTTGGATTTTCTCTAAATGTGTGAACATTAAAACTGGTTTAATAGAAAGTATAATTTTTCCTTTGGTATTTATTCTATATATTTCCCATGGGGTACAGAACAAGACACTATAACATATCGTTAAAGCAAGAATAAAAGTTGGTATAGTTTATGGCAAAAAAAGACCGCTAAAGCATGGACATTATATATTTACTAGAACATAGCAAAACATTTTTCCCTGGCATTACAATTGCATTAGACATTTTTCTATCTTTACCAGCCGCAAGTCGTACAGGCTACAGCCGAAAGGTCTTTTAGTACTTTACGAAGAGTTAAAACTTGGCTTCGGTCTACGACGGGTGAAGACCAATTAAATGGTGTATGTCATCAACATTTTCATCATTCAGTTTTAAAATATAAACCTCCATATTATTGTAGTAGAAGTTTTGAATGAGACCAAATTTGAAGGTTTCTCAGGACTCTAAGTATTTTTTATGATTTTTTTTTTCTAAGTCCCAAATATATGGGGTATTCTATTATGTGTACTATATTTGTTATCATAGTTTAAGTGTCCTCCCCCACATGAAACCCCTTCCGCCTTAATAGAGAGTATCTAAGGGTCTAAATATTTTAGGTTTTTTTTTTTTAATTACTAATTACTAAAAATAATAAGTATTTTCTAATCGTATTGCAATGGCAATACAGTAGGTATGTTTTTTAAAGGTTTTTTTAGCATTTTGGGAACCCCTGGCTGCTCTTATCATATTTTGCTAGCGGAACTCACGTAGATATTTTGCTATTCGTTAGCCGGAATTCGGAAGTATTATTTTTATTTTTATTATTATTATTCGTATAGTTTAAATAATATTAAATTGTCATATTACATTTATATTTAATGATGACTGGCAACAAATGTCAATTTTATAATTGCGGTAAAACTAGACGTAATTACCCTGATTTACATTTGTTTCGTTTTCCAAAAGATGAAAGGTGTGAAATTTGGGTTGAAAATTCAGGTAAATAAATATTTACTTTTAAAAACGTTTAACTATAAATTAAATATGCAATACAATATACATTTTTATTATAATCCTTTCATTCTAATTAAATAAGACATATATATACAAGTTTATATGGTAGTATTGTTATCATCTCTATCTAATAGTTGTATTATTTATTAACGAAAAATTAATTACATGTGTATCATAGGTTGAAGCATAAAACAATTAATAAAAAAACACTATACCTATTTACAAACACAGATCTTAAATTTTGTTTAATTCTATTATAATGTAAATATTTAAAATTTTAGAATGTTAGCGAAATCTACATTATATGCTTTTAATCACTTATGATTTTTAAACATTTCCTAGGAAATACGAGTCTATTATCTCTCACCAAAGAAAAATTATATTCACGATACATTTGCCAGGAACATTTTGCACCTGAAAGTTTTATGAATTCTTTTCAAAAGAGATTAACACATGCTGCTCTTCCTTGTAAATACGTGTCTTCAGAACTACCATCTACGTCTTCAAGTATGTATTGTTTTATTTATTAATCCTATGTTTTCCCACAAACTTATGGAAATAATCACAGTTCAGCTTCCATTTGAAAATGATAATATATTATTTTGGTGATCACATTAATTAAAAAAATCCTTTAGACCTAAAAAAGCCATAATTGGTGTTTACAGTAAATCTATATATACTTTTATAGTTATTAGTTAGGGACAAATTAAATATATTTTTTAAAAAATATAACCCCATCCCCATCCTTATATGTTAAAAGCGTGTTAATTCAAGTTTTTTAAATGGTAAAACATATATATTTGGTAAACTTTTTAAATTAAGAACAATTTGCTGAAAATTTTGACTGGTCAATAACCAGTTTTGGATAAGTATTTTATCCGAACTAATAACTATAAAAGTATAAAAAAAATAATTTAAAAAAGACTAATACCTTCAAAGTTAATTGACTGGACATAGTTAACCAATGACACAGTATATCAAGCGATATAATGTAACACTTTTTTTAGATATTATTATTTTATTATAATATAAATACTAAACTTTATTTGGTAAATTTTTCAGTAATTTTTTAAATTAATTATGTTAATATATTTGTATAGGTGTTAACAATGATATCAAACAAAATGACCTTAAGCAAGATTGTGTTACGGTAGTATCTCTAACTAATACAAATATACACTGTACGTCTGAAACTAAAGAATTAAGTTCTCCAAGCTCTTCCTCAAATAATTGCACTTCTCAAGAATCTCAATTATCAGAAAAGCCCGGCTCAAATTTAAATGAAAAAAATTCTCTCAAAGTGTCAAAATTAAAAGAAAAATTAAAAGTAAAAAGCAAATTACTTCGTAATAAACTATCTCATATTTCAAAATTAAAAAAAAAAATTACCAGTTTAAAGGTGAAAAGTAATTTTAAAAACTTACTACTCACACATCAATTTCCATCTGTCAATTCGAAAGCTTTGGTAACAATGCAGCTGAAGAGAAGAGGTGACCCTTGGACTTTAAACGAAAAAAATTTGGCTTTAAGCATATTTCGTAAATCTCAAAGTACTTATAGATTTTTACATTCCCTTAAAATTAATTTACCAGGGATATCAACGATTCGTCGTTGGATCGGGCAACCAAAGTTATTAACTAGTCCAAGTAAATTAAATACTTGTTCAATTCCAAATGATATCAAGTCGATAGAATAAAAATACAAAGCAAACAATTTTTAATTAATGGCATGTAAAAGATTTAGTTTATATAAGTCTTGTTTTAAATAATTTGACTTCGTTGAAGGGTTTAAAAACTTGAGAGATATTAGAACAAAACTATTATTAATAATTGGTCCTTCATTTTAATTAAAAATTTTTTATTCGATTCATACTAAAAAAAAATTTGATGTCTTCAAATTAATAAGCATATAGTTACACACTTCGAGATAAAGGTTTTTTTTTTTTATTTCCAAAAAAAAATGTTAAGTATTATTAATGTTAAGGTTTCCTCGTTTATAATTTAAGCTAATTATAGTTTACACTAGTCAGTACTATTAATTTCAAGTAGAAATACTTAATTTTATTTCAATCCAATATTTCAATGTATAATTGAGTAAAACATTGCATTTTTTTATTGCAATTGAATCAATATAATATAGTTAATACACTTAAGACTTTAAACGTAAACATGTATAGATTTTGTTCTCTGTTAAATATTGTTAATGTTTTTTTTTCCAATTTAATAAACACTTTATGTTGATAAACATAGAAAAGTAATTGATGGTTTTGTATCAACGATATAATCTGCGTATCCAGATGCCTTCAGTTTCAGCTGACATGGATGATATGAACGCTGCAGGAGACAAGGACATGAAGATTTCTTACAACGAACTAATCGATTGTCTGGAAATTCAGCTATTGCAGCAGTCCCTGTTCCATTCATTCTTCAGCGTATCCAGATCTCTTCAGGTTCAGCTGGCGTAGACGATATGAATGCTGCAGGGGACATGGAAATTGATTGGTCGTTGTAAGAAATCAACATTTCCATGTCTCCTATAGGGTTCATGTTATGAAAAATATATTATTTCCCACAGCAATCTAATCGATTGCCTGGAAATTAAGCCATTGTGATAGTCCCTTCTCCATCCACTGATATGCGTATCTAAATCTCTTCGGGTTCAGCCAACGTGGACGATATGAACGCTGTGCAGGAGGCAAGGAGATAATAATGTACAGGCATATATTACATAAATATCAAAAAACCTATCAAATGTATGAACAAAAATAATTATTTTTTTCTAAATTGTACCTTCATGATTATTAAATGACTTTTGATGGTGCTTGGGAAAAACAACGTAAAACATTTGTGAAAATGAGTTAGTGTCATATCTAGCTCTAGAAAAACTGTACGGGTTTTTCGTAAAAGCAATCAAGTCGTAGAACGGTTTTATCAGCGGTTTAAAATTAGTGAATTTTTATTTTAGACTTTGACAGTTTTTCCTGAACACCATCAAATTATACGTGTAAAATAATGTTGGTAATCGATGTACTCATTTTGCAGCAGGTGACTTACGTCAGAGTTGGCAATTATTACTATAATTTGTTTTTGAAAAAAAATATTGTGTGAAACCCATTGAATTTGTTTTGCATAAAACCAATATTGTTGGGTTAATACTAAACATTTAAACAAATGTTTGCGGCTTAAACGAAAAAAACTCTGGATTATTTGTTTGTTTTTTTTTTTTTTGTTAATTGACTTAAATATGGTATTAATGGTATATTGTACATTTGAATTTTGATAGCATATTTTCAAGGCGTCTCATGACTCGGATATACATTATAAATAATAAATGTCTAAAAGCTCCCTTCATTGTATTTAAAAATAAAGAAGTGGCGAAATTAGTGGTTTGAAAAATATTTATGTTTATTTACAATCTATTGTACCAGTCTATTTTTCTTAGTCTTAATAATCATTGTTGGACTTTGAATTTGTAAGAGTAAATAAATTGTATGTAAAAAAAAAAACGACTAATATTACAATAAAACACATTTTAACAGAAAATAAAATATATATTCAAATGATAATAATATAAAGAGGTACACCTACATGAACACATTCTCATAAGTTATATGAGCTGAGCAACTTTTGGCTATGCATGACGGCATATTACATAATATTATTTTAATTATATTGTTACAACTTATAGGTAGATATATTATCATATTGTAATAACGTTTTTAAGTACGACACAAATTGGAACTATAATGTGGTAAAAATTCTTGCTCCACACGACGGCGAGACCACGTAAAATTTTGGGTTTTGTGTGTATTCCGTGCTGATGGTCTCGACAACAGTGTTTACCGCAGTCCGGTTCACCTGGAATGTGATCAAGCTGTTTAGAAACTAAATCAATTAAAAAAAAATGCAAAACAATATTATTCCAACCAGTGTGACTGTGCATCCGCCGAAACCTCCTCCGGTCATCCGAGAACCAAGGACACCGGGCACTTTTCTGGCTAACTCGACCAGTTGGTCTAATTCTGGACAAGACACTTCGAAATCATCCCTACGGATATAAAATTTCAATATTTTAGTCTTATCTCATGGTAGTAATTTATCGACAATAAAGTATTATGTAGATGTAATGCTCGTACAACTGTAAGAGTTCAACTGTTTTTTTTTATATTAGGTATGTGAAAAACAAAAATTGCAAAATATTAGCTTTTTTAATCAATATTATTATAAGAACGGCAACCACATTATTTTACATTATTACTCACCGTGCTAACTGGCTGGTTTTTAATTAATTAAGTCTATTATATTTTGCTATCGGTGGGGATATAAAATGTACGCAAGGGGGATCTAGTTGGTTCTGTTGATCTTTTGTATTGTGACTGGCTTTGACCGACCTTATAAGTAAGACTATTTTGATACAATATACTTTAACGAATGACAATGTACCGAAGCAGTCCAAAAAAATAAACACACACTCGGCGGTGTCGTAAATAAAAGATTTCCATCACTTAAACAATAAGAATCATATTGCAAAATATAATACCTAATTAACATTTACATTTACACGTACCTATGTTAATACGGTAAACTTGTATCGATATAGCTGTTGCCGATATTATTATAATAATCAGTTAAGTGAAAGGAAAATATTTTTTATTACAAGTATACGACCGTCTAATTGTTTCTATAGTGTAATTTTCGGATCAAGTAAAATACGTATCAAAACAGGCTCATTTCATTCAAATATTAATAATTAAGTTCCGGAATAAACATTTGTGTGGAGAACTATACAAGCTATTTTACATTGTGAGCGTTTGCTTAAATTTAATGGAATTTAAAACAAAAATAGATTTTAAACAAATTATCTACACGCTTGTTGTGTTATTTTAATGTTATCTGGAAAAAAAAGCGTACTACATCACACTAAACGTTTTTCAATGTCACAAACAATAAATATACACCGTACTACGTTTTGTTTGTGTAACACCTATATATGTTTATAGTTTTGATGAATATGAAGTGTCATTTATAAGCACGTGAGACGTGGGTGCTATTGTGATTTCTTAACTGAAATGGCCATGAAACGGTATATTATGATGTTATCGACGTTATTCAAGTACGACACTAGAACACAAACCAAAAAATTATGCACAACAACAGCGTGAAATCTTCGTGCCAGCCTATAGCAATTAAATCGCCCAAATTAATCTGCTAAGTTAGGCGACGGGGGACACTTGTTCAATTACTCATTAGTCATTGACTATGTACATATCATGTTATGTGCAATATTATTATCTGTCTACGCAGCGATCCTGTTGGCGGGTACCACCTATAATTATTGTATTAACGACACGTTTTACTATATTATAACATATTTTTTTTTAAATCGATTGAATCGAGGAACAAAATAGGTATAATATCTGGTTCCTCGTCAAAACTACTTATACGTGCAATTGTCTTAAACATCACATTGTCTAGGCGCAAGCGTAAATTATACAAATACAATAATTAAAAAGATTAGTTCAAACACTACATACAGATAACAATAATCGAGCAACACCTAGATATTGTTGCATAAATTTATGCTGTTTGTCAAGCTGTACATTTTTTTATGTAAAAGTACCTCTTGTTTTGACAGGCAGGGGTTTTCAATATGTCATTTACCCAGTCAGTAGCGAAGTTAAAGCCATTTGAAAATAGACCTCTTAATAAGTTATCTTATAGTTGTTTTGCGGATCTACCTTAAAATACTGATATCATACCATATTATGTACCTATTCAATGAACGGTAAATATTATCTCCCCGCTGATATAAGCCAGTTAACCAGTAGACAAACTACACTTTTGAGTGCGTACACAATGATTGAGTTAATTTAATAGATATACAACATCTGCAGTATGCACGTGTTTAACATTTTTTTAATTTTCTATAAAATATAAAGTCCATTAAAAGGTTTATAATAGCAAGTCTAATATTTTATAAATACATAATAAAAATATATAGAAATATATTATTCAACGATCAAAGCCTTCTCTGCTTTGCATTGAAACTAAAATACATGACAACTCCGAATCGAATGTTAATAAGCAGCTATACCGATTATTATACATTTAAAGAAAATGAGCCCAGTAACTAACTGCTAATAACTGTATCATGCTATGTACAATTAAGTACACTTATTGTACATGGCACAGTACACGAATAAACACATTACCTTAGCGAATTGTGACTATCGTTCATGAGTTCACCAAACATTTTGTAATTGCCTCGTGCTAATGCGTCAGCTGCAGATTTTGTGCGTTCAATTTCTGTAATTACATGTCTCGCCCGTTTGTAAATGATTTGATTTATTTTACCTTCGAAATGCACCCCTAAAAAAAAAAAAATATTATAATATAATATAAAACTATACACCCTGCACAAACTGCGCGTATTAGTATAATCATTTGCATGTCCTACGGTTAAGATTATCCATTGTAGCTAATCTGAGACTTGGGACGTTTAACAAATCACTTGCTTCTTCGCATTGATATCGTCTCAGTTGATATTGGCCATTCGATAATTCGTGATGAATGTTTGAGTTAGTTATCAAAAATACATATGTGTTTTCAGTCAGTGGAACGGGTTGATATTGTAATGTTCTAAAAATGTTTTTAAAACATAAATATATTATTTTTGCTCTGTGTAAACAATTTGTAAACCGTCTTCTGTCTTATAATATTATTATACAACTGACGGAATGGAAACCGTTAAAACCTTAATAAAATCTATAACTTAACGGCGGTTTCCCGATGATCGTATAACGAATATGTTTAATAAGTTTAAAGCAGATTTGTCAAGTGTAAGGGTTTTCTATTTGGAGTTAGAGTCAACCAAGTAACTTGTATTTGTCTAAGAACGCAACAATTTATAACATTTAAAATTACAATAAGAATTGTATTATAGAAATAAACAAAACTAGTTACTAAATAATTCTTATTATCTTATACTAAAAAGATCAGCGTTAAAAATTTGAAGTACTTATTTATTTTTTAGTTGCATACAAAATACACAACACAATAGGTATTTATCAGTTATCTATCTGTCATCATTTAAAGTAGGTACTCGTATATTTTCATTAAGAATAAAAAAACCTACACGCTTAAGCCACGAGATAGGCTTAATATAAAGCTACAATTTATTATCACAGTTAGTACTGACTTGCAATCTATGAGCAATGCATGCCCGTGTACTCCCATTACGGAAATAAACTGATCCATTATTCCACAAGGTACTCCGGCAAACATATGCTCGGCTTTTTGGCATACCATGGCTTTTTTGACTAATCTGAAATATTATATATTGTTATTATAGACACACGTCGTAATTGATTGTTATTCAGAGAGTTATTTAGTTACTGAATTGTTTTATTCCCAGTAATAGCTTCGATGAATGAATAAGTAGCTACTTCCAAGGAAGCACTACTGGAAAGCCCACCGCCTAATGGTACGCTTGATAAAATCACTGCATCGAATCCTACCACAATACCTGTGTACAGACAAATACAAAAAAATATTTAAAAATAATTATTGCCGACGCACAAGAAGTTTAACATGTACATATTACTATACAAAAAATAATAACGATTTTCATTTAGTTTAGCAAATTAAAAGTGATTAAAGTGCGCTTTTCTTTCTCTACTCATTACACTAAATTGTTTAACGAACACAATGTTCGTTAGCGGCACAACCGTTCCGCCTAATTAAACAATACAAAATACTTATTTAAATATAAATAGTACGTGCCTATCATAGTCTATGGCTATGGGTACGCACTTTGGAAACATGCGATCACTCCTTTGACGTAGTTGGCCCATTTCGGTGTGCCCACGGATAGTGGCTTAACGGTGGGAATTTTAAATTCTGTTCTGTTTGAGTCAATCGTGTCATCGAAATCAACACATGCGGTTACCACTCGACAAGTATCAGTGTTATTGGCTCGTCCCAACATAATCGTTACCATCGGCAATGCCTGAAAAAAATAAAATATAAATATCAATAATTAATAAATACTAGCTACTAGAATATTTTTTGGCAGTATCCTATTCACAGGGTGATAAATATTACCTCCCCACACCAGGTTTTTCCCTCTAAAGTATGGACTATTAAAAAATATGCATGAACATTTTTTTTTGTACCGGCTATAAGGACAAGATGTATACAAGGGGGTTAGGTAATGACAACATTTTTTTTTTTTTTTCATATCCCCTAGAAGAAATTTTAAATACAACACTGATTTTGGCTTTTCTATACTACACACCTCTTATACTCAAATATAATATTTAATCTACATTAAATTAATTTTATACTTATTAATAATAAGAATACTTTTGTTATGTTCTCTATAGGAATATATTTTAAATGAAGTGACGAAAACCGCAATAGGGTACAAGTGATTTTTTGTTATTCAAAAACAAGTTTTTTATCGTACAGTGTTTACTATTTCTTCAATAACACCTATTTTTATGCGCCGCTTTTCACTGTGCTTAAATGAGACCAAAATCATAATATATTTGTTAAAGGCCAAAAGGGCTGTCGACTGACATGCCACCCACTTGTGCTTTACAGATTAGTATCATATTATTTATGAGTTTTGATCTGATTACGAAAGTTGATGTCAAAAAACGACAAACGTCCTTTAATTAACATACTTATGTTATTTAATTGTTTAAAGGCCGAATACGTTTAAGCCATACTGCTATCGTAAGTATGTAAACGTCTCACGTCGACGCAAAAAAATTGTTTACATACGACTTTGTTGTCTTTAGATAAGATAGACTAGTTGACGGTTAAAATGGTTTTTTTCAACAGCCATCAGATAGTTTGCTTTGATTGTTTAACACTTATATAAGATATGCTTTATCCGCTTAAAAAAAAAATGCACAACAATAACACTTATGTACGTTCAGTTAACGTTAAATTAATAAACAGACACTTCTTATTGGTTCCTTAAACATGTGACAAATGAGTAGTCTATAGAAATTTAGTAAATATCTGATGATATATTATTTGCATAGGAGTAGCATGAGATGGTAGTTTATACATATAAAAACTCTCCAGGCTCCTAATACAGGTAAGTCAGTAATCAAATTAGCCTAGCTCTGATGCCCAATAATCTTTATGAGCAACCAGATAAATTATTAGACGGAGTTCAAATTCAGAAAGCAACTTCAGACTATAAGGTGTCTCTTGATCAACTTATTGAATTTCCCCGTCATAACAATATTGTCAAGATCGACTTAGCCGTTACAAAATCCCAATAGTAAATTACATACATTGTCTGGCAAAAAGAATTTGAACAACACATCAAAAGTAGATTGACCTGTTTGAAGATATTTCATAATAAAAAAAACGCAAAGAAAAAACGTATATAAGACATTGACCTACTCGACAAGTGGGGCATATTATATTGAAGAATGAATGCATATTTTATTGTTATTACAATTTGGAAACTATTATAATGATTGGCATGTCCAAGTAAATAAAATAAGTCTACTTCAATATTTAAAAATAATAGGATGTAAGTTTAGGCATATTTAAACATTTTTAAATGTTTTATAAATATTTTATTCAATTTTTTTTTTTTTAATATTTTCCAACCGTATGACACATTTTAGAAAAAGTATAACTAATTATAAGAAAAATAACTTTCGAAACTTAACTTTGTTTCCAATGTATTTTTATTTTAAATTTACCTGAAATCGACCCGATTAACAAAAGAAAAAATGTGTGCGGTTTTGACCTATGGAAAATATGCGGTTTTTGGACGGCGCCCATAATAAAACGAGCATGGTGTGTGTGTGTGTGTGGAAAAATAATGAGAAATTTAAACAACATTCACTGAAGTTAAGACTTCGACAAAAAATTTAATGAACCTTAATTTTATGTTCATCTAAATTCTAAACTTTTTAATGCTATCTTTTAATTTTAGTTTCTATGTTGAATTTAAATATGCTGTTAAATGTTTTGAATTATGGATGTACTAGTATGTACATTATAATATGCATTATACTTAGCAAAATGTTGTAAGTGGAGTATGATACTAAGTGTTTGTCGGATGCCTTGTTTATTTGTTTAGTTATTTAAATAATTTTTCCACGGTACTTATTATTTATTACCACCACACTTTTAAAAATCTACTTTGGCGCCATCGATAATAAGTCACTACTATTTAAGTAAATTTTTAATGCCATTGATGAAAATTTCATTTTCGTCTACCTTTTCCTCGACAATGAGGCCACTCAATTGATTCGACCTCAACAATTTGATTTGTCACCAGATTTTAATTTAGCAGACTATCCTAACGAGCAGTATAGGAAATTCTGTGTTATAAACCGCCAACGTTGCTCTATAAAATAAAACACTTACACTACATTATATGTAGCTAATGAGCAAAAAATAATAATTAAAACGATAATGTAGATGTAACGATGTAGATCAAAAATATAATTCTTAATTTCTACAACAGTTAGCCTGTTGGCTCATGGTATTGACCGAAAACACTAAGATTAATTAATTCTTACACTTTTCTTGATAATAATTCTTATCGACATTCATTACTTTTTTTTTATGATCATAGCAATTATCTAAATAAAAATACCTCATATGCGAAAACAAACCAAACATATTGTTTTTCCAATTATTGGTTATCAGTTATCGTCTATCGATGACCAGCGTGTGTGTGCGGGTTTTTCCAAATTCGGTAATTACTGTGCTCATCACACGAGCAGTTTAGATTGTAATTTGTAACTAACACGTTTGATGGAACAGCTTTTTTAGGTATTACTATTTTGGTCTTAAGTTTTATTTCGGCACTCGCAAAAGAAATAAAGGATGTACTGGCTAAAAGGTAATGATTTACTGAAGTTATAGTTACCATTGAGCATAGATTGTGATTTTAGTGTAATGTCAAATGTGTACGACCGAATAATGGTAGGGCTAGAAATTCATTTACTCCGGTAGGTACCAATTTACTAATATATACTCAATGGTTATACCTACTATTATTATATTAGTTAAAAAGAGTGCACTTCACACTGAATTTTTTAAAATATGCATTAAATCATATAGGGATGTTACTATGAAATATATCAGTATCCAAACGTTTTTGCAATTTTTTTTTAGACCTGGTAGATGATTGTTAACCGAGTCCGGTAAATTAGAATTTTTAACTTATAGATTTAATACATTTTTTGATATTGCACATGTTATGGTTAATTGTAAGGTCGGTGTAAAGGGGTGAGCCGTGTGGGCTGAGTGCTGACAGCCAATGGAGTAGGAGGTGTTATTAATAAACTATTTTATTCAGTTGTTAAATTTATACAATCCGTGTGCGTTTATTTATTTTCTTTAATGTATAATCTACAACTATATGTTGGATAACATTCGGAATAGACGATAAGAACACCCGTCCCAAAGCACTTGAATTACATATCGTAGTGCTTTACTAACTAAATGACAAAAAAATTAAAATTAGTGTTTTCAATTGAAATGAGTTTGAATATCATCAAAGATAAAAAATTATTCCACTGATATCACGATTTAAACAAAAAACAAGAAGGTATTAAAAAGCCCAGAAATATATCTTAATAATATTTCCTTGTATTTTAAATAAAAATAAAAAATGAATAACAAATAGTTTTTATCGAAAATGTTTAAGAAATTTACTCTTAATTTGTATTTCTAGTAGGGTGTTCTCCGGGGATTTAATCTATTTTTTACATTCTATAGTATTTTATTTCAAAAACCTAGACAAATGCCAAATCCAAGCAAAAAGTGGTTAGAATTACCCATGTTCAGTACTTTCAGTTTCAGCTTAATAAGAATTATTAGTTAAAATTACTCTGGTTTTACTTATACAATTTGTACTTAAAGTTAAAAGGGATTATTATTAAAGTAAATTTTTCATATTTTTTAATTATACCTCGTTATTTCTTGAATTAAATCAGTGAAATAATATCTAAAAAAATGTCAGCTTAAATCACTAGTTTTAATTTTTGGTTATTGAGCACTATGATAGGTATTCAAGTGATTTGGGGAAAGTGTTCTGACCGTTCAGTTCCGTTAAATTTCGCCATACTCGATCTTTGAAGGATAATCAAGAATTTGAGGGGAGGGTGGTCTTAGGTAGAAAAAAAAACAAATTAAAATAAGGATCCTTCAACTAAAATGAATCTCTTGGGTTACTATAGGACTGATAAAAAAAAAATAGTCCGGGTTTTATTTGGGTATCTCAGACTAACCATGTAACTATTTTTAAAAATTATTATATATTTTTTTAATACCCATCAGTTTTATTTAAATATTTTTTTTTTTTAGTAAAATAATTGATATGAAAAAAAAAATAACACTGAAGGTTAAGGGTAATGTAGCGTGTATAAAATAGAATGATATAGAATGATACATATTATATGTATACAACATGATCATTATTGTTAATAATGGAACAATATTATAAAAATAATTACTGCCTTTCGCTAAATATAAGTTTTGACCGTTGACCCCGAGTGAAGAGGGCGTTACGGTAAAATTTGTTTTTCTGTTCATCACCTGCGTGACATCAATCACAGAATTTAAAAATGTTTTATCGCTCCAAAATCAGTGAATAATATATTATAAAGTTTGTAATACGACCAACTGACAGGTTTACATATACTGAATAGTGAATACCAACATACAGAATGTAGAAAAACGTATGTCTGTTAATTCCGGTATTACAGTTTACACCCACCCCCCTACTTCAGTTGATTAGGCGTATACATATAATAATGTGTACCTAATACTAATGGCAAATTAGGTGGCATCCACATAAACTGATCATTAGTACATATAATTATTAATTGTAGTACAACAACATTACCAACAAAACAATATAAAACAAACGAATAGTTTATGCGGTTACAATAGATCATCATTGATTGGCAAGCTACATCAAAATATTATAGTGTACAGTTTGGGGGTCACGACGTTTGACAAATGCTAGAACTTTTGTGGAAATAAATATATCTTTTTTTTTTTTTGGCCAAATATTTCATTAGGTTATAGACACGAATACACGATTTGTCATATCCTCGTGACCCACACACACACATTAAATAAAAGGTCGTAACGATTATTTTACTTACCATTGGCAGAACATAGCCGTCGTTGTAATCTGTATGTTCTCCTATTAGATTTACTCGTCCCGGTCCAACACCCATTTTGTCAGGTTTTTTACTTTCAGGAAAATGTTTATAGAAAAAGTCTAGTCCTTTTTCTAAAAGCTCTTCCATTGTATCAGTTTTTGTAATTGACATAATGTAAACCTTAAATATAAATTTATCAAAATAAACCATCTATTAAATATGAAAATATCAATTTTACCGATAACATAATACATATATATAAGCTAAAAAATGTGTCCCATAAAATGTGTTTGTTCAAAAAATGACTATGAACGACGACTTAAAATTAATATACTTGACATTGTCTCTAGAAGCACTATTTGGAATCTCTGTACTCCAATAATTATTACTCGTTATATGATAATTCACAATCCACATACCATTATTGAAATTACATATTTAGTACGTATTGTGATATCTTAAGGTATAACAATAATAATATAATAATTAATGAATATATTAATAAAACGTGTTTAGTAATTTTAGTATATAGATTAAATCAACAATTTTATTTTATATTTTAATTTTAATCTCGACGTATATTTACATCTATTAAACATCAACATTTTATGTATCGTGTACAAAACAAACATTGATAACTTTTCGTCATCACAATCATAGTTATAATAACTACTACTTATAATATTATGTATATATGAAATTTATTATGTGTTTATATACGATCGTTGTCAATACACTTAAAATAATTCGTTTTTAGTAGTTAGACGATAATAAAATCGGTATTATAAAATATGTAATAGTAATTAGGTACATACAATTTTTTATATTATAATAACATACATCCGTTACTTCGTTTTCTTATATAATTCTGGGATTTCGATGCTTAGCATAATATTTATATATTTCTTTTTTTTCAACTGTATGAACATATGCTATTGCATAGCGCACGTAAAAAGTGAAATTTCAAAAAAACAATGTGATTAATTACATAAAGTCAAAAATTAAACTCATATTTCGTGAATATACTTTATAGTTAACAAAATATGATAAAAAAAATGTATTACAACTTACAAGCAGTGGCGGTACTCTCTTTGGACCACCCTCTGAGAAAATGTTTGAAAATCAAGCAGACGACAAGATACTGGATCTAAGGGTGTAGAGCTTGTGAAGAAAATGTGGCTAGTAGAATAAGTTATAAGTATGAAATGAAATGGAATGGAAATAAGTATGAAATGGAAGAAAAGAACAGGTGTGGTGTGACGAAAAGTAAAAAGAAAAATATGTGTACAATCTTGGCTGATAAAGTATGTGGAAAAAAAGTATGGACCGTGGGATATTAACAAAAGAATATGAAAAAATATATAAAAATAGTTCGAACAAGAACGTCAAGATCGGTGTTTGAGGTAACCTGATATTATTATATTATAGACTTAGTCAATAGAGTAGAGTATCGGAGGTGGAGTAGTTTAAAAGCTGCAGAAATAACAAAAGAAAAATAATGCTTTAGTAGTTTGGCAATGTATTAAAAAAAAAAAAAAAATAAGGAGAAAATCGTACGCTGCGAAGAAGACGAGATAAGTAAGAGTAGAGTCTGGGGGGTAGCTGAAGGGAAGATTCAATTAATGTCAAATACATCACTGAGAGGCAAAAATGGTTTAAACCCGTAAAAAAGCCTAAATGATCTGAAAGGTCTAATGCTTTCTCCTTAATATTATTTGAAAATAAGACGTTCGATCCTAAGTCGCATTATTTAATCACTGTATTTTAGACATTGCAATTTTTTTTCACGGAATGTTTGTTGTATCAAAATAATATTTATACTATATTATACTTTATCATTCATAAAAAAACATTTATTTAAATATCGATTAGTAATTCTTTTCTACCTGTAGACGTAATTGCAATATTGATAGTATATAAAGTACTTTAACCCACGCGCTCACGTTCCAAAAATCGTTATTTTTGTAAATAATTAAATTTTGAAAATTCGCGACTTATATTAGGTACGGAATAATAATTGCCGGTTAAGTTTTGCAGTAGAATCTAATTTTTAATATTTTACTATACATTAAAATATGACATCCGTTTGATATACCTAACACAATTGTATTAATATTAATGATTTACTAAGACGGTTTGTGCGGTACGATATTAATATTATGTTTTCTTATTATAACAACATCGCGGCGACCAAAAAAAGGTATGTAAATATTTTAAAACCGAACCGTTAATTTTAATTGTTTTCCACGATAAAACAACTTACCCAATATTGAATTTGAACGCTAAAATGATTAATACGTCAGTTGGCTTTATTTATATTTATTTATTTGATTGCAAAACCACAATAAAAATATATATCCCACGCGAGTGAAATTACAATAGAATAGAGCATGCGTGTGCGAGCACACGGCGGCGCGAACGAACTAGACTAAAAACCGTGATCGGTGATACTACCGTACAATAAACAACATGGAACGACAAAAACAGAAAAAAAAACGCAGTTTTATTCCACAGGCCTACAAATATTCCCCTCCCCTACCTACTATTCAGATATATACATACTATGCCAGTGTACATATATAACCCACTGTGGTGATAATCGTATATAATTACAATATTATTGCCCAACACGGTATACACACACACCGCACACAGCACACGGTCTACGCACCGACGCCGGACGCCGGCAAGTGAGTACACACGAGTGGTGTCCACGCAATTCGGCGTTGGCGGTTGGACACCGGTGGCCACGCAGCCGCCTCGGCCGTTGAGAGTAGTTTATTAGCCGAGGGCGGGAAATGTTCATCGTTGAGTTAAAATATACAAAACAAATAATAATAATAATACCTAAAATTGAATCGGTCGTTTCAAAAACGACATAAGTGACCGATTTTTCAAAAATGACTTTTTTTGTCAAATTTAAGAGGGCGTCGCATCGCCCATTTTTAAGGAGTAAAGTATAGGCAATTTTTTACAAAATCTTAATTTAAAGGTTAAACTGTGATGTGTAATTATAAGTTCAATAACTAGGACTGTATTTTGGTGGTTAATTTATTTTTTGGACTTTCACAGCATCCTTGAAAGCGATTTAAAAATGTTTTTTCATCTCAACTTGTTTAAGCAGACTGAAAATAACTCGCTTAATTTTGGATTTAGAGTAAAAGCACCCATTATAAAATTAAAAGAAAACAATATTTCGGAGGGCAAGACGGTGCGTTTTTTTCATTATACTAAGTATAACGCTCAATACATAGTTTAGAAATAACGACTATTTTAACATTTTTAAATGACTGTAACTTTCAAAAAAATTAATTTTTTTTAAAAATCGCACCGCGTCTTGCCCTCCGGAATATTGTTTTCTTTTAATTTTATAATGGGTGCTTTTACTCTAAAACCAAAATTAAGCAAGTTAGTTTCAGTCTGCTTAAACATGTTTTTACCACTGAAAATCACCGGTGCGACGCCCTCTTAATAAGTATATATTTAGTTACGTATTCTGTGTGTAAGCTAAATTTGTCAGACTCGTATTCAATACAAATGTTGAGTAGGTACAAGAAATTAGAATCACTGTAAAAACTAGTTAAGAAGAGCTATGAAGTTTTTTGTGGCTAGTGTAAAATTTCAATTTTGTGTCGTTTTTGAAATGACCGATTCTTGTGTTTGAATTTCAAAAGCACGTGACTGCGAGGCTAGCCAGTCGTTAAAAATATAACAATTATTTCATTACATTTCATATGTTTACAAGTTTGTATATAGGCACTCGCATGGGTCATTGTACCTAAATTATATACTTAAATACGTATATATAGAGTGTATGTACAGCCATTAACGGGCGTACCTATGCATTTGTAACTTATTTAACTTTCTCGTATTATATATTTTATTGTTAAGAGGACGCTACGCCTCTATTTATTAAAAAAATTGCTATAAAAGGAGTATCCAGCAAAGTGTATTATGATAATCATGAGTTAAAACTCAATTTTTGTGAAATTCAGATAAGTATCTTGTTGAAATACATATTTTTTAAAAACAGGTAAATATAAAAGTCAATAGTTCTTTTAAAAAAAAAACTATTGACTTTTATAGGGAACTCCGAAACCGCAGATTTATCATTGCAGTCTATAGCAACGAGAATGGATTAATGAGATACATTAGTAATGAGAATAAATATAATATTTAATAAAAGCTATAACTTTGTTAATTTTAAAATCCTTTAATGTACAATTCTGAGAATTATTATACTCGTATGACTCTTCATGTTAATTACCAGGTATTTTTACTCGTTGAAACTCAAGTAGACTATTTAGTATCTATTGATTTCAATTTAAAAAATACATAGATAGGTATTGCACTTGAATCTGTCAATCAGTTTGCTCGAAACAACTATACCTATATAGTACTATCATACAATTCATTGAATGTATTTTCCATTTAACTTATTGTTATATTCTGGTTGGTGGTTTTGGACTTTGATGGTCGGTGGTTTTTAGGTTTTGCTTCATCCCATGTAATTTATTGAAGTTTTGATTTCACGACATAACATTTTAACGATTATTGCAATCTCAAATCTCAATTGAATTGGTATGATCGAGATTCGAGGACAATATACAACAACCAATAAGCAGATTAAAAATTAACAGCGATACAACGATGGAATTTTCACGTCAGAGGAAGGACACGATATACATATTATATTGTCCAGTTTTACCAAGTTATCCAAAACCTTAACACACATAAAAATCTATAGAAACCTAAAAAAATTGGGTATAATGGCCATGAATAAGTAATGTGATTTCTTCAAGGTATTTTTTCTAAATATTTTTTTTAGTGTTTTCCTTTTAATTATTTTATTTCTTTACTATATAAATACCACAAGCGTTGCTTAAGTTTTTTCTATTTTCCTTTTACGCTAAATCTAAGATAACATATTTCTTTGTTTATTTTTTAACTAGTTTATCCTCCTGATATTATAATAAAGACATATTTTAAACGTATCGTTGGGAAAATCGTCAATATTTTATTTAAAACATGGAATAATATTTTCCATAAACTTTGAAAACCCACAAATTATCATACAATAGAATAAGTAATTTATAGTTACACAACAAATTAATTGTCTTAATTTAATTATGCCAACTTGACCTATTTGACCTATTTGCCCTATTTACTACTGATAAAATCGTTGTTTGACTTTGGTCGTTTTACCCATAATACCGTATACATTTTCTAAACCTAAGCATGACATTAACTCATTTTTGCAAATTTTAGCCTTGGCCAGTTTTTCCCAAGCACCATCGAATTAACGTAAGACTTAAACACAATGAACAATGGGAAAAAGAAAAATTGTGATGTATTTCACTTTTATTGCGTTACATTTTCTATGTTATACCGTAGACTTTTTACACTATTGAGTTAATTCAAACTCAACAATTATTAATAATATTCTAAAAAGAGCTGGTGTCATCGTACTTATTATTATTTTTTCGATGTTATACCTATAGGCAATACTGTATAAAATCAAGAGTACCTCTATAGCCTAAAAACAACAGTTATATAACTAAACGCGAGGCGAGACGTGAAAACCGGTTTTAAAAAAAATATGCGAGTAATAATTCGTGAATCTTTATTACACGATAGGAACATAATAATATAAAATACATGCTCGTGTCATTGTCTAATTTTTTGCTGTGAAAAATACCTACCGCCTGAAGAGTGAAGACTGACTAGTAGACCTATCACCTATGTGTAGATATTACATTATTAATACACCAAGACAGGCGCATTATATAATTTTAGTTTCGGTATTTGATTTTGTTTCCAGAAAAAACAACTTTCTCACTGTAGTCATTAATTGTATGTACGAATGTTAGTAAAAAATATTGCTAATTCGACAAATCATAATCTGTCATCTAAACTTAAGAAGATATTTTAATTTTAACTTCATAATTGAGTTTGTTTCCGTGAATGCATTTTTGTTTTCTGGAGCAGAGGTCAGGTTTACATTGATTGATATGAGGCTCAATGTCAATAGGTATGAGTGAATAGGAAAACTATATATCTACCTGTGTAAATACTAAAGTGTCACTTGGCTTCAAACTCCTTACCTTTTTTATTGATACAGATATATATAGATTGAAACAATTTAATATGCAGTACACTTCGAACTAAGTGACATTTCCAAAACTATTGGGCTACACCTTCTCAAAAACTTTCCACAAAACGACCAAGTACATAATTGTATCTAGGTTAATGCATTTTATTTATTAGTTATTTCCGGCCACCAAACCTGTCACTTTGTAGTTCAAAACTGTGTTTTTGTTCATTTTGTTCCGTAAATTATTTATTATGTTCCGAAGTCAAGGTTAACCCTAATTTATTGTAAATTAAAATTAAAAATTATCCTGTACAGCGTACATTAATTATACATCTATTATTGTTTATCAACCACCTAGAGGTTGGGTTAACACATTGAAACAATTTACAAATAAAATGTTACTGGAGACCATGTCTTAACTATACACAAACAATAACGACAATTTTTTTTTTAAATTACACCATTGATTGCATACCTACAATGGTTATACTATACCGATCTAATCGATTATAATATCCGACTTCCTAGTAACACGCTCGTTAGTCGTCATGAAATGCGAATAAGCATAATACTGAACAACTACAACCCATAGGATTATTAGTAATATTATTATTGCCCTATGCTACAATATGTTATAACCACTATAAATGGAATATATTGAATGTAAATATTGTAACAGAAGAATTTCCATCTACTCAGCAGATTTGCCATGAAAGTATGGCGTTACAATATTAATATATGGTCATACTGATACTGTGGTGGCAATGACTTTATTTCCACTATTATCAAAATTCTTATCTCCTTATTTTTATTTTTCAAGTAAATTAAAGCAAAGCTTGTTGGTTGTTTATCGCTTTAAAAATTAAAAATCTGTTCAATGTTATTTGTCATGACATTATTTATCTCGTTCCATTCGTAAATTGTTACTTTATATGTGATATTTTCGAATATCAGTGTGTCGTTTTTGGTGATGTATTTTATATAATGAAGTTGATGTCCTAGCTGAGCGTACGCTAACAATAATGCACCATCGACTCATCAGAAAACCATTGATAGACACAAAGCAACACTTGACGAAACCGCAAGTTATAAAATGGCATTAAACTTACAGAGCTTGATTTTGCTGTTGGGCTTAATCTATGTTCACGCTCAGACTCCAGATATTACTAAGGTACTTGATTACATATTTTATGATCCATTTGTAGCGGCCCATTTAAATTTATCTTTAATCATTTTTTTCAGGATGACAAAAGTTTGGCTAAAATCAGTGTAATACAGTATGAGGGTGTGATATTTTTATCTACACTCGACGGTTCATTCATTGCAGTCGACCAAAATACCGGAAAAACATTATGGAATTTCGCTGATGGTAAATTTCTTAAATGTTTTGTTTACATACCATTAAGAATATATTATACGATTATTTATAAATTCATTTTTTCCTCCCATAGATCCTCCAGTCAAAGTTCCATCTAATATAAAGGATGCTTTATCGTATGTATAATTTAAATTTGGTTAAATATTGCATTTTTCATGATTATACCTTTGTTAGATTTTATACGACAAATGTATGTTAAATTTTAGGCCATTATTTTTACCCGATCCTAGAGATGGTTCTTTATACTTGTTGCACAATAAAGATAAGGTAGGAATAAAAAAATTGGACATCACTATTCCGCAGTTAGTAGCGAATTCCCCGTGTAGGAGTTCTGATGGGATTTTATTTTCTGGCAAGTTTTAAATATTTTATTTTTTTATAAGACTGCGGGCCACGAGAAAACGCAACTGCGCAAAAACCAAAATGCGGTACCCCTGTATGCGCAGTTGCATTCTCTCGTGGCCCTGAGTATAATAATTATTTTGCCTTGTACACTTGTTAATTGATTGGTATTGTGTTAACAGGCAAAAAAATTGATAGCTGGTATTTTATTGACTGGAATACTGGTGAAAAATATCCATTCATGAATTTTGATAAAGATGAAGATATTTGCACAGCAATTGCCTCAAAATCTATTCTCTTGAGCAAATCTGGTATTTATTTCTAATACAAAATTAACGCTAATTAATTTAACACAAACGACATAATTTCCATTTTTAATTTTAGAATACAGTGTTCTCATGGTTGACAGTACTAGTAGTGACAAACGACAGTGGAACGTTACCTTCTTTAGCTACAACTCGAAAACTATGACGGATGAACAGATTTTTAACCATGGTACCTATAGATATATTTTTATAAATATTTTGTGAGTAATTTTATTGTATAAATCTTACATTATAGGTATGAAATATTTTTCTGCCAGTTCTTCTGGACACTTTGTGGTTTTTCGAAATCCAAAAGATAAGCTCGATAAACCACCTGAAAGTAATAATTATCATAATTTGGTTTGGGAAAGAGAATTTGATTCTCCGGTTATTGGAGTTTATTTGCACGACGGCGAAAGTTTATTATCATTACCACTTACAAACATAGCCAAAGACTCGATAAAACATTTAATTACAGACATTGTGTTGACATCTAAGGATCCTAATACCATAAACTATTTGTAAGTATAGATATACTTGTTTAATTTTCATATTTTATTAGAATAAAAGCATATTTTTCATTTTATTACGAAAAATAGGTTATACTGTTTTTAATGTGTAATACGTTGGTAAGGTATGATTGTAAAACATAAGTATAACATATAGATAAGTAAAACATAATATATAGTGGGGTCTTAATAATTTTTTTTGTGACTTGAAAAAATTGTGATGTTTAAAGCTCAGTCACAGCCTGTTTTTTTGCTCAAAAAGACACCTTAGGCAAAAACAATCATGCCTCGTAGAATGGCACTATTAGGGTCAATTGTTTTTTGAAAGACATTGATTTCCAAAATGTTATTTTTGTGTATCTAAGTATTAATTGATTTAAACCTTAATTTTTTGGTAATTGAATTCAAAATTGATATGGACAGTAAAAGTTTTCCTCTTTCAGACACTATAAAACAAAATTTATTGAAATCGAATCAGTCAACAAGGCGTCATAATTTTTTCCCGTTAAGTAATGTTTCACCATTAAAATATTACTCAAAAATTTTTATATACTAAGCTTATAGAATTTAACCAGGAAATAAATTTATATGGTTGAAGTTAATAAAATACCCCTTAGTGCATTATAACAAAAACGCGTGTATATAATATTTATTTTCTAATGTTTTATAAAACTAAGACTATTTTTAAAAAATTAAATAATAATTTTCATATTATTGTTTAAAGGACTGCAGTATTGTTTTCGGTGTTTTCCATCAGTCAAATATGATTAATGAATATTGCACATTTTGAATTTTTCAAACTCGTTATCCATTTGTTTAAACTTATTTACTGTGTTAAATACAGTAAAGTTTTTTTTTAAATTTAGATTGATCCTCAACTGAAGTACTTAAACTTAGTAATTAAAATAAACTACTAAAATGATTTTATTAATAATAATTAATTATACATTTATAAATTAATTAGTGTTATTAATTAATAATATAAAATTCTCAATTAACTCGAGCAATAGCAATTTTTATTTTATTTTATTTTTCAGCAACACTCTTTACATTGGTCATCATGTAGATACTGGATTGTATGCGCTGCCAGCCATCGCCGAATCTAGTGAAGTAAATCCATTAGTCGACAGAGGTCTTATAGTTTTATTGGATAAAACGTCTTTTTCAGTATTACCATACTATAGTGGTAATGATTTTAATGTGGAACCAAAAAATGTAGAAAATCACACAATTTTATTGGGTAAAATTAAAATTAAAAGGTGTTTTTTTTATCATACCATGTGTTGTTTACATAACATAAATCATTTTTTAGGACATTACCAGCTGAGTCAAGATTCGAACACTGGAATACCAAGAATAACTGGCAATACAGATTCTATAATCTACTACCACAACATGAGCGGATATAACTACAGCAACAAACAGCAAACAAGCACTATATCCACACAAACCCCTCAAAGTTTGGAAAATGGATTCATTGTTCAAATACTAGGAGAAAATGCTGGAATTAAAGTATTCATGGTTTGGATAACGTTGCTGATGAGTTTGATGTTCTGGTATCTAAAGAAAGAAGTAAGCTATCAAGTGGTTTGAAAGGGCCTCGGCATTTAAGGCCGAGCATTAGTTTGGTGGTGCTGGTGCATTTACCTGCAGTATACTTATTTGTTATATTTTAGATGAAAGGTCTCAAGAATAATTCCAACAATGGTTATAATAGTTCTCAAGGAAGTTCTAAAGGATCAAATCATTCCGTCAGTAATTCATCTCAAATAGTTGAAGAATTACCAGATGGTAGTTTTTCTATTGGGAAAATTATGTTTCGCACTGATCAAATATTAGGAAAAGGATGTGAAGGAACATCCGTGTTTAAGTAATTTGTTTTTATTTATGCCCTGTAATTTGTATTTTTTTAATGTGCATAACAATTTCTAAAACTCGTCTCATTACTAATTTAAGAGGAGAATTTGAACGTCGACCGGTTGCCGTTAAACGATTACTACCCGAGTGTTTTATTGCTGGAGAAAGGGAAGTACATATTCTCCGTGAATCCGATTATCATCCAAATGTAGTTCGGTACTTTTGTACTGAACAAGATAAACATTTCCGTTACATTGCACTTGAATTGTGTGCAGCGACATTACAAGTAAATTAAAATTTTGTTTCAACTTTAGTGTTTTTATAATTTATAATATTTTTACAGGATTATGTAGAGAAAAATATACTTAGCACAGAGATCAGTCAAAAAGATGTTATGTTACAATCAATTAAAGGCTTGCAACATCTGCACTCGCTGGGAATAGGTAAATTGTTGCCAGTGTAGAATTATTGTTATTTTATAATTATTTAGTTATAGCTATTCAATTTTTTTTCGTTCTATTATCAAGGTTATATTTTTAATAAAAAGTTATTTATATTTCAGTACACAGGGATATAAAACCGCATAACGTATTGTTATCAGTACCGTCTCGTGGTAGTGGTAGTTTCAGTAGCGTGCGTGCTTTAATTAGTGATTTTGGACTGTGTAAAAAGCTTCAAGGAGGCAAAATGTCATTTTCAAAACGTTCCGGAGTTACTGGCACCGATGGTTGGATAGCACCCGAAATGTTTAATGAAAATGCATCTGTTGTATGTATCATTATTTATTTATTTATCTTTAATTGCACCACATGTTAATTTAAAATATATAAATATATATTATATATAAGGCTTCAACAGCTGGGGTTGTTAGCCTTACATTTGAAATATATACCAGTAGTGTAGTTAAAAACAATATTTTATTTATCCATAATGTAAGATAATTGCACAACTTGTTAACAACAGTTATGCAAAATATTAGATAAGAGCTTTTTTTATTTGTCATTTTACGTAAGTTTATAATTGCAACGGCAATTATTTACCTCACGCGACCAACAAACAAATGGTTTAAATATTTTTACAAAAACGAACATGTCTGAATTTTAAACTATAAAATATCTAATACATAATTTTCAATTTTAGACAAAATCTATTGATATATTTTCAATGGGTTGCTTGTTTTATTACATTCTCAGTAATGGTAAGCATCCGTTTGGTGATAATCTGTCGCGTCAGTCGAAGATATTTGATGGCCAAGCACCATGGTAATACCTTAATTTTATCTTAATAACTCCTTCAATGCGTGTACTAACATAATTTATTATATATTTTGTGTATGTAGTCTTGACGCCTTATATGATAATGAAATTTGGAAACGTTTAATTGCTGTGATGATAAGTCAAAATCCAGAAGAGAGGCCTACGGCATCGGCTGTTCGATCTTATCCGTCGTTTTGGACAAGCTGTACATTGCTTTCTTTTCTTCAGGTTAGAATTTATTGAACACAGGAACTTCAATATAAAAATATCATTTTTATTTTTTATATAAGTAAATATCATTATAGGACGTTAGTGATCGGGTAGAAAAAGAGCAGGTGACTAGTTCAATAATGTTAGAATTGGAAAAAGGTGGCGACGGAGTATTCGGCAATGATGGTTGGCATGATAAAATTCATGAAGAAATCACTTCAGAACTGAGAAAGTATCGTACATACAGAAGTAACAGTATTAGAGATTTATTAAGAGCTTTTCGAAATAAGGTTAGTTGTTCCACTCAACAGTACAACTCTGTTTTGGCTTTATAAACTTTTCCTTTACTATAATTTATAAAAAAAATTTTCTTAGCAAAATCACATTGATGTTACTGTTAAAAATCTTAAAAGAGGTACAACAATTATAAAAAAAGATAACTAATTATAAAATTATAAAATAGAGTAAACATGTGGAAAAAATTGTTCAACTTTATTTTAGTTAAAAAAACCCATCCACAATGAATTATACTTTAGGTGTACATATATGTATTTCGACAAACTTATTCTGTGCGATGTTGTCGTTTTCAGTGCTAAACACAGACTGAGTTTGTCAAAATATGCATTAACACCTAAAGCGTATTTTATTATAAACACAGGGATGTTCTCATTCAAATAAAGTGAACATTTTTTATTTTACTTAAATCATACAAAACACCTAGAGCCAAAACCTAACGATATAAACAAAAACGTATATACATTTATAAACGAAAACATTGTTGTGTTTTAGAAACACCATTTTAGAGAGCTATCTGAAGGCACCCAGAAATTATTAGGAGACATTCCAGATAAATTTCTGGAATATTGGACTGTCAAGTTTCCTTTGTTGGTGTATCACACTTGGACAGCAATGCAATGCTTGTCTAGTGAAATCACATTTGCCAAGTATTACACTAGCTGCTTCATGTTCCCACGAACTGAATTTACAAATTTACCAAATTGGTTATATGAGTCTGACCAACCAGCTGCATTCAGTAGTTTGCAACAAAAATCTTCTAGAAGACCAAACACAAACACGAATAGTTGGCGACATAAAAGAAACATAAAAAATCATTCCAAACCGCTCCAGAACCATGATTTCAATAGCTAATCAAGTGTTTTAAGGTACGTACCGGTTGGTATGTTAATTAGTTTTAAAAAAATCTGCGACATTGCATTTTTGTTTTCTTTCAAAACAATGTTTTTTTATAAGATCTGCTCCTTTTTCAGCAATCATTGCTACAACTGCATTTGTATTTCCACTAGGCATTGATGGCATTATCGATGCATCAATTACGTACAAGTTGTTTAAATTGTGCACCCTGAAAGTAGTGAAAAATAAATTTAAATAGAATAAACAGTCTGATAATGATATATGAATATTATAATATAATATATAAGTACCTTAATGAATGGTCCACAACGCTTTTTTCGTTGATATTTCCCATTTTACACGTACCAACGGGATGATGGGAGGTAAAAGTAATGTGTCTTACGTAACATTCCCAATAACGATCAGATCCAAAATTATGTTTATTACAACCGGGAAATGGTTTTTCGTAAAGTTGAGCGCCGAATTTCGATAGTGCTTTTGTCTGCGAAAACTTTTTTACTAATTTCATACCTTCAATTAATATCCGTACGTCTTGTTTATTCTTTAAGTAGTTTGGTTGAATAACAATATCTCGATTAGAGTTCAATTTTACATGTCCGGTACTTTTTGGATGCAACAATACCGGTCCTAGTGTAATAACTTGTTTACCCACAAGCGGTTTAAAATATTCATCCCATTTCTAAATTTGTTGAAAAATTTAATTTGTTAAAAAACATTATTATACTTTTGAACACAATTTAAAATTTATATACATCACGTTTCAAATTTGAATGGCTCAAGTAAAGTGATCCTGCATCAGATGTTATCCCAAAAGGTAATAACATGATCTGCAAGTCTGGTGATGAGTTTGAATTATTATCTTTGCTCGGTAAACGTATTAACCCTATTGCTTCACATCCAGGATGTGTCCATATACCTGAAAATATTTATACTAAGGTAAATTAAACTATTAAAATATATAAATATTATATAATAAACAAAATTTAGGATTTTGGTCAAACATTTTTTTTTTTTTAAAACGTCAGTTCCAACATCCTCGCCTTCTATTTATTATTATCACATTGATTTTACCTGTGCCTTCAAAGACGTATTTATACATATTTAACGGTGAAGTCACATGTAAAAAAGTTAGCCCTAATGATTTGTTCAAAACGATCATGTCCATTCCAGTTATAATATGATCTTGTAAATTTTCACCTACAGGCAGGTCGGCGACTAAAGGTATCTTTAACATACAATTTTTAATCATTGAAAGTTACATTATACATTAGTTGTACGTAACTAGTATACGTGTTGTATAATTCAGTTACCTTTAGTGGCTTTAATTGATCGACTGGTCCAACACCACTATTCATAAGGATTTTTGGCGTATTTAATGCACCAGCAGAAATTACTATAGACTTTGATGCGAAAACCTTAAAAGATTTTCCGAATTTTGAATAAACAACTCCACGTGCCTCGTAGTTGTTTCTGAACATAACCTATTAAAGAATAACTTTTAGTGCTGAACCGCCGTAGTAATGATAAATAAATAAACTAGTTGAAAGTGACCTTTTTAACTTCCGCATTGGTAAGAATAACCAAGTTCTGTTTGGATTTTTTTTTCAAATATAGGTGTTCAGAACTCGTTTTGTAGCCAAACTTTGTTGCTACTGGTGCAAATGAAAAACTACCACTATCAGTTCCAGTTATACGAAAATCGTCAGAATTCATGTCTTGGGAAATTGTATAACCTAACTCTTCAGCAGCTTCAAGTATTGTGGTTGCCACTGGTGTTGTGTGCGTCGGCCTTTGACTGAAGAATTTTTGTTTTTTTATCGGTGATCCTGGGTACATAATTTACTTGTTATTTTTTACGTGTTATTTTAAGTTATGCGAATTCTTCTCAATTGTACAGACTTTTTGTATAGATTTAAATTATGTAATATTTTGAAACCACACATATGATGCATTTCTGTGTTGACTATTGTACATTTTTTTTAACGCAATATATACCTATATTTACCAAAATACATGTCGGCCATTTCGTATTTTTTAAAGTAATGCAACACATCATCTCTGGACCATTCGTGTCCCGACTGCCAATTCAAATAGTCTGTGGACACATGACCCCTTAAGTGTATATTGAAATTTATACGACTCGTGCCGCCCAGCACTTTTCCAGTAGGCCATTGACTAGACTTTAAAATTAGACAATAAATTAGTTAAGCAACAAATCGAGAGCAACGATCAGGGTGGTTATACTCTATTATTCAACGCCAAGCACGCTTCCGCTTGTGGTTCTGTTTGATGTTGCCAATCAATAATTGATTTTTGGAAAATTGATGTAGTCAAAGGTATGTCGTGTAATGAGGACACCCTAGGTCCAGCCTCCAATAGGAGAACTGAGTAAGCTCCATTTTCAGCCAGACGTGATGCAACTGCAATACCAGCTGTTCCAGCACCCACTAAAAGAAAAATATATAATTTGTAGGAGGTATGGTAACTTAGTCATATTTTATTTTACAGATGACAGAATTTCCATTATTTTATTGTGAACAAAATTGCTAATTATAAGTACAGGGTTATGTTTTTTTTTTAATGCAAGTATTATAATTTATAACTAAATGACCAAAAAAACAGGCATTATTATAAAAATGTATAATTTTTATATGTATTTATTAACATGAACGTATGCATATAATATGCATGCAGTATGTGTATACTTAGATACATACTTATTTATTAATTTTAATCTCTTCTCCTCAAAAAGAATAAATAAATAAATAAGGAGTTTAAGCGACAGGGACGGCAGTAAGTGTAATCAAATAAAATAATACACACAGTAAATAATAAGTTTGGTTTTAAAGATTTATGAGCAAAAATCCTTAGCTCGCTCCGTGATGGCGCAATGTAAAAATGTGATTTCACAGCAGCACTACCAAGCATAGTTTTTTCTGTTTTCGTTATTTTGTGAATATTTGATATAATATTTGTATAACATTCAAAAGTAATAATTAAAATTCCTTTTACTAAAATTAAAGAAGAAAAGGAAAAATTATCCGAAAACATTCTAAGCGATTTCTAGCATTTCTGACTGTCATAGTGACTTTTGAATAATAATATTCAACAGTTGTTCAACAATATAAAACGTTAAATGTAAGTAGGTATGACGTTTAATACAGATTTTTATTTTCAGAGTATTATAAAAGGTTTTGACAAACAATATGCTGGGGAACTTAATTTTTGTTTCAAAGCTTTAATTTCTCGACGCTTAACGTTTACCATATAATTTTATAATAAAGATCATCTATAATAGATGTGCATTGTGTGAGTGCTAAAACTAATATTAACTATGAAATGTTATAGAAGAACAGTATATTTAAAGTTTCTATCATAGATCAAGTCGATGATTGATACGATCAAGACTTATCAAACTTTACTTATTATCACTTATGATTAACCAATGTAAACATAACAAAGTTGTTTATCTATAGTTGCGGTCGCGGTTATCTATGTAGATAACAGCTCTTATGTGATAACCGTGGTTGTGATATTTAAAATTATTCATTTTTATAACAACAAAGAAATACCGCTACGTATGAAAACTATAAAAAAAACAATTAGGTAGGTATGTAAACAATCCGACAATAATATTTCGTATACGTTTTCTATAATATTATTATATTTTCGCGTTAAAATTGAAATGTGTTTATTTCTACTTACCGACAATGTGGTCGAAATATTTTGTCGTCGGATGATTTTCAACGTATTTGTCCAGGGCTATGTTGTAGTAATAGTTTAAAATCAAATACCCTGTAAATATGTTGGCCAACAAAGCGTACAACAAGTAAAGACAGTACGCGTACATGACCAACGATTTCCAATTCAAATAGTAAATAAAGACGATATAGAGAAATTGATTGAAATTGTTTTTTTTTTTCTAATTTAAATTCCTCTCCTTACGAATCGTGTGTCGAATACATACATTATGGTAATAATATCAAAATATGACGGTTCGTCAAACTACAGTGAACCGTACGATTTCGGGGTGGATGGTAAACTGAAGCCGGCGGCCAAGTGGCAACAACCTGCGGCATATTTACACGTAATGCACAATATCCCGTATAAAAAAAAAACACATAATATAGGTATGGCCAATTATATTATAAATTCCTAGATTCAACGGTTATACACCGGGCGGCGGCCATAGTGATAGTGGAAGGAGTAATGACGTCTTGAACAATCATCAAACGCGTTTCAGTAAATTAATGTGTATTTTTTTTTGTCTTCAAACACGCTATCTGGTAGCTGAACACATCTATGTAATTCCCGGGTAATAATATACCTATTGTTTTTCCAAGGTATTACACAATCTATATAGTTATTAATTGAACACCAACGCGCATTTTACTCATATAATCTTTAAAAGTCCATTTTCAATAACGATAATTTAGCCAAAACTACTCAAAGGGTCTGTTCCAAGACGTTTTCTCGTGAGAAAACGATAAAAAATATGTTTTTTTCTTGCCGTTTCCGTTAATCATATTATGTAAATAAAACACAAATATTATTATTATTATACAACTGTTGATTATATTTTATTAGTTAAATTAATATCATAATGATATCGGTTGTATGGTATAAAAAAAAAAAATTTACTAATACAATGCATACGAAAATATAATAACTTGCCTTATGTTTACCACTTAATTTTGAATAAACAGTATTTGATTTTAAATCCAAAAAAAAAAATGTTATTAAATATATAAAATGTATAAATGTATTTTTCTTTTAAATAACCAAACTGGATTTGTGTAAAGATGAATTAACTACAAAATATAGAAAACTCGTTTGGTAATGGAAAATGTACAAACATCATTAGTTACATAGATAATTACACTTTAACAAATAATGGCTTACTCGCTTTTTGGTCATTCAACTTAAGAAATCATTTGTATTAATCTTTATATAAAATAACATTCAAGAAATTAATAATTAAAAAAAAAAACACTTGTTTTTGTGGAAAAGAAGTTAACAAGTTAAATCTTGGCTCTAATCAGTCAGTATTATTTTTACCAAGAGATAATTTACACAATTAATATATTTAGAATATTAAATATACAATTAACTAAAAGTTATACATGTTCTAATTACAATAGCTACCTAATTGATTAGAAATATATATATATATTTTTCTTACAAAATTATAATTTTGTTAGAGTTCTTAAAAAATATACAAAACAAGTAATAATGCAGTTACAAACAAATTAAAAAAGGAAGACTAATGAAGGTGATATGCTTTTAACACTATATATGTTTAAGTTAAACATACGTGCAATAGTAGGGAACTATATTTTAGATATCTTAGAAATGGTTTTGATATATTTTGCTTGCACATTATAATTAATATAAAAGCAACAAGTTTGATTTCGTAAGAGTTATTGCTTTTTTGGGTGTATAAAGAAATTAATCTTGCTATTTAAAAAAAATTACATTTTCTTAACTATATTTAAAAGTTGTGAAACAATGTAAGGCTTTTAAAAGTATTTTAGACTTGACGCTAGGCTGATCAAGTTTTGGTTTTCAAAAGTTATGAAACTAAGTTACATTTATAACCAGTCAAAATAAAAATTGAGTATTATCATTAAAGGTTAAAAAATAAATAAATCATAATAAGGCCTTTTTTTTACATTAATATCTTTGAAACGTACAAAAGGATGGTTGAATTACGGATGACATATTGTTTTAAAATTCACAATAAACAGGAACATTAATAGCTAAAAAAATCAAAATGGTTTTTTAAGTATCCTTTTTTCTTTTCCAAAAGTCAAATACGAAAACGGTGAGAATTGATTGGGTAACTTATAAATCAAATACATTATGTTTCAACTTTTAAGATATAATTCAGTCATTGAGACCTTGTCTCTTTTCTTCTTCTAACATGGCGTCCAGCTCATCGGTTAGGTTGGCCAACATATTTCCAATATCATTGAGTACATCAGCAGGTTCTTTTTTCACACTGTTCGTATAAATTATTAATTATAACACGGTAAAAAAAAAATGTTATTCTATCGAAAAAAAAAATATACACTTTACCTGGACGGCATTAAAGAAAAATGATTAGGTGCCGAGTGCATTGAATAACTAGTAGATGAAAGCATGGAATGAGATCCTTCAGCAAGCATTGGTTGCATCAATTCTAAAAGAACAAGAGTTTGATAGGGTGCGATTCTATGTTTTTTGAAATTAAATTTAACAACATACCATTTGCCGATCTTATAGTTCTCTGTTTAATTGTGCCAGCATTCTCGTTGGCAAATGGAATAGAATCGGATTCTGCACTTGAATTAGACTGCAAAATTTAATTAAATTTCATCAATAAAGTTATCTATTATAAACATTATATTTCTTGACTGTAGAGTACATACAAATTCATCAAACTAATAATTTTTAATAAATAAAGTCTGAGAATAGGTTATTCGTATTATTTTTATTACGACACAAGTATAGCGATTTCTGTAAAAAGATTTAGCTAGCTTACATGACTTTTACTGGTGAGAAATTTCTATATATTAAAAAAAAATATATATAATGCGACGCTCATACATTTTTTTTTTTGTCAATGAAAACAACAATTCATAAACATAGGGCTGAAATATTGTTTTTCTTTTAGCACTAAAAACACACTAATGGTAAAGTTGTACAGCAATTGTTTTTATTTACTTTTATGTAGGGCTATTTCTTGCAATTAAATGTTAATTAAAATAAATAATCACAGCGATTTAAAAAGTCATGACGACAAAACGTACTACGCAAAAATTAGACTCTCTCAAAAAATTACAACAGCCATTTTTGTATGGATTTGAATAACATGTCAAAGTATATGAGAATCAATTGAATGATCAATATCTTAAAAAATGTACTAGCTTTTATTTGTAATTACTCGTTAGTTTACCTTAAAGCTTGCATTCGATCCAATATGGTCTTCTAAGTTATGTTTAGGAGATAATATATCACTAGGCCATTTATTAGAACATTTTGATTGCATAGGTAGAGAACAATGTAAATCCGCCATTGTAGTAATTTGATGACACCCATTGTCATCTGACGATTGTTGGCGTTTAGGAGGCGACGGCGGTCTTCGTTTCAACGTACCCATACTTGAACACTCGTTCCTAAACAAGAATTGATTTATATTAGTATTGTCGATAAAAGTTTATAGCGCAATAGCCAATAACATTATACACAAAATACAATCGTACGTGTTCGTTTGGGTAAACAGAGCTGGAATTTTCGCAACCAGCCTTGGCTTTACTAAACCTCTTGGTCGGGGTAAGGTACCTCCTCCACATTCATTAAGGATTGACGTCTCATTTGTAGGTGTAATATCACCGTCTTCAAAACTTTTTTGTTGACTTCTCCATTGAGGAGTTCCGACAAAACTACTTGTGCCACCGACTGCTGAAGTATTATTGCTTTCATGTAGACTTTCTAATGATTTTCCTCGATTTGTTCCTCTTATCTAAATCAATTCATTAAAACATTACTGGGAGCCGTGCATAATTTAATCAAAATGTAATTAAAACCAAGGAAACAACTACTACGGGGGAAATAGAATATATATTCTTTACCGATTCCTGAAATTCGAGTGTCCAATTCGAATCCGGAGTAGGTCTGAGGGGCTTAATAAATTGACAAAGCACAAACATCGATATAAGCAACATGACACATATTATGATCATTACAACAAAGGCTAAATTTATAATATTAAAATATACCTTTATAGGAACAATATCTGTTTGACAGTATAGCTGTTTGCTACTCTCTAATTCCCAAGGCTGATGAAAGCTGTGGTACGTGGCGTGCACACGAGGCAAATCAAGTTCAACACTGTCTGTACCGCAGCTACTGTTTGTAATGCTTGTTCCACATCCAGAACTGCTGCTTACTATGCTTAAGGGCGATTCGATGCAGGCCTTATGGATGCAATAATATGATTTCAGTCAAAGAGGAGCAAATAAAGAAAAAAATATGCATAAAAATAAAACAATTTCACATGCAAATTAAAACACAACATGCTTTATCAAAAGCCTATTTAATTTGTGGATCTTGACAAGATTATAATACGCAAAATATAAATATTTAATCAGAGATAAGGTGCCTGTGTAAGTGTTTCTTAAAAAATCACATTAATGTCTTACACAAACAAATGTATCTACTTAAATGTTCATTAAAACTGGGTCACGAGCAACTAAATAATGTCTAAAGAAACACTAATATTAAACGATTTATTAAACCTCGGATGTTGAACCCCCATAAATATTTCTCAATTAATACCATTTAATTTAAGTGCTTAATACACGAAAAATATTTCATAAGTGTAATCATGATTTGTAATTATATCATCCAAATATTACATTAAATAATAGATTATTATTATTAGCACTATAAACAAAACAAACTATACTAAAACCATAACGTGTTCTTAAAAATTACTAATCATTTTGTATCAATAGTCAGAAAAATTTAATAAACTATATTATTATTGATAAAAACAGATTTAAAGAAATTATTAAATAGAAAAAAAATGTTTTTAATTAAAAAAAAAACTGGAAACTATTAACACTATTTTATCATACATTTTCAATATTTACAGAAGAAAATCTAACACATATAATTGTTTTATGGTTATATTATTTAAGTACATATAAGACAAATTACAAATTAGACTAGTTGAATTTCTTTTAAATAATTGAATAGCTATGAATAAAACAATACACGTGTACTTTATCCTACTTTTGTTTATAGTGTAACCTTTAAAGTAAATAATTATCTATACTACTCACTTGTGTCTGCACGAGATACGGGGAATGTAATGAAAATAATTTGCCAGCCTTAATATCTTTGACTCGTTTTATTGCTAGTAACAATCGTTTTTGATGACCAAGCTTAACTATTCCAATATCTTCCAAATCTTCCCATGTCAGTTGTGTTACATCGTCTATAGTTGAATATCCTTGGGCTTCTAAAGCAGACCCATATTCTTCTAGACGTAACAGCCTCAACCATTCATCCAATGATCCCTTGAAGTAAAAATATTATCATTTTAAGAGTTGTTGGAAAAAAATAACTAGATAATAAAAAAAAAAACTTACAGGTATGTGGTCAGGAAGTCCGTCAGATATATTTAGTAAGCCAATTTCCGCTTTGAGTTTCTTTCTATGATTTGGCTTTTTGACACCAATTGCAGTTAAATCCTATTCAAAATAAAAACTCCAACATTAGTTGCACACAATTTAGTATTCCAATAAACAATAAAGATTATTCAGTAAAGGTACAAAGAAAGACAAGAGTACTTGTACATTCAATATATTCCATATTCTGTTTCACATAAATTATATACACTAATACTGTAAATAATGTATTAACTCACTTCAGGTGTCATTTTTGATATAGTTCTCATATCGTATCCAGCAGTCAAAAACAATGGTAAATATTCTTCTAAGTGTAAATCTACCAGCCAACTATATAATATATCTTTATCCTTAAAAAAAAAAAAAAATGTTTATAACGTACGTAGTTTACTATTACAATTAAACAGTTGATTTAAAAAAAAAAAAAAACTTACAGGTACTCCTTGATTAAGAAGCCGTTCAACTCTAGTAGATGGGTTAAGTTCTGGTGGCCAATGCGTATTCCCTCGTAGGTTACAACCTGATGCACGACCACTGTCTAGGCTAGCAGTAGAATACCGAGATCCTGAACCAGAACCTGATGAACCAGGACTATCACGACCAGGACTCTGAGTCATATCGATTCCTTGATCTTCTTGAAGCGATAGTTGATGATAGTATGTCTTCATGTTTCCGGGTGGATGGGGATACTGCTGTGTAGAAAAATACGACACCATTAGTTCTTCCTCAATATTGTTTTCGATTATAAATAAACTTACCAAAGAAGATCCCGGGAATGTGAAAGCTGGATGGTTATATTGTGAAGATGGTGATTTATTCCCAATAGGATAATAAGTTTCTGATACATCGTAAACATCTAAAATATAACAATTGGTATTGAATATTAACAAAAATAATGTGAATTGAGTAAATTTTTTAAAAGGCAAAATGTGTTTTATCCATTTATTAAAACTCATTTCAATTTGTATTGTTATAAATATTAATTAATATAATTTATTTTACCCGGTTTAATTCCTGTACTTGTTTCGATGAATGCATCATCACTGGAGCTACTATACCCCGTAGACCCGAAACTGCTACCAGAATGTCTGCACGCAGCTAAATCTGGAATGGCGGGCGGAGCAACTTTTTTCACTTGAGGAATATTTTTTTGCGATTTGTTGCTGCTAACTATAAAACGAGTTCAATGTTAAAAATGTTTTTCGATTTCATACAAAACTTGTTTTAGCAAAATATACTAAGGTCCTACAGGAAAAGGTTATGTATTCGTACATTTTTCAACAATGGCACGGGTTTTTTAAAAAAGCCACTACTAAAATAAACTTAGTACTAGTGTTGCTGGAGGGTCGATGTTGTTAAGACCCTATACAGAAAGAGGTCAAAAGCCCATTGAACAAGTTGAAGTACCTATATTTAAAATGAATGCGTATAATAGCACACAAGTGAAATTCTTAAACGCATATTATTACTTAATATTATAAGTAAACAATACAAACAATATAATTTTCGCATATTACAAAACGGTTTGCATAATACTTCATTGGACATACACATTTATAAGAAAAGTACTTTGTTAACAAGTGGAAACCAAACAATTGGGATCCAATTGTGTAATAATTGATCAAAAGCCACTTGGCCAAACAAACAGCAATAGGTAGTGGTTGTATTTTTTTTTTTTTTTTTTGAAGGGAGAAAAATTATGAAAATAATATTTTTAACGCTTTGTTTACATTGAAATGTATATTTTTTTACTATGTATGAAAATCAGATACTTTAGTATAGAAAAGTACCGAATAATAAAATAATTAATAGGTCGATAATATACCTACTATTAAATTATCTATTTATTAAAATAGATGCGTGATAAACCAAAAAAATAGGTTCAAAAACATTAAAAATAAAGGAGTTTAATAATTAAAAACTATAAAAAAAGACACTACCATTAAACATTAACAAGTTTTGTTTAATACTTAATAAAAATAATAAAAAAGTTAGTTTTCCTTATACTCTCCGTTAATACAAAGAGAAAATAGAGGTTTTCATCGATAACGATCACAATTCGTTTTTTTAAATAATCTTTTTAGTTTTTATTTAAGAATAAAACCATTCTGTTTTATAACGCCATTACTAAAAATAAAATAAAACTATTCCGCTGATTTATAGATAGTAATTCAATAAATAATAATTATACAGTCTATAGAACGAGCGACGTGTTGGCAATAAGTGTAATAGTGGTTTTTAGCAGCATAAAAAGTGCGATTTCCATCTTAACCAAACGACAGTGTGATTTAAAAATGTTGGTATTACCACAGATATATACATATAACTAGATAGCCGACTTCCTATAATATCAGTATCGAACATTGAAGTCAGGAAAATGGCCGACTTTTCTTATCAAAGGGCCCCTTTTTTACATATTTCTAGTGTATAAAATTGAAATAACGTATTGGAAATTGAAATTTGGATATCGGAAGGCGACAATTTATTCATACATTTTATATTTTAATGTTAGTGGTTTTAATTTATTTATACTTATACATAATTTGTAATATTCCTATAATGTAATTAACATAATTTTATATTTTACTGTTAGTGATTTCAATTTATTATACTTAAATACATCAATTGTAATATTCATATGTTTTAATTACTAAAGTTTATAATTTTATGTTAGTCATTTCAAATTGCTTTTACAATCGTTAAATAAATTGAGTTTTTCTTTTAGTTTTTAATATTTTAGGTAGTTTAAAAAAAAATATTCAGAAGTAAAAACTTTGGTACATAGGTAATATGCACGAGCGAAACTTTTATGAGTTTTTTACATTATAAACCTACCTATTATATCATTATAGTAAGTCAAATGTACTAAATTAAAATTTCTTAAAACTAATTTTACTATGATAATTTATAATGAAAATCTTCATTATCATTACTCATAATGTAAACAATGACCTCTTTGATAAGAAAGTCGGCCATTTACCTGACTTCAACATTAATTATTAGTCGGCTATCTAATTGTAATATTATATATCTGTGGGTATTACTCTATTATTATAAGTTAATTATTTCAAGTTTATTATTATAAGTTTTAATTTTTATACCATGTCCTCTTAACGATGTCATAAATCACGGCTTAAATATATACAAGATTAATGCATATCCCCACTTTATTATGCTATCAATTCACAAAATGGCAGCGCAAGGGTACTTGTTTTTTGATAAATATAAACACAATACCAAGGTGGATTTATAAATACCTTTATAAAATAAATTTAATTTGATTGGCTGACCCTTGCGCTTCCATTTTATTGTTATCGTCGAGAAATGCTATAACGTCCTGGTATATTTAAATCATGTCATAAACGACTCGATTGATTTTTTAACCAAGTACTACCATTGATTTTAGACCGTAAGTTCGGTTAGGTATATACATTGTTGTTAATGCAACCAGTTACCACTTTTACGGTTTACTTCATACGTGGCTGGTCGAAAAAGGCAAGACGGCCGTACACATAAACTCGCCGACGAAATTTTCAATATAATATATATACATATATTTTTTATGGGTTGAAACAGTATTGTAATTTATAATAATATATTCCACGTTTCGACGACCGTTCGATTGGCAATGAAACACCACAAGAAACGAGTGGCGTTTCTTTAGTCGTACGAAAAAAAAAACGCTAAACAGTGGTAATATACGTATTATATAAATTATTATAAAATGTGTACCCGATATTTGCGTCGTTATCAATGCCGTGTGTTGGCGAACAGCTGATAATAATATATCGGGAGTGCCGAAACAAAGGTATTCAATAGAAATTAGAATCTAACCGTGAGATTTATTATTGCCCTCGGCTGGTGTATACGTCAAGCTGAATATTGTGTACTATTTCGAGTATAATGTTATACAACAATACTAAAATGTTGCATAAACCAGTTTGCCGGGAATGGGCATTTGCGTGGTTGCGAATACAACGAAAACGTAGGTGTAACACCTCGGATTAAAATAATAATAATAATAAGAATATCCGTGGGACGTTTTTGAGATACCGTCGTCGGCAAGATAAGTAAGACTTAGACATACACACACGGTAACACACGGAGAAAGCAAAAAAAGAACATACCTAATACTCGACAAATGTCTAAAATTAAAAACAACTTAAACAATATTATTATACATCCACCGGCGGCGGCGTCGTCGTGTATACGTTTTATTATTTAGGCCGTACACACAAAAAGGAAAAACCAAGGCTTTTGGAAAACATTAGCGATTAGCGGGTCGGGCGCAATTAAAAATTATTATCACTACGTGTACACACATTTTTACAACCTCTCGTGTATTTACACTTAAGGTTTTAAAAATAATCTTAAACCGTACAAGACGGCGGCGTGTGCGTCTGATAAGCGACAAGATCCTATATATTCAAGAGTCTCGGCGACCGAACATTCATAATATTATGTACTCTTTATGGCAATAGCATACATAATATTTTACTATATGGAGTCGTCTCCGATGTGCGCGTCAGACGTTTTTAACGTAGCAGATGTTAATTTTTTTATTATGTAGGCATATATTATAATAGTATACGGGGAAGGCGACATGTGTAAGAGCCGCTGGTTAATAAAAATCTACACCGCTACCATATAACACACGGCACTCGACTTTGAAAATTACTATAATATACTGACGCGTGCGCAAGATGACTTTTCGACTATCATAACAGGCTCTTTATGTAATAAATAGCAATATCCCAAAACAATATCGTTATTGATGTCATAACGTATGTTTAGAATCATTAACAGTAACAGTACCTACATTACACGGCCACTGGAAAACTACAGAGACGACAAATTGTGATTTTTATACACCTCCTCAGATCGACACCGATTAAATGTACAATAATAAAATACCTCTCTACATACATTATATCGGATATACCGTTGAACAAGCGGGTATAAACTTTTACACCTCGATTGTAAACGAAACGCAAAGTTAATGTTGGTTCGAGATTTATTATTGATACACAAGTTCTCAATAGGTACCCAGGGAACCGGGGGCAAGTCACTCGAGCAGCAACCCCAACAGCTGCAGCTGTCTGTAGTTTACTTTTTCCAACATAAGTTTAAACAAAGTCGCGACTCAATATATAACACCACATAAGTCATACAACGCACTACACACTAGTACACAAATTTGCGTACAGAAGAATACAGCAACAGAAGGCCAGAGTCCGAAAAACGGAATTAATCATTTTTAATTGATAACATACGCGGCGACGTTATTAATTTAATCGTCACATCGATCAGTTCGCCATAATATATTTTAGGTATTGACTAGTTAAATGTCATAATAAAGAAAACCCATGTATAGGAATACATCATACACACCACAAGCGTACATAATAGATTTACGCACATAATAATAATAATTATAATTATGGCCAAATTTAACCGAGTTATTTTTTTAATTAAAATGTGACATAACACACGTTATTATTTTGTACTCCATGGCACATTATTCGATGCTTTTACAAAACGTCTAAACACCAGTATATTGATTGTTGTTGGGAAATAATAATGTATTATTACACGTGGTGCCATTAATACACGAACACGTTATATACAGTGTGATACACTCGATATCCCCGACGACTTAATCTGTGTTAAATACCTAATTTAATTTTTTTTCCTTTTTGGAAGCTACTTGAATTACACGGATAGTATATATTGTAGCACATTGTTTATTATTACATTATAATATAATAGGAGACGGTACGCCGCACTGTCCCGTACCGTTAATAACATAATATTTGTTGCGTTTTTTTTTTAAAATACAATTACATTAGTTTTGCTTCGTACGAGCAAACTACGGTGATTTTTTATTACAATCACATTATTGGACGGTTTAGGAGAAGCTTTCTAATACATTATCTCTCGATCAAATTAAAATCAATTATTAATTAATAATTAACCGTTCCTCCTGCGGACTAGGATTGACGACCACGAGGCGGCGTTGGTATTTTTTTTGTTACTGAAACCGTCGAGTTTAAAACTTATATGTGATGTAAACAAACACAGAAATAAGAACTAAACATCTGAGACACAATAATAATTCTCATTGAAGAATGGGGGACGGTCGGCGGCAGCATAAGGCGGAAACGCGCCGAGTATAACAACAACGCTTACAATGGGCGCACACGACTTGTAGAACAACAATATAAATAATTGTGGCATATGTTTCCTACATAAGAACATATCGAACCGTAATCTTTTTGTTTTCGAGTTTAGGGTCTAGGAAATTAATTCATTCGGGTTGCACTCGAAGCGCGCGGCCGGTTGAATACAATATGTACCTAATAATATTATGATTATTAGGTATTTAAATTCCCATATGCGCTGACTGACGGCCCGCACGGACATAAAATTATGCGGCCGACGACATACGCGTGAAGGTTAACGTCGTCGTCGTCGATATATCGGCTGCGCCGCACTTACTGTTCAACAGATTTTTCCAACTTCCGCTCAACACTTTCAGGTATTTCGATAGGCCTTTTGATTCGGCGGTGGCGGCGGCGGCGGCGGACGACGCCACGGAGGCGCGACGAGACGGACCGGTCAGATTGCCATCGGACCGGCTCCGGAACAGCGAAGAGAACGGCCGTCTGCCGGTGGCGTGGGACGAAGACCGCGACGGCCGCTCGTCCAGGTACTCGGTGCCGATCAGCACGATGTCGTTGTCCTCGAACAGGCTGTCGAAACTCTCGTACGTGGTGTCGGCCATGTCGTCTTTCTTGTTGCCGTTCCGGCGGACCGAAGAGAACCTCCGGATGAACCCGCCCAGCGGCTTTCTGTCTTCCGACACGGAACGGTCGAGCACGCGTTTGCCGGGCGGCAACGGCGGATGGCCCCACAGGCCGTACGGCGACATTCCGGTCATGCTGCAGCCACCAGTTACCGTTTACCGGCCAGCCGCTGATTAGGTCGAACTCGTTCGACGGCCGTCTGCTATAATAATGTAATGCACAAACACACACACAATAGAGCACGAGGATGATGATAATAACGTCCGACGTTCGTTATTGCGCATACGCGCATTCCGTTACGAACTTTAATCGGACCACATTATTATAATAAAAACATACACAATCAATGCTCAACAGTAATGCCATTGTAGACGCCAAACAACAACAACAACAACGAAAACAAGGGGGCGACCCGTGACCCGTCGCGTCGTACGAACGTAAAACGTCTGGGATTTAACGAGAATTTTATGAACCCGGCCGTACCTACCGATAATTGTTTCAGATAATAAATCGAAACACTTAACGCTCTTGACTCGGATAACTTTCGTGTACTCGGCAATGTTATGTCATTTACCGCCTGACCCCCCAGTTCAACGTTTTATTGTTATTAACACTATTTACACGGTGAATATTGTTGTTACCAAGACGGGCCCCGCCGTTTCTAACGGCACTTTTAACGAGAAAAACTCAAAATATACTGTCCGGCCGGCGGGATAGTGACTTTTTGGAGGCCGTCCAAAAATTCTAGGACAAAGCACCGGTAAGGGTACATTAAACACGAACGGTCATAAAAAAACGGGGCCCAACATAATCGATTTAGAGATACACGTTTTTAAGTTCAAGTCTTTATCGGTAGCCGCCGTAACGTCAAACTTTGTACAATTGCAACAGCTGCAAGTACACGGACAAGGACGTCCGTCGCCGTTCTTGCCGTTGCACACGCAGCATTCCTTGCCCTATTCCGGAACGGAATGTTTTGACAAGAAATCACGTATTATGCTCCGCGTTAACGACGGCCACCGCGCCGGACCATAATAATAATTATGATTAACGTGAGCGACGGTCGGCCGACCGGGCCGTACACTGCGTGCAGGCTTCGTGAGCGCGAACACATCACGAAGAGGCCGTGCGCGTCCGTTCCGGCGTCAGAACCAATAACACAATAATTACCCAAATACAAACGGCTGGAACGCTAGATATCTGTGTATGAGATCATAACATTATGACGGCATGTAATCGTCACGACGAGAAGACGGATCATTGGTCGCGGAGCACGAAAAAGAAATGCCACTTGGTATATCTTATGCATATTGTTTGTTTGACGAAGACAAGAGGATTTCTTTTTATGGTATGGTTTTACAAATAATGGCAAGCTTGTGATTTGTATGTGCAAGCGCATTACATATGTAGGTGAAGGAATATCCTTGAAACAAAAAAAAACAAAATCGTATAGTCACTAATGAAATATCATTAGCGCTACGACACAATTATTGCCCCGCTTTATAAATCAGAAGTAAAAAAAAAAGTACACCAAAAAATCGCGACCGACCGGTTACCGCGCCGTATAGTAGAAAATTATGTACCCAACAAAAATATGTGCATATATTTTATAACAGAAACGTTTGGCGACATATAGACGTTATACTAGCATTGCCGTGTCTAAAACGCCCGCATGTTAAACGTATACCTAATATGAACAACAATAATATAAAAGGGTCTCGGGGAGGACTCGGATAACGCGTAGAGGGTCACGTTTTTGGTCGGGACCCGTTTTTGGGACAGAATTCTTCTTTCCCGCCCATAATTCGAAAACCGTATTGTCACTATATAATATTATACACCTATGGCGAGCAGATGGCGACGCCTCAAATCTGGTACACCGTTTTTTTATAATACCGTCTGGACCGCCGAACAATAGCCGCTTTCGATGTTGTCATTGTTGTTTGGCTAATTAAGTTTTTTTTAGAAACAACAGGTCCATTAAGTGTTCGGCGAGTTAATAACAATAGCGGAGGAGGTGAGTGAGTTAATCGTCGAACAACAACACTGTCGAGCAGAGACGTTTTATGTTTTCCACAAGTAAAAAAATATTTATTACTGACCTTTAATTTTGCTAACACCGACTGAACACAATATATACATAGAAAAATAAATACACTTATCGACCAAAATCCAAAAAGCACGGCCGATTCAAAATCGTTTGTGCGATATTTCTGTGAGTTTTGAGCGAACTTCCGAGGCTAACGATAAATAATATACATACGGCGTCGTGGTCGAGTTACGACGATTTTTCTTATTATTGTCTTGTTATTTTTTTTTTTACAACCTTCTAACACTAAAAAAAAAAAATAATAATAATAAAACGTTCTTCCGACCGACTCCGGACCGACATTAAACGCGAAAGAAAAAGGTTCGACCCACAACACGATCGACAACAACCCACGAACACAAGGCGACTAGTCGGTGGTATTGGAAGAGCCCACGCGGCTACCTACCTCGGGCAACGCGCAGCGACATCTACATAATATAACCGTATCTTCGTGCAGATACTTCCACCGTGTACGACTTACTCAAGTACAAAGCCGCCTAGTCGTGGTGCGGTAGAAGAGCTGAAGAGTCAATCTTAAAACGGCGACGGTTTTGGCACAACTGTCGTCCGAGATAATATATTATTTTTTACATCCTACCTAATCGGTAGTCGATTGTCCCGGTCCAAAACCAGCCCGGTAGCGACCAACGGGTTTCTCGATTTCCCTTATCCTAGGTAGGTCACAATTAGATAATAATAATCATAATATGTCGTATTGGATTATGTAAGCGTTCTCCGGTAGCTGTTCACAATTCCCATTGACAGTACCGTTTGATTTAGATTTCAGGTAGTCTTGCCGTATACCACAGACCAACCGCCAACATACAATGTCTATCATTTCTTTGATAACTCCTCAGTTTTGATCCTCACCGGTATTTGTGGTTTTTTAAACATTATTATTTTTTTTTTTATATTTTCATTAGCGAGACTTCACATTTCCGGGTCAAAAAAAACCACACAAAGACCTTTTTTCCGGTTCTTCGCGATTCAAGTGTTTGACAAAATACTGACCCCGTTATTCTTACCACCGTCCATCAATCATCATTATGACGATAACCCCGGGACCCATCATTATCTTTAAAAAGCTTACTTTTTTTCTCCATTTTAAAATCGCTTTAAGGTTGTCCAAGCGTTTAGTACGTAGATCGAATCCTGTGAGCTTTACGAGGGTATGACCGCATTTTCTATTATATATATATACTTGAAATAATTTTCTTTTTTCCATGTCTCGGAATAAAGTCAGATGTTTGCTGTAGTATAGTGTGCCGTATCTCAAGAGATTTTCTTCATTACTCGCGTGGCGTGTCCTTTGACCACTTCTGTCTGGCCAATTTTCTCCTTATTACTGTTTCTTCGTATATCCTATTAAACCAAGGTTTTGTTATCGATTTTTCACGTATATTTTTCGGTAGGAACGCCTGTTACAGCTTTCCAATTTAACATCAGCGGTTCAGATAAAGTTATTGGAAACGAACGGGGCCAATGTAAATTAAGTTTACTTTAGTACAAGCATTGTAGTAGTGTTTAGCAGCAGCCTTATTCTGATACGTTTTCAATCGTGCAAACATTGTCTACGTCACGACTCATTTTTATTGCAAAAATGCCCTTTTTAAAAAACGAGATGTAAATTGTAAGAAGAGCAAGTTTAACTAGTAGCCAAACAGGTAAAAAACAAATACTTTTTTTAATGTTTTACAGAAATAAATGATATAGATTTCAAGCGCAAATTGCGCATTCGCCTTGTATGCAAATGTTTAAGAGGTAATTGCATAATTATGCTTAATTATACTTGATTGCTAATGACAGTTTAAAAATTAGCTAGAGCTAGAAAAATTAACCGTTCAAAATTATTGTTCGTCAAATATACAAATAATATCGCGCGACTAAAAACCAACTAATTGAAAACACATGCTTTACCTAACAACTAACACTCAACAGTATATATTATATTATGTTATGTATATATATTTTTTTTTTTAACGCTTAGACTGTGTTAAAAATTATCACGTTTTCTGGCTTAAATGCGCGGTGTTGAGAAACTTTTTTTTTTGTTCATCGTAAAAGATAGCTATTTATTTGTACAAAAATCAATAAAGATAATCCAACCGAAGAGAGATAATTTTTTTTTTTGATAATCGGACGCTGGGAAAGGAATATAAAAATATATTGTTCAAGATGAAAAGTATATATTGCACGGACGTCCGAGTTTGGAAACTTGGGTTTTTTTTTTTTTTTACTGGTGTATGCAAATGCAACGAAAGCAGCTTATAGCGCCAGGTACACACAATATAAATGTGGGCAGCTTAGGAATTTCACAATGTTCGCCATATGGTCGGTATACCGCCGAATGCCCCTTCCCTGCGCTTATCCTCAATCAACTAGTTCGACGACTTATGGTTTACGGTACGCATTACGCGTAGTTAGGCCAAACCAACGACCTTGTCTGCGCCATATTTTCGTTAATCGTTTTTTTTTATTATTTTATTTGATTTTTACGTCGACCGCAAACGCGGTTGCGCGTCATTTAAGTTTTGGCTTGGCACATAATATATGTATTTTACCGAATAAAAACTCTACAAAGTGCAGCATAATCAACGCTCGTTAGGAAAAATAACATTTAGCAAAAAATAAAATTAATATACAAAGAACAGCGTTTCTGGTAAATTAATAATAATAATAATAACAAAATGAATTGTATGCTTGAAAATAGTAGCAATATTGAAAAACAAATATCTACGCTTAATAATCGCGCAATAGATGGCGAAAAATAAGGTTGTAAAACCGTTAAAAATATGTGATAAACATTATGGAAGCATCGTAACCACTAAAAGTGGAATAAGACTTAAATGGGCTGTTAATGAGCTACAGATGTCAGTCGTAGAATTAACACACAGACACGATCATGTACAATGGACATATAAATATGAGGAAAATATAATTACGAAATTCTGGTATTAGGGCTATTGGGAATATTGAATATTATTTATTGATTTAAATTGTTATTTCATAAACACTGTGAACTAATCGAGTAGTTTTCTCTATTCGAGCACGCCGAAAGTTGTGCCTGTGCTGACTCGGTAAATGTTTCATTAAGTCAATAAAGCCAAACCGTAACGATGAGTTTTCGTTTTTTTTTTTTCAATTTGCCGACTCGCTTGTGGCCTATAAATTAATATTATTACAGTACACAACAACAATATGTTCGTGGTAAAACTTAAAAGCTTGATTTTGGCCAAAATTTGTCATTGCACGCAGAGTTGTGCATCACCATTAGAATAAAACGTTATATAAATACCAAATCATCTAGATAACGCATTATATAAGTAAAAGTTATTTTGAAAAATTCCAAAAATAACTAAGAATTTGCACAACTTTTGACTGTAGCACGTTGCGACGTTACCGTTATTTTTTAAACTACAACTGTATTGCTCTGTCAATCTGTACTGAATTCGGCGTGTTGACGTGGAAACTAATTTGCGATAAAACTATTGATTCACGAATCACGATCCATTGTACGGGTTTTGTATATAATACACGGTGCGGGTATTATATACAAATGTTGATGGTTTGTATACTACTCGAACGCAATAAATTATTTTTTTGAGTTTTGCCGACAAGACGCAGCGAGGCAAACAAGAGAAACGTGCGTCAAGAGCATAATATAATAACCGAACAATGTAGTAATCCACGTACATCAAAGCAGTATTACTTTTTAATAATGCATTACATAAAAATAAATAAATACGTACGGCGGCTTTGTCTTTTTCAAATTATTGTGAACGCCTAATCGGCCATAGCCGTTTTCTTCAACATCGTTGTACAGATTGGATTCACTTTCACCGTCTCGTTTATTCTTTTAGAATACAACAATAGACGTGTACTCTCTTGTTCGAAGACAATTTTCTTTTTCGATCAATATTGGTTTTAATCACTGAACTGTGAATGCAATTCAGTTCAACGGGTTTATTAATCGGAGAACCACCGCCTCATTATTATCCCGTGTCGTTTAAATGTAAACCGAATGTAATCTATTATGTGGTGCAAACTTCAACTCGTTTACGATAAAAGATTGTAAAAAAAAAAAAAAAATACTGTTTTCAAACGCATTACCACCGATTTAGATGAACAAACCCAACGGCTTTATGGAGATTTATTATGATGCGAGTTAGGCGTAGCTTATAAAAAGGTTTCTTTTAATACTCGAGAGTATAAAGTACAAGCCCGGTAACGGCTCCTGGCTAGTGTAGAAAATTATCCCGAGGGCAGTTTTCACATCAAAATCTGGTTTTACGTGATCGGCCTAGTTGCTACAAACGAAATGGGGATGGTTTATACAATATTATTCATGTACACGTTCCTTCCATTTGTGTGTGTGTGTATGATGTGACTGAGGTGTGCATGCAATGTGTATCGTTGAAGACAAGAAGACCACCATAGAACTGATACCGAGAATTTTTAGAACATAACAAAGTACTGATAACTATGTTTGTATATTATGTTAATATTATTATATTCTGTCCGGTGTCCCTTACCGCACGAAATACTTAAAAATATAAGAGCAGCAGCACAACTCGTGCCTAGCTATTGTTAAATAATGCAGCAATGTGCATTTTTCTTGTCCTTAGACTATTACTATATTATGTTTTATTACCTAGTAGACCAACACTAAATAAACGATCACAATTATTGTAATTCAATCGAAAAAAACACATTACGTAATAAGTAATAAGTATTATTATACTAGAAAGTCAATACTAACAAAATTGTATTACGATAAACGTAAAACGAGTAATGCGATCTCAAGTTATCAGTAATCAGATCCATATAATTCCCATAGCTGTCAACTACCAGGACTTAGTACTGTTCTTTGCGACGTGTGTCGGTGAAGATTGAGCATGAGTCATAATTGTCAAACCCATAAAACCTCATCGATATAACGAAAGTGTATTAAATATAGGTGATTTTTTGAATTTTATTAAAAATGCTTTTCAGACAATTGCTACGAAATCGTAAATTTTTGAACATTAAAAGTATACAAAAGTTACACTAATGACAATACTGCCATGATGGTACTACCGTGTGGTAATGTCAGGGCTAGAAAGTACTGTCACTGCAGTAAGACAATTGGGGACTATTTTAACATATCTAAGGGAGTTGTGCCCACATGCCCTATTCACAAAAAAAATCTCTACCTCAATAAGCACCAGAACAAATAACAAAATTAGTAAACCTAAATTAATTTCAAATCTTAAATAAATAACTAAGGAATATGCTTTGGTCGAGCTACCGAGTTCCTGAGTAAAAATCGGTAGGCAGTACTAAATTTTTTTTTTTTTTGTGATTCAGTCTTTTGGGATATATTTTGGCTATTGTAATTTGTAAGTAATGAAACTTTGTACCACGCAAATATAAAATTGGCTCACTAATGAGATTGTTATTTTAATGTTTAGCAAATTTAATAGTACAATAACAATTAATTGATATTTAAATTTGTAGGTACAGTAAAACAAATTACTTTTAAGTACAATATTTTTTTAATCATCTCATAATTATATAAATACATGGTACTTGTGTATTATACGGACCCCACCTATTTTTTGCAATATCAAAGGGTAATTAAATAAAATAATACGTTTTCTAAGTAGACAGAAATATATTTAAAAGGAAAATAACAAAAAATTTCAAAATGTACAAATTTTGTGATGTCCAAAAGTCTGCGAGGTCGACGAGTAATACTTCAAACGTGTCGCCGCCGCTCTTGGTTACCGTCATGCGCTATATTTTTATTTTTTAACTTAGTCTTTAATTTAAACTTGACTCAACTTTAAACCTGTGACCTCTTCCTAGACTGTAGCCTGCAAACCTAGGATAATTTTAGTTTAGCGGAGCGAAGTGATGGCGCCGAGCGAGCAAGTGCCAAAACATTTGATGACCTACCGTCCTGGCTGGTGGGCAAGTAGACACGGTAGAGACTAGGGCATATAATCGCTTCATTAGAAACTGTATTAATGTGGAGTAGTGTGATTAATTTGATCTAATAACCCTCAGATATAGAAAAAAATTGGGGAGGGAGTCCGTATAGTACGTAAGTACCGAATACATTATAGTTTTTTACTATTCATTACTTGCATATTTCACTACCTAATATTATTTAGAGATCCAATAGCCTCAGATGCTGCGGGTATTAATAATAATAAAAAAAGTATATATATATATTTAAATCAGAAGTCTGTTTTTCATGTAACATTTAAACATCAAAATAATTATTGACATAATGATGAAATGTTCTATGTTGTTAACAAAAAAAAAAAAAAATAATGTATAATAGCAGTGTTTTTATAGTACGTAATTAAGCGACTAGAGGCCAAAACTAGGTGAATAATGATAGTAATAATCTATCAATATTTCAATCAATGTTAGTACCTATCTATAAATTCGGTACTAACATTTTCTACCGCATTATATTAATATAATGTTACAAAATTTGTTTTTTTTTTTAATAAAACAATGCTTTACTAATGGCGTTGTTAATATTATTTTGTCTTATTTAGTTTTAGTAATTTAATTTGATAGACGATTAAATTTTGAAAATATTTTTTACATATTAAACAAAATACTGTACATATCTTCAAATTAATTAAATACTTTATGTTGAAGATAAAACTAGATTTCTGATCACTTATCAATTTAACTGAAGAAGGTTAACACTTAACAAAAAATGATATATGTAGATAACCTTATGACATTGGACTAAAAAAAATTATGATTAATCTGAAATCAACAGTAATTAAAATGTGTTTTGCTATTTATCACACTAACAATATTGAATACAGCAGTTCTGTTTTCAAAAGCAAGATAGGCAAAGAAAAATAAATGTGCCAGGTGAACGTTATAAAAAATATTTTTAATATTCTGTCATCAGACACATAATTTACAATATTAAGTAATTTTAATTAATGCATTTAAAAGATGCTTGACAAGTTGTACCACAGATAAGATAAAACTTTTATTTTATCTGTGGTTGTACAACAAAACACTTTTAATTAGTGGTATTCTATAAAAGCCATCGTAAAAAGACACATCAATCATTTCTGTACGTTAGCTTATACAGAAAGTATAAAGAATAAACATACTTGATAAATAAAATAATTAATTGATGCTCAGTTATTTAATTTATGATTTTCTAAATGTTTATTACTTTTGATAAACCAAAAAAAATAAATGGACTTTTTTATTACCTAGGTACATATCAAAGTTCATGCGAGAAAAAATATTTCACAAAAAGTTAATTATGTTTTTAATAAACATAATAAATAAGATTTTAAGAAAAACACTTATGATTGATTACCACTTATGCATAAAGTAAAAATCAGTAAAAAAAAAAAATGTATGTCAATTTAATATTTCAGATAAACTAAGTAAAAATAATATGTATATAAACTATAATCACGCTGTAGACACCATAATATAATGCCATCTGTATAACATATGTCAGACTGTCTGCTGTCAGAGTAACGTGTTCCTTATAATATATGTAAATCATCAGTATTGTTTTTTTTTATTATTTATTTTGTATACTATACTTAAAAAATCTATTTTTAATGCAATGCATATTTAACATATTATGATACCTGTTCATTTTAACGGAAATTTTAAAATTCCTTAATGCAACATAGATATAATTTAAAAACAAAATCTTGGGGGGTTAAATGTTCTATAGAAATGTGTAGTCTAGCTTCTTTGGTAAAATGGTGTTAAAAAGGTTGCCATTTATTTCAAGTAATATAAAAATGTGTTATCATAAAATACTTATATACAATTTGATTGTTATGTGGAAAGTGTAAACTCTTTGTGTCTCTCTAAAATATGATATACACCCTTCAATTCTGGGCCTATACTTAAAAAACAAACTTATTTTTTTCTGTCTAAAAAAAAAGTCCGAATATTGTATTAACATTGAGGATTTAAAAAATGTTAGTTTTTAGTTACATTTGTTGCATAACCTGAAACCTTGAAAATTTAAATGCTTGGTAAAAACTTCAGTAAATAGCTTACGCCTTAGGTAAAAATGTGAGCACGTTTTAACGAGTAAATAATTGATATTCTATCCTAGTAAACGATACCAAGTACAAGAAATCATTAATCGCCCATGAGACGTTAGTCAAGTGAATATAATTTTATTTGTGGGTGTTGACGCTAAATAGAAATATAGATCATTTTTTACCATGCAAGGTTTAGAAGCTATGACTTACAAATAAGTTGTAAAACTTGGCTAGAAAATGTCTTAAAATGTCATAACTTACCGCTAAGTTTCCTCATGGTGTGGCGTACGTGTTGAAAATTGCTTTTGAGTAACAATCTACTGATTGTGCCTGTACTTGAGATCGTTGCACATTACAAATAATATGTGTACCTATATCGTAATTGCACTATACTTTTCATGACTAGAAGATAGCCGCTTATCGGTTGCAATCTAGATGCACAACGAATATCGACCAACATAATAAGAATATAATATATAATATGAAATAATAGTCCTCGGTGGACTGCAATTTTCAAACGGCAATATTCACAACATGATAATTATATTATGTAGTTATTTGATTTTCAACACTCGGCCTAATCGGTTCGGTAAAACGGAAAACAAAATTACTATCAAACAACAAGCACGCACGCACTATACAGAGAACTTTAATAATAATTCCACTACTACTTTTCGTCTACACTATAAGTGCACTCCGAGACTTGTGTACTGTGTAGCATAATAGTATTATAACCACCGCCGGATAAGGAGGAAAATATGACAAGCCTTGTCTTCGTTGCGATGCGCATGCGTTTCCTTCTACGGATCGCTGAAAGCTGGTCGTACGGCAAGCAGTGCGCCAGTAAATAGTACAATATTTTAGTGTGTGTGTGTATACTGTATACACAACAATAAAAAGGCTAGAAGGCACAAGTTAAAAAAAAAAAAGAAATAATAAGGGAGTAGGGACGCGCCTGCCGCCGGTATTGCCTTATATTTATGTAGCGTCATCTGGCGGATAAAAATTAAAAATACATTTTAAAATGTGCGTTTGACCATTTAAGATTTCAAATCGTCTTTATAGCAGTTAACAGTAATGCCGGGAACGAATGTCTAGGGGTACTGGACTCTTCTCTCGCACCGAAACAACAGCTAAACCAGTATAAAATTGACAATGTTAATAAGTTTTTTAATTATACGGTCCCTTGACATTTTCGACTTCCCTTCCTCCACGTGAAGAATTTTTAAAACACCACTGGTGCCTGGACGTTACTAGAAATTAGCACAAGACAAGACAGTTGTATGTTTTACCGACATAAATCAATATCAAACACAGTCATTGGAATTCGGAGATCTTCTAGTAAGTACTTTTGAATGGCATACTTTGGATCACAAGTACATCCAATAGGTAGGTATTTGAAAATGTCCTATCTTTAGCGATAAAAATATAATAAAAACCTAATTTGTTCTAATTATAGCAGATATCATCGACTTTAAAATCAATGCAAGCAGATACTAAAGTTGGATCTCAAGCACTTCTATCTATGCATAACTGGTGCAGTTATACATACATGCTTTCATTTTTATGTAATAGTTCAAATTATAATAGAATTAAACAATTTATTTATTATTTAAAACTAAATACAAAAAACTATTTTTTTTTTTTACATGAAGGAAAACATGTATTTAATAACCCAAAACATTCAACGCTTACATATGTATTAAGTCTTTAGTAAAATAATTATAATTGATTAGTCAAACAAAATGTATAATGTGTTGTTCCATTATATAATATAAAAAATTGTTTTAATTACAAAATTAAATTGTCAATTTTCATAAAATGTAATAAATAACAGTTTCTATATTGCACATCAGTAAATTATATTTAAAGCCTAAGATTAAAAATTGTAAGTCTATATCTATATTATAATAAAGTGTAGGGAGGAAATAACAACATAAATATTGAAGTAATAGTATAAAAGACACATAAAACCCATAAAGTGGTAGTAAAATAATTTAAAAATATTTAGAACATAGAATGAAATTAATAAATTATACAATGTAAACTTAAAATATAACTTAACTATTAAAATGATGTTCTATTGTTTATAATTTGTATGCTTGGTGAAATGATATAATTTGAATGTATTAAACAATTAGTTGAATATTTTGTTAGACATATACAATAAATGAATTGTAATAAATATGAAATAATAATTCTTGTTACAAAAGAGAAAACATATTTTGTAGGAAACAATAATTCATTAATAGGAATAGTTCCCCTTCACCTATATTAACCCAATTTTGAGTCTCAGATTACGCTTCAAGACCCAAGGCAAAAAATATTTTATTTTTTGAACACGAAAATATTCCCACTATTGAGAAACACATTATAATAATTAATGATTAACAAACCACTGAATTAAATACTGTAAGGTGAAACCAAAAAAAAATCAAAGAAATACTATTCATTTATTTTTTTTTCTTTATTCTTTTTTTATATCCTTTTCCAAACCAACCAGCAGTTACTTTGGTTTTTTCAATAACTTCATCATTTTTATCACCTATTTCATCAGTCTGCATTTCATTCTCATCTTCATTTTCGGACTCTTCATCGCAACATAGACAAGTTGTTATATTATCTTTAAACGTTTCTTCATATCGATGATAAAACAAACATTTTGTTGAGCCATAAACTGGATGACAAAAAGTACAATAACGACTGATCGAGATATCTGTCTTTTTAGAGTCGTCTTTATCTTCTTTAATATCAATACTTTTTTTGTCCGGACTATTAGATTGTTTTTTCTCTAACTGAAGTTTTTCAACAGCTGCTAAGCTTATACACGCTTGATACACAAAGTTCTTATAAAGCTGATCAACAGGAGTTGGAGACAAACCTAATGTTTCCATATTATTTATAAAGAATGGATTCAAATAGGGCACTAATGGATCGACTAATGATAACATGTTTGGGTTATCTAATGAATGTTGTTCGATGCCTTCAATAAAAGGCCGCCAAAAATTACTGATTGATGAAACTAGATCCATGTTTGAACATGAAGGAGAACTTAAAAATTCTTTTTGATCTTCTATAGAAGCAGGGTTTTCTAATTTAACTAAACTATTGAGATCAATAGGTTGAGTGAGGTCATTTGATCCTGAACACAATTTGGCATTGTTTATATAATTACTTATATCTAATTCAAATTTTTCGCATTTTTCTGTGATAGTTGTTTCACTTTTAACATCATCGGTCGGACCAGCCAAAACTGGATGTACAGTTGTATGTTCTTCGGACGATACTAACATTGTTGCATGGTGAAATATAGGGTCTAGACAACGTTGATACTTAGGTATATCCAAATTTAGAATTGACATTACTTTTTCCATGATATCATCGCATTTACCTTTTTAAGATATAATTTTGCCATAAGTTTAATATTATTAAAATATCAAATAAAAACATTTTGTTTTTTTAATTAAAAATTATGCTTACCATTTATTTTTAATGTAGCTTGATCATCCTTTGGGGTCCACTGAAGGTTCACAATATATAATTTTGGTCTCTTTTTTAATGGTCTGTCCATAGACCAAAGCCAAGGATATTTTTTTAGAACCTAAAAATTATTTTAATAGATTATTATGTTTTAGATGTTTAAAAATTATCTAAATTATAATTTGAGGAAAGCAATTTTATAAAGAAATATTGGAAAATTTAACTATTATATTTAGCAACGTAAATATGTAACTACAAGCCTTCTGTATTTATGGTACCAATACGACAAATCCAACTAACTGTAAATTGTACCTATTCAGGTAGGTCTACAAAGAGACCTTCGCTTTTACCCTTTTTTCTTAAAATTGTCTGTATATATTTAGGCACAAACATTCAAAATAAAGAAACAACTTAACACGTACCTTCAAACTAGATCCTAAACATAAAATTACATCAGTTTTTTCAGCGTGTTTACATGCTGTCGACCAATTGATTGGCCATTGAAGTTTACCACGTTCACCAAAATGAACAATAGTATCCTTTAAAGGTTTGTGACAAGCATAACATAATCTTAACGTTTTATGATTAAATCTTGCTGTATGTTCAGTAACATCAAACATTCGTAGATAATGTCGATTTGGCTTACAATTGTTACATACCTAAATAAATAAATAATTTTAAATTTGAATAAAATGTAATGGACATAATCCAATTATCATAAATACTTCAATAAACATGTTGCCATGGACTTCGGATAATGCGGGTCTTGGCAAACCACTTCTCAAATGCAATCCATCACAATTTTGAGAAACAACATGTCTAAGTAGTCCTTCACGGTACAATCTATATAATGCCATGTGAGTTAAAGTTGGTTCAGCTACACTTATATCATGACACCTAAATAAAGTTTTATAATAGGTACTTAAATGATTTAAATAAAATAATTTAACTTAACAAAACTCAAAATTTACATACCCTATATCTTTCCCTTGATCCAATAGGGTCCAAATTCCATTTGATCCTCTATAATCAGGAATTTTAGCAGCAGTACTTATTCCTGCACCTGTATAAACTACTAAATTTGATGCTGATGAAATGGCTTTCGCTAATTCTTCACATTTTGTATCTATAACTTCCACTGGGTCTTCAAACTCTTGTAATCGTTCCTTAACTTTTTTTTTCCTATCCAATCTAGAACGAAAAAAATAATATATTTATTTACAATAACAAAGATATAACCTCTTTCTAATACAATTGTTTTTATAGTAAAAATAAAATTTGTTTAATGCAACAGATATATATGTTTATATGTATAAAAATAGTACCTTTGAGTAATTTTTTGTACTGTATCTTTGCACGTATTAAGTATCTCTTGATCATCGACTGTCCTTTCAGAAAGAGGTTTCTGTATTATTTCTAAAATCTGCAACAAATTAAAAGTTATAATAACATTAATAGTACAATCGTATTTTTGAAACTATATTTTTACTTTAAATTTATAAGTAAATATTAGAAGTGCTTATTTAAAAAAAATGAAATTTGGCATTATGGCAACTCATGAGTTGTATACATATTATTCATGGCCCTTATACTAATTTCTGTCTTTTTATTTTTTACTAATTATTCATATAGTACATAAAACTACATCTAAAATATTTAGCACCCATAAGTTTAGTTTTGTACCCTCCCATATTCATCCATTACAAGTAAAAACGGAATTTTGAAGCTACTCTACGAGTTTTTCAAAATACACTCCTGTGTATTCTCAATTCGATATAAATATAGTGATGATTATTTTAAATATCTTGATGTATAACATTCAGAATTATTAAAACTAACGATGGAATATATATTATTTATCCTAAAATTTCCATTTGTTTTAATTTCTAACGCCTCTCCAAATAAACATAGCTCATGCAAGATGGAGGTGGCCAACATCTATTTTGCAAAGCTAGAATTATGTACTTTTTCAGTATACATCTACGCCTTAAACTGCAAAAAACCATCATACAGAAATGATGATTTTAAAAAACAATAATTTTATCATTTTTGTACATCATTATTCATTATTATTCGAGATAGAAAAAACAAATTAGAAATGAACTATATTGTCAACATTATGGAACTCCATAATTTTTAAGTTTTGTTTACAAAAAATACCAAGGACATATTAATTGTCAATATATATTATAATAAGCATGTTTTGGATATTTATCGATTTGTTGCAGTTTTGTGGCGAGGTGTCGATATTATCCCACTTTCTAAAAGAATAGTGAAATAAACAGGTAATTCTCAAACGGTATCTTTTATTTGAAATAATTGAACTCGATATCAGTTAGATACAAACCTTTTTATTAGATGCATTTCTTTCCTTCTTTATACAAAACGCAATGTTCAACGCAGCTTTCCTTTTCATAAACTTTGGTTTTCCTGCAACTTTGCTGCTATCCATTACATTTAAGTAATATGATGTTGGGCGTATGAACAACTAATGGGAACTTCGTTTTAATAGGCATTGGCCAAGTGCTAACAGCGTTGCCGAACGAGTTGATAATGAACACACCACAGATACATTTCCAGTGGAATAATAAGAAGGCAAGAGTTTAATTGATTAAAATACGAAATACATTTGATACGATATAGTAGTTGGTTAACTAATTTTGGTAATGTAATTACATCATATAAATGTAACTTGACAAATGTTATGAAAATATTTTGTACATATAATCATACCAAAAGATATCGCACAATATCAGTTAAGTGTTAGCGACTAGCGTAAATCGTGATGACGAAAAAGTTAAAACCGACTAAACAAATTATTTTTGTAACACTAGTTATTTAGTTATTAATGAATAGTGCCTATAGTGGTTAATTTTTTATCGGCATAATGCTTGTCTATCGACACAGATGTTTTTATTATTATTATTATTGTTTTTTTTTTTACAATAAAGTTGGTACTGGGTATTAATGAACCTTGGTACAACATACCACCTCGGGGCTCAGAGACAGCAGCTGTTCTCAGACTGGATTTATCAATGATAAAACGAGAAATTTGATTGGATTTTAGATCCGACAGCTGCTGTTGTGGAGGTAAATTACTGTTTCATCCATGAACGAATGCGCACGAAATTGGCGGAAATATTTTCAAATGTTTCTTAAAACGGATTGAAATATTATATGGATAATGATTTAGATGTGATGAGAATTTTGCATGTTACTGTAATTTTAAATCAATAATTATTTAACGGCTAAATACTGAACTATTACAGTCTTAATAAAGCCAAGTCTAGTATAATACTATCATTATTGCACTCCGTCAAGTTTTGTGCTCTTAATATAATATAATATTTTTTAATATTTTGAATTCTTACTCATTTCATTTATTCTTACTTAAATATATATATATATATATATAAAACATGTTTAAAAACATGCTTTTCTAAAAAAAAAGTAAAAAAATTTATTTTACTACAAGAACAGTTTACCAATCAATTGTAGCACATATTTAAAAAAATGTCAATTACTTTGAAAACAACCGAAAATTAACTACAATTTTAAACTTTGTTAAACATTTTTAATTGTTTGACTAAAAAGAAAAGCGTGGGCCCTATTGAATAAAGTCGCCCTCATAAATTTATCAGATAATGTTTTTTATAATTTATTGTAAGTTTTTTTTGGAATTTAAATTCGCTTAACGCGTGTATTTTAAATCATCTAACTTACACGATTGTTCTCGATTTGTCTACCATATCTTAACTTGTCGAAGAAAATTAAATTAAAAACGAAATACTGGTTATAAATAATTCTAAACATACTTCTTTAAACAACATCGTTACCGTTGCTAATTTGTATTATTATATTTTCATTGTCACTTTATAAATTTGTTTTTTGTTAAATATCTTTTTGTGTGAACACATTAATTAGTTTTGTTTAAAACTTGTGAAATTATTGAAACAAAAATGGAACCGGGAAATGAACATTACTATTACTGGGTACGTATAAGTTTTATCATACAAGTTTATTAAGAGTTTAGCACGTCGATGGTAGTTATACACGGGGCAGATGTTACCTGACTGTTGTGGTTCACCGCGGAGGAATCGCCTACGACCGACTAGTTGCGCCGGGCGCTAATTACCAACCGAAGAAGGTTGGGCATCAAAATAAAGTGATCCTATAGAAATCAGCCTTTTACCGGACAACAAACAACAACAGTTATTTTTACAATTTCCATTCTAACATATAATTACGCCGTTGTAGGTAATTTTCGACAACTCTGTGGATCAGACGACTTTGTTTAACGCACTCCTACCGGCAAAACCCATATTGGCAATACCCTATGCGTCGCAGACGGTAAGTACATATGACTTATGACCACATCGGACGTCAGATTTATACTGAAACCGTTTTTCCCGCCTTCGCCGTTGCAGATGGTAATGGACCCTTGGTGGCCAACGTATGTGGTGGAGACACCTAATGTGGTCGACGTGGGAACTCAACCTCCTACCATGATAAATGTTTCCGTCCCGCCACCAACCATCGCCGACCTGAGGAGTCCACCGCCAGGGACAAGTTATCATACGACCCTTTGGCGACCACCGGTATGTCAATTGCTAATTACCTCTCAACTAGTGGTTACTTATGTACCATCCGTAATCTTGGGGGTTGGATTATTTCGTTGTATAAAACGGGATAACACGATTGTCACGAAAAGTTGTTGCACCGAATACTGTTACTACTAGTCGTGACAAAAGTTATCTTTAAAGGGATGACACCACTTTTAATTCCCATTTATGATGTTGTTTTAACAGTAATATTGCTATTATTTTTAAACTAGAACAAATAGTTTTACAGCTGATTTTCATAATATGACATTCGAGAGACGTTTTTTTGTAGTCATAGACTTGTAAAGTAGTTTCTACTTTCTACGCTAGAATTTTTGTTGGTTTCCTCCATTCCAATCTCTCATATTTATATTTTTTGATATCGCAGTAGTTAATTCCTCTAATTAAATTTCACCCCTGCTTTGCAGTTTTCCCATCTTAACGTGTTCTTTCTCAATTTTTTTCATTTAATGTTGCACTCGATCACCAAGACAACGGTATTCAAAATATTTCATATCTACACTTTTATTTGTATGTATTTAATAATAATACAATGATACATAATTGTTTTACATAATTAAAAAATACAAAAACAATAGTTAAGTTCACAGCTAGTAAATATCTGACTAGAGAATAAGTTATTAGTTATAAACAATACAATATATCTGTAACAGCTGTGTAGGTATAAGTGTGTAAGTCGAATTTTAGTTAAAATTGACAAGTACGCTTAGATGTAGTACGAGGCGTCTAGCACACCTTGAATAAATGTCTAACTCGTTGGACCAACAAGAAAACCACGAGAGAGATGTGAGTTATTGGCTAAGTAGAGATTTATGGCAGCTGGTTTAAGTTTAAAATCGCTGAAATCGACTTTTTCACAGTTGTTACAGATATATTAAAGCGTGATTTATTTTTTAAGTTAATTCCTTAAAATTATTTAAACATTTGTTTATTACAATGATGTGTTAAACAAAAAAAAAAAAATTTTTTTTTGTAAATTATAGAAATGTGTTATGCAATTAATTAACATTATTTCAATTGAACACTATGCACTTAAATAACCAACACTATTCTAGTTTATTGATTTACACAAATTAAAATAAATTAATAGTGATTAGCAAGAAGGTAAACATCATAAATGAAAACTATTTGTAAAAGCTAACTATATATAAATAAAAAACAAAGACGTATATTCTTAGTCTTTAAAGAACTGTTTAACTTTTAACAAACAAATTGCAATATAAAATAATCTGTATTTGTTTTAAACTAAAAATACTTTGTTTTATATTAATTTTTATTAGGAAGGTTTAGGTATATATTAGTATATTTTAATTTTCAATAAAGCTCTTAATAAATTCAACTCCCTCCGCCCTCGCAACCAGACAATGTAAAAGCAATTTCATTTTTACAAATTTTTTCACTTTCTAAAAAAAAGTTAAATTTGTTTAAACAATTATCAAATCAGTTCTTATAATAATGTCGCTTTTGATAGTGTAGTCTTAATCGTCCTGTAAAAAGTCTTAATTTTTCAAACAATAAGGTGTTCGAAATCAAACCAATCTATAAACCACGAGGCACAATTTTCTGATATTTTTAAGTATTTTTAACCACCTAAATGACTAGAATACATAGAAAAAAATGTGTATGTTAATTATTCCCTAAACAATTTCCTCAAAATAAGTTGATGCCTAAAAGTTATTGATGTAATAATTAATAATTTTTAGCATGGAACTAAATTTGTAATAATTATCCAATAACCATGATTATTAGTGAGACAGGCCAATGGTCACACTAGGATATTATCCTAACAGCTGTGTAGAAAAATTACCTGTTAAAATTTTTGAGACATGCATCCCTATAATAAATATATACAGGGTGTAAAGTAACACATCATGTGACACATAATTTTGGGTTAGAATTTTATTCTCAATTCAGTGGTGTCCTTAGAATTATTTTATATTAAACGATGTGTGGCATGCCACTTGTTGGTTTTAATCACATGTCGGCCACACAGTGGCCACCCTGTGGACGTCAGGTTAAATATCAATTCAACAAGATTTTTTCTCCTGATTTCAAATATGAAATTGTTTTTTTTTGGTTAGACTATTTTTTAATGAGACGAGTTCTATTTTAAATAGTTTTAAAATTAAAAAAAATGAATACCATTTATCGTACCCATAAAGCATTCTGAATGTCCCATTTGAAGCTCGGTAGAATTTTACATTACATCCTGTATATTGAATCCCTATAGCTTAATGTAATGTATTTAATGTTATAATCATGATAATATAACGTATATATAGGTCTATGAGAATTCTAGTCCGGCGCCATCGTCTAAAAGGTCGATAGGGTTACAGACGGTAGAGGAGGAGAAGGCCGCAACAAAGTCGACTGAAAAATGTGACGCGTCGTCTCAAGCTGAAGATGGGGTGCACCGTATGGGGGATAGGCAGACTCGCTTCTTCCAGAGTATTCTGGAAGACACTAGCATGACCTATACCCCGGCTCTCTATAAATACGTAACAGAGAGGACGACGAGTGCCGATCGGTTGCTCCCATTGGAAGCTTGTTCACCATCGGCAGCGAATACAACAATGGCGGCTGCAACGCAGAAAGAAATAATTCCGCCAACATGCTCACAGCTATAACTTCTACACCGGCGGCTGCTACAAAGAAGTTGTTAACGCCAGCATGTCTAATGAAAGCTACAGTAGAGGCAGCGCAAACTTCTACAATGGCGGCTGCAACGCAGAAAGAAATAATTCCGCCAACATGCACAGCTATAACTTCTACACCGGCGGCTGCTACAAAGAAGTTGTTAACGCCAGCATGTCTAATGAAAGCTACAGTAGAGGCAGCGCAAACTTCTACAATGGCGGCTGCAACGCAGAAAGAAATAATTCCGCCAACATGCACAGCTATAACTTCTACACCGGCGGCTGCTACAAAAGAAGTTGTTAACGCCAGCATGTCTAATGAAAGCTACAGTAGAGGCAGCGCAAACTTCTACAATGGCGGCTGCAACGCAGAAAGAAATAATTCCGCCAACATGCATCACAGCTATAACTTCTACACCGGCGGCTGCTACAAAGAAGAAGTTGTTAACGCCAGCATGTCTAATGAAAGCTACAGTAGAGGCAGCGGAAATTTCTACAATGGCGGCTGCAACGCAGAAAGAAATAATTCCGCCAACATGCATCACAGCTATAACTTCTACACCGGCGGCTGCTATAAAGAAGTTGTTAACGCCAGCATGTCTAATGAAAGCTACAGTAGAGGCAGCGCAAACTTCTACAATGGCGGCTGCAACGCAGAAAGAAATAATTCCGCCAACATGCATCACAGCTATAACTTCTACACCGGCGGCTGCTACAAAGAAGAAGTTGTTAACGCCAGCATGTCTTATGAAAGCTACACCGGTGGCAGCGAATACACCAACGACGGCGGAAATATCGATGATGGTGGCACGAGCTGTTGTTTGTTTTTTTTTTTTTTTTTTTATTTATTTATTTTTTTTTTAATTGAAATATCAGCATAAACTATTTATTTCTACAATTACGGATGTTAAATTTAATTATGTAGCTTAAAATTAATATATACAAACTAGACGGCATTTACAACAATGGCAAGCAACTTAAAATTAATTATATACAGCGATTATAAGGCAAGGCCGGACTCATCAATGAAAAGGAGAACAGATTTAATGATGGGAATGACTGAGGAATTGAGAATGGAATAAATGTCAAAATGGTTGATATTATAGAAGGATAGGGTGGTGAAGAGAGGAGTACGAAGTTGGGACAAAGCAGGACACCATATCAGATGGGGGAAGTCGCAAGGAGATTCATCGTCGTGACGAGGACAGAATGGGGAACCGTTAAGGGAGAGTTTGAAGGCGTGGTAGAAGATTGTGACCGGATCTTAAGCGGGAAAAGGAGATTATTTCTCTCCTAGACAAAGGGAGGAAATAAAACCACGGGAGTTTGCTGGGCGCGGAAGTGATGGTTTTATAAAAATTGGGCGTAATTAGGAGGAGAATTCTTTCATAGTGAGGACCAGGAGACATGCAGGGCCTTGCGTATGGGAGGAATGAAATCGGCCCATTGTATATAGGTGGAGGGATCTGGGGTCAGGAAACAGGCAGCTCTGGCGAGGGAGTCTGCCCTTTCGTTGCCCGAGATGCCAACGTGGCCAGGAATCCATACAAACTCAACAACGGTGTGAGAAAGCGCCATGACTTGCGTTTAACACCACCCAACCCTACGAGAGTACCTATTATTATCACATTCCATTGTGATGTTATTTGATAAAATAATTATTATCTTCGTTTGTATGTATATAAATTATTTCGATGTTCTTGTTATACTATTGTTAAAACGCGTTGTACTTAAATTTAAGTGTTTGTTCATTGTTAAAAAGAATATTTCAAGAAATGTATATTTTGTTTATGTGTCTGTTTAAAATATAAATTCATAAAAAATTAATATTTACATAAATCTATTTGCTTAAACCTTAGTTGTCGGCTTCTGCTCAAAGACCGTTTTAAATGGAAATTAGATATTAGATAATACTAAAATGCCATTAAAAAATGTGGCTACATTTTCTTCAGAGGTGGATTTAAATATTTTCTGCCTCTAGCCAACTTATTATATTAGCCATTCTACAATGGTTTTAAGATTGTAAAAACATATTACCACCTCCAAATGAATTGTCGCAACTTCCTATGTTGCCTGCCTATAAATCAGTCGCCGATTGTCTTGTTTCTTAGATTTAAAATTGCGAGGAAGGATGTTGTTCTATTTTCGGGGAAAGGACATAGAAATAGAGTTTAAAGATGTTTCAATATTTCGACGATTTTTAGACTTTGAAAGGAAACAATAATGAATTGCTTACATAATCAACTATTGAATTAATAAATAAATGATAATGCATAAATTAATAAATGAAAAATGATAGGAAATCATTTTTTTTTGTGATTAAATTGTATGTCTTCGGTTAAAAAGGATTTGGTGTAGCCCCAAAGAGAACATTTTAAAAACTCATCATTATTACAAACCAATAAAATGTTTGTCAAAAGCTAAAGTAGTATGGATATTATTTAGTTCAAACAATCAATCTGTTGGAGGTATTCCATATTACAGTGTACGAAGGACCGATTTGGCTCACATTAGGTAACAATAAACAAATGGCATTTAGTCATTCAAGTTATTCAGATGTATGAATGTCTGTCGTTAGAAACTGCGTTATAATGTTAATCATCATATTTATGTACACCATGTTAACGTTCATCGGTTGTTATCAATTAATTATATATAGTCATCGAGATGTTTTCCTTATCTCGATGTAAATAGTATTATTTTATCTGTTTTAAAACATTTAAAAATTTAAAAAATCTAACATGATAACGGAGCCGATTCGTCTGTGTTTTTTCAAAAATTATTTACTCGTGTAAACAATAACAAATCAATATGTCTAATAATGAGAGCACCTTTAGTTTAAACGTTTATCAAGGTTAAGTATTGATTTTAATATTTTTATCCGTTTAATGTTTACGACTACATAAATAATTAATTTAATACTATGTACTTTGGTTAATAAAGTGTATTGTAAAAAATATCAATTATATTTTACAGGTGGTGGTCACTTTGAATTTTCATCAGAAAAAAACTGGGGTATAGTTGATGATGACTGTACATGCTTTGATTCCATAGATTTTACTCACTTGTCTGACAGTATAGCTAGTGTACCGTTTCATATTAGACATAACATACCACAAGAGTTATTTACAGTGTGTTGAAATAGTTATAATATATTGAATGCATATTGATTCATTTTATTTTAAATTAGGTTGATCAATTAGAAGAATTTGAAGTAGAAGCGTCTCTCGCCAACAGTCGACACACATGTATGTGTATGCAATTACTTCTCAACTATGGCTTATTATGTAGAAAAAAGTATTTTTCATTATATTTTTTTACACCTATCAGGTGATATATAATACAGCCAGTACAGTGGGGACGGAGAGGTTACAGGTCTACAGACTTTATTATAACTGAAAGTGATAAAATCACTTTTAAATAAACGCTTCGATGCGATTCTGTGGATAGTATGTTCAAACCAGTTATAGCGGTTTAGAAGATATCGTGGGACCAGCAATAATGTACTTAAAATTTAGTCTTGTGCAGGGTGGATGCGATAAGAGTTGATCGTCTGTCCATAAAAATGTACTTTCATAGTTACCCATATATCGTAATTAATAATATAATACAAATATTTTCATTACTTGTTGACTGTTGATTCACTCGCACATAGCAACCTAGAAACTGACTACGGCCAAAGTGTAAATTTACCCTATTTTTGGGGTTTTTCCTTAATAAAAAAAAAATTTGACTACAGATTTTTGAGAAAATTGTATATGTTATAGTTCCATTTTAGATCTACCTTCGGTCTAATTTTCAGATCTAAATCTCTAAAGCTTGTAAAATTGAAATAAAGAAATTTTTTTTATTCCTTTTAAGGGAAAGGGTTTATGATATTTTTTTGGTTTGTTAATGTTTATCGATAGTACTATGTTTGAAGAACAATTCATATAAATTTGGAACATTTTCGACTATTTTAAAAAAAGTTATAGAGCATCGTAATTTTAAGTTGAAAAATTTGTAAATTTTTTAGGTGTTATTCCGATTTTGATGAGGAAAGGGTGATTTTTTTTAATTTTTGGCCTGAGAAAGTACCTTCCAGGTATGATTTCTGATCTATAGAGTTGCTACACGAAGAAATCGGTTCAGCGGTTTACGAGATATCGTGGGTCCAGACACAAAAATAAAATAACTCAAAATTATCTTATAACACGTGTTTGTTCTTATTGTGTATTTAATAATAAATAATAAAAATGTATGTTTTTTAATAAATAATATTTATTTATCAATTTACTAGAATGAGGTTGTTCATACTAAAAAAAATGTTTTCATACATAATATTACTAGTCACTAACTTTTCAAAACAGCCATTTTTTAAAATTATTTTTAATTTGTAAAAAATTGTATACAATTTTGTTATAATTATGATAAAAGCAGTATAAATTTAAAAAACAGACATCACTAGTTTTAACAAGCTAGCTTAGATACTTATGCAAATTGTCAACATTTTTTAACTCTTAGCTATTAATTTTCTTTTAATATTTGCCAAACCAAATATGAAATACATTTTAATTCCTTTACACCGATTTCACTATTAATCTACTGAACATTATGTGTATTGATTATTACAGTTCAATGCAATTCAAAATCAAAAGATAAATTTATTCTCGATAAGGAAAAAAGTCTCGAGCCAGAAACAAAAAAGCTATTATCTGTTTTGACAGATTTCTCTCTTGAAGGTTAGTAAATATTAAATAATGTAATTTTATTCTTAAGCATCTTAATTATTTCACACCTAACCTATCCTAATGCGAATCACTGACTAATATGACTTAATAAATAGCTTTGGTCTCAAATACTTACCAATTAATTTTTACAAAAAAGAAATATTGGCTTGAATTATACTATATCTAAATGATATTAGTATTATATTATTAATTATTATGTTTTATGTTGTACATACAATTTCCTTAAGCATTTTTTGAACACCAATAAATGTAAATTATTTTTTCAGATAAACATAATTATTTAGTTAATGAAAATGAAGCGCATGGACTAGAAGCAATTTTAGGAAATACAAAACCTTTACTTAGTCAATTGAAAGATGAACATTTTGCAAATTCAAGTACTGTATAATATAAATAAAATAATATATAAACATGTTCTAAATATAAATTTATCTATTCAGACGTCAACGAACGAGGCAATGAAGTAGTGGAAAGTACAACAGAAAATAGTGAGGCTGAAAAAGAAATATCTCAATCCACCAGTTCTGGTCATTGGCTCAATTCAATGCTAGAATTTGATGATGAATAATTTTTTATTTTACCGTAAAATAAAAAAATATTACTATTTTTATGTATAGACATGTTTTACAAATTAGGACTTTTAAATTTACAAATTCATTTTTTATTACTTCTTAAATTATAATCACTGACTAACGACATTTAATTTTAAACTTATAATTTGGTAGACAATAAATTAATGTTAAGTTTAAAAGCCAAGCCGACAAGCATTGACTTCTTAATAGCCATGTAAAATTGTACAAAGAAAACACACTTTAGAGTTAAGTCTACACTTCTTTACTACCTAATATTATTACTAAATATCACATTATTTGTATGACAATCATTTTGTGTTTATGTGATAAAACTCTACTATCTTATTTAATCTAACAAAGGAACCAATTACTAATTTGTATTCATTAATTTTAGAATGGAGAATTCATACCGAGTTTGGTACCGAAATCTAATCTGGCTCGTTTATGGTACCGCACATTTGCTCTACAATAAAAAGAAACCATATTATAATATTACTAGGGTTTGCAAAAAAATCGCTCATATTATGTTAAAATAATATATACCTTATTTCGTGCCAATGAACCATCTCGTTAATAATGAAAACCATAAACAGAGACACAAATGCAAAAATCAAAGTTAGTATTGGAAGCATGGCCACAGTAACTTCATTTCCATCATTATAAAAATATTCATAATGAACAGTGTACATACATTGGACAAAGACTCTGTAAACCAATTTATTATAAAATAGACACTCAATATTTCAGGATTACTTGTGTGTAGAAATAGGATACTCACATGGATAAAGTAGTAAAAACATATAGTTTATTTAAATGAATGGTTTTCTTCCAGAGTAAATAATCTCGATGAACAAAACTTAAGGACACAATTACTATAAAAATTAGAAATATTATTTAATTAAAAATGACACAGAAACACATTATGTTATCATTACTACTCACTATAATGCATTACAAGGAACATCAACATAAGTCTTTGCACACTAACAAGAGTTGGTTCGTATGTTGACCAACCGCCCCATTCTGTTAATTTTGCTTCTGGATATACATACCAACATTTTTGAACTTCAGCTGTTGAGTTAACATTTTTAGGAACGAAAACTAAATCACATGCTTCATTAAGCGACCATATGAAAATCAGTATCATACCGATTACGACAGGCAAGAATTTCAAACCATAAAACCACATTACATAATAGGAGAGCTAAAAAGTAAAATTAGTATTAGTATTCAAAAGTAATACATTTTCCTTTCACCAAATATTAACAAGTGTCGTTAAACTTCAAATTAACCTATGAAAACATAATAGCAAAATGCCTGTTTCACCAAAAGTGTGTACAAGGGTTCACTCTAATATTAAAAAACCCACCAAAAAAGGGTTGAAATAAATGCGGTTTAGTCCTGCAAGCGATTTTTTTGTAAGAAATCGAAGATAATTTTATAGTAAACGAGACAAACCTAGTTAGTGGTTAATCTAATGAAAGCTAGTTAAAAAAAATAGCTTCCAATAAACTTACTTCTGTAGATATTGAACACTGATTTTTTCCTGATGGTTTGTGCATTACTTCATGATCTGTGGGCCCTCCAACTAAGGAGACAGCTAAAAGTGGAATTATAATGCAGGTCAACCATAAAACTTGACCTAAAATAATAAATATGTTTAAATTTAAATCAATAATATTATTGTATAGGTAGCATTGGATTAGAAAAATATACATATAAATAACTAAATGTTGTAAAATATTTATAAAGTATAATATAATATGGTATGCAGTTTTTCATTCATATCACATTTTAATGTTACACCCCATTCATTATAAAAAAATGGGAAAATTTATAGGAATGATATAAAAATACAAAAAACTCAAATACAAACCAACAGACAAAATAGGTGGTAAGACAAGAGCAATGGCAATTAATTGAAGAAAACTAAGTGAAACCATGCAACTAGTCCAAAATTGTACACAGTTCCAAACTCGTTGCATTAAACATCTTGCCTATGAAATAAAATAAAATATGTTAAATGGGATACAGAAAAATTTTAAAATTTATTTTTTCTATTTACTTCCATAATAAGATGGTAAACTGGTAATGGGTCTTGTCGATTAAGTGATAGACAACAAGGAAGTGAATTTAACAGCTCGGAAAGACCCACTGGTGATATTGGAGCATCTATTGGATTTGGTTGATGCATGATGCTAATTCGTTGACATACTTGTGGATAAATTGGTTCAATAGCCACACTAAACATTATTTAAATGTATGTATGTTACATTCTTAGTGATTAAGCGACAATGGTTAAACAGCAGTTTTTATTTTTAAGCTAAATAATACAAGACGTAATGTACTGGTATTAATTATGTACCATGTACAAACTTATTTATAATTTATGCTAAAATCATTAAAAATTGCAGTTTTTCACATAGAAATACAAACTAAAAAAATTTTTAAAATTGTGTCGCAATTGATACATTGTATATGTTTTAAAGAATCCAAATTTGTTTTTTTCAAAACTCAATACAGATTATTTTTAAAAACTTTCTGTTCGAGGGAGAAACATATGTTTTATACGAAAATAGAGCCTGTATGCGTTAGAGAATTTGAAAAAAAAATTAAATATCAAAATAGATCCCTCTTTTCTGTTATAATATATATATATATAGTGAAAAATTGTCAATATAATGCACTTTAATAAATGCTAGTGTAGAGGCCTCTTAAGTAAAATTTGATCATTACCTTGCATCAGCTTGCATAAATATACCAATATTTTCAGCATTAGGAGATGATCCTAACACGCATACTACTTCCCCGTACTGTTGCATAATTGATATCATTTCTTTAGTGGCTTCTGGAGTACAATCAGTAAAAAGTGAAACTAGAAGTGGAACGTTGTCAATACACTCTAAATGAGGCCGAATATTTTCAATTCCTCGAGGAAGTTTTGCCTATTGATAAAAAAAATACTTTTACATAAAGTGTCAAAATTGTTGATACTGCTTGTACGCTAATGCATTCATACTCTGTTGTACATATCAAAATTAACTGGAACGCTTTGATCTGTACTATCAGACATACAACTCAACGAATGCCATTCTTCTTGATTTTTTTCTGCGTCGACTAAGTTACTACCATTGTCATTTACTAGTGTATCCCTATACAGACTTGTCATTAGATAAATTATATAATTAAACAACATTTTATCTGTCACTTATACATGTGCATAATATTACTTTTACTGTTAACTCTTTATCCAGACTTTGATTTGGAAATATTTTACTACAATTGGGGTATTCCACTTTGGTTTTATTCTCAACTATCAAAAGTCGGGCACCCTAGTCGTCAACCTTGATCTGTCACCCATATAAGCTGTTTTCAAGCCCATCCATCCATCTTATTTCTGTCTTTCTCCAATTACTTTCTTTCTATATTTATTTTAATTACCGCCTTTACTGCTTCGCTTTTTCACAACATCATCCCTCATAACACGCTCAAACCATCTCATCTTTCCTACAACTGGACTACATCTGTTCCTTTTACAAAATATGTATTTCTTATTTTGTTGGTTGTCCATCCTAGTTACTCATTCCATGCGTGCAACTTCAAAATTCTCTTGGCCACTACATTTAACAAAGCCACCATTCTTATATCCTAAATTTACAAACCTATCAATCTCTTCTTCTATAACCATAACATGTCTAACTGGTACTTTGGGTATCATAGCAGTTTTAGTTTAGAAAGATAAAGAAAAAATTTAAATTAATTTAATTAACTAATGTGACATAAGTAAGTGACATCTTATTACATAAGTAAGTGAAATGTTACTTTTGAACAAGCATTGGTTTTGTTATTTTCTCTCCATCGTGTTCGATAGTAACTTGAGCATAATCCATGTTTAAAGCTGTTGGCGCCGACATACTAATTGCGCGAGATGTATTCAACGCATTACTATAAACAAATACATCAAATGTGTTATCTTTAATGACTTCAACCGAATAAATAATTTACCAATTTATGTTCAGAGGAGGAAAATATTCAACCGATATATTGTGTTCCTGTTCAGCTAATTTTTTCCTAGACTGACTGGTTGATGTTAGTGGTATCAAAAAGCTAGTTTCATCATCACAGGTAGCTGCACCCTCACTCGATTCAAATACAAAACACAAACACTCAAAAATACGTGCTAACAATGTTAATCAAATGATATCCTTAGTCAGAAATCAACTACATTATTAGTTATAAAATTAAACCAAAACACAGTTCAAAACAAAAATCAAAGAAAATTAATACCTAGGATCCAGACGTGTTCTGGTTTGAGTATCTCCAAATAACGAGATATGACAATTCCATCCACTTTCCAAACCCATTTTTTCAGAAAAAACTCTTGATCTCAGTTCGTTTTCTTTACTAAAATGGACAAAACGTATACACGCTTTTTCTAGAAGCTCAATCAATTGAACCTAAACCAAGAATAATCATACTCCTTACCATGTATATACATTATACACACATAACATTAATTACCATACTAAAAAAAATTATTTTTAAATTACCATATCATATTGTGGCTGATACTGCATTGTCACCATTCCTAAAAATATCTGATTGCATTGCGTTTCAAAACAGCTATTTACATCTTTAGAGTTATACTCAAAGTCGCCGAATATCAATGAATCTGTAATATACAAATCATGGAACCATAGTTGAAATTATGTTTTTTAACATTTAAATCAACCACTAACATCTGCATACATTATTTTCTTTTGTTTAAAATTACAGGTTTAGTTAAAATAATCTATTAAAGATATGGAAAACTTGTTTTACCAGACGAATGAAATTGTGGACGTCTTTTAGAATTTGTTGTTGATGTCCACGGATGTGGTGTTGGACTACGACTAAGTTTTGAGAATAACTGATGACAATCGGCAGGCAATTCCAAGTATGTTTCTGAAAAACTTTTATCAGGAGGTAGTGGTAGTGGACGGTACGAAAATGCTGTGCAATAAGCTGTTAAACTTGTCCTTTGATAGAAGTCTAATACTTTTTTTCTAAAAATTGGTGTTGTTTTAATTTAAACACATTTTAATAATAATAAATTTAAAAAAAGTTAAAATGAATTTACCGAACAGATTGAGATATAGGATTAAGATCACGGCCATCCCAATAGTCTATGCAAGCATCTAATATTATGTCTGCAGTACCTTGACTAAATAGTTGTAATCCTGTAGTACATTTAGCAATACTACGTTCTCTTAGTCCTACACAGACCATGTGAGGGAATGGGAACTTTAATTTAGTAGTAACAGGCAATGATCTAGCAAATTTAATATCTCTCCGAGCAACTTCTGCTTGCTAAGTTGTAAAATAAAAAATAAACCAAATTGACATTAAAAAAAAATAATTTTATTTAATGCAGTCCATTATTACTTACGACATGTCTGTAAGTTGATAGTTGTAGCTGAAGTTCAAATATATTATCAGCGGATTCTGAAAATCCAATTTGTCGAGCCAATTCACATAGGCATCTAAAAGAAACATATAAAAGAGCAACAATTAAATAAAAAAATATATAAAAAGTTCATTGAATTCAAATTTAAGGTCATAGAAAATTGTTATACCTCCGATTAGTAACAGGAACTAGCACTTCACTGTATAAAGCTTGACAAGAGACGTGTGCACAAAATTGAGCATAATGGGCATGAGTTGATGGATTACATGTATTCAAAAGAACTGCAAGACCTAAAGGTTTTAAGGAAGCTAAATGAGTTGACCAACTAGCATCATCAAACTGCAGTCTCCATGCTGAACCACGATCGTGTGTTAAATCAAGAACTTCAACTGCACAGTTTTCTATTAAAACATATATTTAGTTCTATCAATACATATATTTTTTAATTATAAAAAATAAAATTATTTTTATTGAAAACATACCAGAATGTAGCATAGTACTGTCATAACTCTTACGCTGACTTTCACAATTAGCTGGATCAATGAAGCTTGTTTGTTTATTAATGGTTTTAGAAGAGTTTTGTAAAAAAAATATTTTTTCAGCTGTTGGGTTGGGCCAAGACAGAATACCTTTTTTATCCACACAGCACAAAGCCTTGATATGAAATATAAAACAATTCTTTAACTAAAACCCTTTCTTAAGTCTTAGACAAGTAGATATTACCGTTGTTGATCCCAGAACATGCAGCAAGTTAGTAGAACGAAGTAAGAAATTGGCATTTCCCAGTACACCAGAGTAAAAATTAGTCCATAAACTCTTTAAAGAGAATTCTAAGGAGTTATTTTTGACTTCAGTTTCAGTTTCATCGAAAATATCTTTGTTTTTCTAATAAATTAAAATATTTATGTATTGAAATAATTCATATATTAAATTAGTTGTACAAGGTAATAATATATACGTAACACCGTTTTATTTCGAAAAAATATGATTAATATTATAAATACCTCAATCTAAAATTTACATAGAATATTTGAAATAAAGAACTTAAGTTTGGATATGAAAACGGTTAGAATAAAGATAAATATATAACATGTTTGTCTTGGCGGGCAAGTGGTAAATAAATGTAAGGTATTTATAAAATATTTAGATTTAATTTCACAAAAGAATAATATAATTTAAGAAGGTTTAATACACACAATTTTATGTATAAATAGAAATAAAATAAAATAAAACTTATTTGTTAAAATAAAATACTTTTATAATAGTCTTTATACATAATCTATTACAATAACACTATAAAAAATTAATTACTTGAACTATAGTAGACGACTGCAACAATGCATTTCCGTAACAGGTCATTAACATCCATGCAATGGGTAACATCAGCGGTAAAAGTGGAATAATAATCGAAATTGGTAATACAATAAACATTGATACCCAAGAACCCGGTTGTAGCCAAAGTGTAATGTAAGACCAACGCCACCACACGATAATTATAGAAGAACCCTGCATGAAAACATTAACAAATCAAGAATATTATATCATAATTATAAATATTATTGGCATATGCTGCCGAGAAAATGATGTAATAAGAAGTATGAAAAAAGGCACTCCAGAGAATATAGGCTTTAACGAGGGTAATGATTTTTATCCTATAATTAATCTAATATTGAAAACACCTTTTGATGCGATATTTAGATTATAGTCACATTAACTATAAACTAGCAATAGTTGAGTTATTCAACTTTCTCATTAATTCTGTTGTCTATCCTCTGCAGATCATTACCTCTTGTTATCTAATATTAAACCAACTGCATAATTATTATTATAAAAATATAATTACCAAAAAAGAGGCAGCAGCAAATTTTTGTATAAATATTATTTGTAGCAAGTACAAACATTTAGTGTAAAAACTGGGTGGCCGATTTTGAGCTAAATCCAAAGCAATTTTTAAATTGAGTAAATAAGGAGTTTCATTCAATATGTAAGGAACATTCTTTAAAGGTTTACGAGATATGATGGATGGAACTGTAGTTTTATTAGGCAAAGAAGTAGGCAAATCTGGATTAAAAATTTCCCAACGTGATAGTTCTGCAGGTGCCCACTTATCTTTTTCCTAATAAAAACAAATACAAGTTAAATAAGAAATATAATTAATGTAGACAATTTATGATTTTTAAGCTTAAAATCATATTTAAATTAGTAAGTGCTTAGAATTGTGATAATTAGTAATATTAACTAACACTAAGTCTAGTAACATGGCAAGGCGAAGTCTGTCCCGGTTTTAAAAGCACAATATCTCCTTTAACCAATAAAGCCCAAGGTAAATTCACCAACGATCCATCACGCTGAGTCCATTGTAAAGTAACTGATGGAGAATAAGGCATACACAAATGTGGATAATTATCTTTTTTCCAATGGCATTTATCTTTAACACCTAAAGAGTTTTAAACATTAATATTATTTGAGCGGTAAATAAATTCTAAAAGAATGTAACCCTTACTGTTTAGCTTTTTCATTGTATGATCAAGTTTAATAAACATTTCTTCGTATCTTAATTTGTTATCCCATAAAACAGCTATGATGTTTATGAATAATAACAGAAGTAACAATAAGCCATCGTCAAACAAATACCACAGTTCGTCTGATAATAAACTGACAAGAATTAATAAAAATGAACACATAAAAGTCACTGAAGCAGTTATCCAACAGATACTTGTAAATTGACTAGAATGATGAAGTGAATCACGAATCCATAGTTTATCTTTTCCACTTAAAAAAGAAAATATCACAAAATTAAACAGGAAAAATAATATGAATTAACATACAAAATATTAAATTACTTAAGCTTTTGTTGTTGCTTAATGTTATTTCTAAGCGATAGTATTTCATTATACAAAATATGTAAAGCATCTTTAGTAGTTAATCCTCGATTTGTATGTTCTTTTGTATCCATTTTGTGCATATCACTAATATTGTATTATGTTAATCATGCCCCCTAAAACATTTACAATAAATATGTAATGTCCCACATTTAATATTAGGTATATACTTATTGTAATTTACACATATTATGATAAGTTATATATTACATTATTGATATAATTTAGTTGATTGCTACTTGATAGAAAATAAACATACTTAATTTAAGTTAATAATAATCATACATGTTATTTCAATTTATAATAACTGCAAAAAAATCACAAAATAAACCCTTTCAACAAAATTTTAAATCGAGATTCGAGTTACTTTTAAATAATTTATCATTCCGCATTCGATTCATTTAACTGTTATCATGGTAAAATAACAAGGTGATAGGTATGTTTAGTTAGATAATAAATTATTATGACATTTTACAATACAACTCATGACAATATGAAATATAAATAGATATGATCACAACAGCTTTGTGATACTCATTCCCCTCTACACCCCATTATCGTTCCCTGGTTCGCCGCAAATTGAATTACATTAAAATTTAGACGAAAAGACATTTGTAATGCGCTAACTTGACCAATTTAATGTTATGTAACAATTTTATTTTAAATAGTACATAACTAAGAAACTAAAACAACTTTATACATTCCTCATTAGTGGGGGTTGTCCTCCATACATTTCACTTTGTCTAAATCTCAGATGTTCCTTCTGCGCTCATACTTCATTACAAGTTACAACCACAGAATAAATTAAATCCCACGCTATACTTTGAGCTTCCTGTCAGTTGATATTTGTTCACTTTTTCTCCTTTTAATCACGGTTGTAGCCATACTTTTAACGGACCATGTCTATCATTTTGTAATTTTAAATAATATTGTACAAATAGTATATCCAATGGGTCCTTTACTTATTTTTTTTTTCGAACTATTATACTTGTTGGCAATATAATATAAATCCACTGTACCTACTCGGTGTATTTTTAGAAAAAAACCTTTTTTTTTCAGAAATTAAAACTAGCTAGATTCATAAATCGTACTACCATTTTTGTGCCTTGTTAGTATTAGCTGACATTCAGACAATGTCTTTTATTTAACAAATGGCCAATTAACCTTGGCATTTAAAAATGTTTTTACCAACAGAGCTACAGAACACACTAGGCATACCACAGGCAACACATTTAACAAAATTATACATTAATAATTCAGGTTGATAAAATTTAAATGTTACCATTATAGTTTCAAAGGTTGTTTTCCTATTGAAAAATACCTATTTAGAAATAACACGGCATATTGAATAACAACATACGAATTAATCAAAAAGAAAACTATGGAATTATTATCCGAAATCTATATTACACATATTATGTATATAATTTGAGAAGTATACGCCAATTATAATTAACGCATAATATAAAAAAAAAAATATACATATATATAATATATATATTTGTTTTATATATTTATACTTAATAGGTAGATATATGTTATTTTTACATAATATGATAATTTTAATTTGTAACCGTGGCCGCAGTTCACGGCTTTCGGCAATATCAATTATCACTTATCAGTTATCAGCTCAAAATTCATATCATCATCGAATTTTGCAAAGTTGCGATTGGATAAGATAAGAGTTGGTGGGGACAAATGAGATAATGCGATTCGCCATTCATCCGGTCATAATATCTTAATGCCATGTCTGTAGATCGAAATCAGATAGCAGCGGCACTAGAATGTTCTAGATTTTTCATTCGTCCAATGGAATTTGCAAATGTGCAGCCGAGACGTTTTGAAAAATCATTTGGTTTTATATCGTGAAAATAAAACCATTAGATAGGTACCGCCATTCGCCGATCGTCCGAAAAAGATATATACTTTTATTATCAATTTTTTTTTTTTTTTGCTTAACATATTGTGGTTTGTCAATCGATGTTGTTAAAATATAATGCCTTTTGGTGATCGTCACAGACCCAAGTTAAGCGAACGGATTCGCGGAAAGACAGCTGACCAAATACTAGAAGAAATAAACAAGAAATTTAATAGAAATAAAAATTCGAACATGTTTTTTGACAAGAACACTCCAGTTTCATCCCCAGAAAGGGTATTTATGAGCAATATTATTACCATTTTTTTTTTCGTATGAGCTTGATTGAACATGCTTTATTGAGTGGGATGTTAACGCACTTACTGTCATATATAACTATGTAGGTTAGACTGTATCTTTCAATTAGCACTACCTACCAAAATGACTTTTACATTTTCATTTTTTAAATAAAGTCCCACATCTAGTAATCAACAAAATTTGTATTTTGCAAATGTTTAATATTAAATATCAATTGTGTTATAAATTACAGTGATAAGTGGGTATGGTATCATTTATGTCTTGATAATAGTTTGATATTTGAATCATCGACTGTGTTTTGCAAGACATCGACCAGCATTACATGATTGTATTCATATTTTTTTTTTTTATTCTTCTACATACTTTTTTGAGTTATTATAGAAAAAGTACAAGTATGGCTTTATTGTAAAATAATTCAATATACATTTTAGACAAATTATTAGACAAAAAAAATTATTGAGCTTTTTTTTTTATACAAACCTAAACTAAGCATTCTATTTTGGCCAATATCATTACTCGTGTAGGTTTTCTAAAAATGTGTTGTTTTTCACTGATAGTATGCATATCTGATAATTTCGAAACATATTACTACTAAACAGTCAATGTAAAATTAAAATGTATAAGTTATTTTATACATGTGACCTATTAGTATTCTCTAAACTTAGGTTATTTCACACATGTAAAGTAACCAACCAGTGCCAATTGCCAAATACCTAATGACCTATACTCATAAGTCTCAAATCATGTTTCATATATTAGTGCTAAAACTAGTGAAAAAATGCATATGTTTTCCAATTTTTGTTGTTAGTTTAATTGTTATATACATAAAAATAAATGATTAAAAAGCCTAGTGCTTAGGTTAATACGCCTCTAAATATAGATTCTTTACAACTCTTGATTGTATTTTTTTATTTAGAAGAATAAAAAATAATCTAGAAAAATATGTATAAAAAAAAATATGTATTTGTGTAAAAGTTTACATCCAAGGTTTGTGTGTAAATAATTAATTAAATACTTCTAACTTTTTTATTTTATTTATTTTTAAATTGTATAGACTAATAATTTGTTCAAAATTTAAAAAAAAATATGTTTCCATTGCAAACCAGTGTGTCTCAAACCATGGTCTTTGAAAAATGTAATCAATATAATAACTTATAGGCAAGTATAGAGACTATAAAATGTAACAATTAAATGATATTCAAATTATAAAATAATTACTATGTATCATTTCTAGTATGGTTTATGTGTTAGGTAAATAATACTACTATACTATTTTGACAACTCATTTATTATTGAGGTATTTATATTATTGTATGGTTAGATAAGCAATAGCTTAAATACTAAGGAGGTTGTCAATTAATTCATCAGTAACATCAAATAATGACTGTGATTTGGAATTTACAAAATTATTTTTGTTCTTTTTAGGAATTAATTTTAATTGGGTTAAGGCTTATTTGGCACATGTGAAGCTTAGCATTCTTTATTCATGAACATTCTAGAACAGTTGGTGTGGCTCTCGCCTACATGATATCATACCCACACATATAGTGCTAAAAAGAAAATGGGTTTTAATCTGTTATAAATAAACAACTAGTCTAGTCACTTATGTTCCAAAACATTTTATGGCATTTTGTCTACAAATTATTATAAATTATATCTAATAGCTTTTCTATTAACTTATTAATTTTTATTTATACTAATATGTCTTTTGTGTTGTGATGTCATAATAAATAAAATTTTTTTCTTTTGTGTGTGCCTTCAGTGAGTAACAAACATTGCAGTATTGGATGCTATGGAAACTACCAAAATTGATTCCACTATTTATCCTAGACCACCCTCTGAAACTAGTGCTCTGGTAAGTTAGTGGATGGCTAAAGTAGAATCGTATTATTTGCCTTAAAATGTCATACGTTGTGATACCAAATCACAATAATAACAAGGTAAAAAAATTGTTTAAGAATTAAAATTATTTTATATTTTTATTGAAAGCTTGAAAGAAGAAATAGAAATAAAAAATGTATACATCATTTTAAAAAAAACACCGTGCTGCTATTAGAAAATAGCATTATGTCCGGACTTATGTATACATATCACATACGTTACGATTTAAGGTTTTTTTCAAGGTTAAGAAAACAAATTAGTTTTCAATTAATTGAAGATATCAAATTTGAAAGCTGAACAGTCTGCAGCACTAGTACAATATTAGTTTAATTTTATTATAATTTTAAAATTTAAATTTAAATATTAAAACTATACTTTATCCCATACAAGAGCTGGTACCGCATAGAATCCAAAAACCATTACTCTCGCATGTGCCTGCCCAGCAGCACTACCGCTCTTATATGAAATATAGTATTTGTAATAAAATGATCATTTATATTTTGACTTAATAATGGCTCACAAATAATGAACAGTTGTAAAAAAACTGTACAAATAATTTATTTATTTTGTATTATCATATGATTTATACAATTTAAAAACATTTAAACAATTTTGTTTGCATATTGTTTAGTTTTAGTTCAATAAAAAATAGTACGGACATTATACGGTCTTATAAATTACAAAACTTTATATATTTGCAAAAGTGCTACTTAAGTATGTTATATACATTTTAGTCAGTTTTCCAAAAGTTATAATTATATTCTGTTTTTAATCCATAAAATAATGAAAGAATTATTGTACTTCAGCGCCACTGTCACTTCTAAATTTTATGTCGTCTTCTTCTTCTTTGCCTTACCACATTTAATAGGGTCTGCCTGCCAAATCCCCTATCTTCACAAATCATTACTCATTGCCATTTCTTATTTATTTCACACACATCTCCATGTCATCATGGTTCACTTCTTCTTTGGCCACCTCTATTTTTCTAAATCCATTTACTATGGTTATTAATTGCAAATTTTTAATGACAATATCATTTGGCCTTGAGACCCATGGAAAATTAGCCTTTCCCAATTTGCCACATTTGGTATATATACTAGAAAAAATTCCAAAAAAATTTAAGTAAATTTACATTTGTATAGCTATAAAAATCCATACCATTTATAAAAATTGTATGTGAATTTGGTAAAGTTAGATAAAATATTTATAGTATATTGACTATTTATTTTTATTTAAAAAAAACCTAATGGAATATATATATATATATATATTGAAATTTACAGAACAAATTTATAACAATTATGTCTAAATGTTTTGAGTTCTGTGTTAAAAATTTGAAGTGTTGAATCATCGTTCTTTGTCCTATTAGTATTTTAATTATTGCATGGACTTACTTTAACTAGATACATGCGTAATAGGTTCTTATCTTATTATTTTTAGCAACAAATTTTTGGCCAGAGTCCCATATTCCACAGATGTAGTTTTGGCTGTTTTTTATTTCAAAATATAAAAACCAGTGACAAATGTTAGCTACTTCGAACATTACTACTCATATTGTGTGAAAATAATTTTTTACTATTATATTTTAAATATGTTGATGTAAATAAATACACTTATTTTGCCTTAATGTTAATTTTATCCTTCATCAGATTTTGTGTTTTTTAAGAATGACATGCACTTTAAAATTAACTTATTATTTCCAAATTCCGTTTACTTTATTATGTGTCTTTTAAGTCAATAAAGCATAATTAGATGATTATTTCAAAATACAAAAACTATGCACTATTATAGTTAAATATCAAAAACTATTAATCTTTTGTTTTTTAAATACTATTAAGGAAAACTAAGTTGATGTTTTTAATGAGCATTATGTTTAGGTTGCAAAAAGTTTTAAGACAAAAGTCTCCTTAAAATTATATTAGAAAGAAAGAGGTCATACTGTTTTTCCCCTACCAGATAATTAATAGTTTTCTTATTGTGATACTAACTGCTGTTACAGCTATAAACATAAGCCAATTTTAAAAAAAATTTCGAAACTAATACTAATTAAAATGTTTCAGAATATGAGCCTTTATTACCTAAATTTCAATATATCAGTAATAATTCCTTACCTTATGGAACACAGTATTTTTTTTAAACTGGTACTAATTCAGTACGGTATTGCCAATGTCTCATTATGTGGAGTAATACACCATTGAAAGGAGCTAATAATAAATTAATTTTATATAATAATTATTAGTATAATTTATTTGTCGTATAAATAATAATAATAATACAATTTTATTGTATGCATAATATATTATAGGATAAGACTTATCCTATAAGTCTCTTAAATTAGCATGCATTATAAACAAATAGGATAATAACGAAATTGGGGGATACAGTTTTGTATTGCAACTCAAAAAATAATTATTACAAAATAAATCTAATTATACTACAATAAAGTAAAGGTTGAACAAATTTATTTCACTTGATGGAAATTGCAAAGCTAAACAGCATCTCAAATTTGAGATTTACAATTTTATTTTTTTTACATTAAAGTCTTAGTTTTTCCAATGTATGATTTGACATAAAACAGTTATTTTATTTTCTCACAAAGCATAGGAATTTTTGTTTTAAAATTGATATTAATATAGTTGCATAAAAAACCATGCTTCTTTTAAGAAAAATTACTAAAATAATAGAATTGTTTGCTAACTACGCCAGACAGACTAGACTAAATATGTCAAACGGTTCGTTAAGCCAACAAATGAATTGGAAAGTCAACTATTAGACGAGATTCTAAGGAATTCCGTTCTGTTTTGGATTTCTCATCGTATATGGTAAATCGATCACATTTGGAACAAAAATATTAAATAACCAAAAATGTGAGCTAGAAAAAAATACGTCTTAATTCCTATGTTACCTCTAAGAATGATAGACATAGGAAACGCCGCTTTGGTTTAAGGGGTTATAATACATTTATTCTAAAATAAAACTTAAAAATAGATTTCCATATTCTTCTATTATTTATGTACATCGTTAAATGATTCTCATCAACAAGATGTGAATGGCGTTAAGGACTTTTTGACGACCCCTCTTTATACTTATTTTTAATAGGTTTTTTTTTTTTAATGTTTTAATAGCGGTCGGAGTCACAAGTCACAGTGTACCACAAATAATAAATATAAAGAATTATATGGTAAATCTACCGATACAATATTTAATTGGGAACATACAAATCGAAAAATAAAAAATAAACACGAAAATCATTGAATAAAATTCCTTAATTTAGTTTTTTCCTGTATAATGATATTTTTTTTTCTAGGAAACGAATACGACGTTGATTGTGCCCATTAATAGGTTGATAAATGCGCATTACTCAAACAATAGGAGTAATACAAATAAAAATAATTATTATAAAAAAAAAATATATGTAATATAATATATTATACCTTTATAACTTTCAGGCCTTATATGTAAAAATGTCTATACTCTTTCTTTCTTGGTAATAAGACAGTGATTTTTTTTGCGTGTTTACTGTAGAACATAGTACACAAGATTGGAAATAATTAGACTATAATTTAAAAAATATATGTAGCGTGTCGTTAAATTTAAGATGAAAAATTGGTACAATTTTTGGGAGTTTTGCTCGATTTTGAACAGGAAGATGTAAATTTTTATTCGGCCTTGAAATAACAGTTGTAGGTTGCACTTTTTCTGATTCGTAGCTTTGCTACACGAAATTTCGTCATGTAGAAAATATGTCATTTAAACCGCTAAATATCGTGGGTCCAAATATAAAATAGAAAAAAACAAACTACACATAATTACACATCATTATTAAACCAGATGGGTTTGTGTGTGTATGCACATTACTACCTTCGCATTCGTATTATTTTAGCGTTTATTTTAATTTTGTACAATGAGCCACTCGAAATTAAACTTACTGATTAAACATGGACATTATGTAAAAGATAAATAAAATAATTGTCCTCAGTTTCTATGTGAATAAAACAAAACAAAGCTGGGATATAGCCTTAGAAGCCACTCGCTGGTTAAAATACCTGAGATAACGCTATAGAGAATTATTTTTGTGGTTGATGGTTTTGTATAAATATTTCAAAACCATATTTACTATATTTAATCACAAATGTTGTTTAAATGTTCTCTAGATATCTAATTACGTCTCTATGTTATTGCGTTTTTTTAATAAGAATGTACTACATAGTACTATATGTACCTACATAATAATAATTATTATTTTTCGCCGTTTTGTACGATAATACATTGTATGTACAGTGAAATAGCAGTCCAACGTTTAAGAGGTTATGGTGGCCCACCCACGTAAACAAATGTTTAAAAATAAAACACATCATTGTAAAAAACAATATAATATTTTCAACCCGGCATCGAGGCTAATACTACTGTTAAATACTATTAGTTAGATATATTTTGTTGTATTACACTTATTACGGGACTTTACAATTCGGAAATTCGATTAATTATTTCTCAATATTCGGCCTTGAGATTACTCTAGAGAGCGATTAGATTTCACATATTATTACTTGAAAATATCTGTAACGATGTCTTCTCACTAAATTTCGCCTCTTGTGATATTTTTAGACTTAAGATTGGACCTATTGGCGTGGTCAATGAGTGCCAAATCCATAATTACCGCGACCTATCCAAAAAGTGTTTACCTTGAATAACCATTTTTTTTATTTAAATACGTGAAAAGTACTTGTTTTTTTTGTTAAATCTGTACTCTTTACAAAGTATTTTTTTTCGAGTATTGAGTAAAAAAAGCTATTTTTAGGTAGTACCTAGATTTAAAAATCGATTCTAAAAAAGAGATGTACTTTCAACAACTGTTCTTATACATATAAGCCTTATCCATTTATTTATTTTGACAACTATGAGATACAATACTGCACACACCAAAACAAAAAAAAACCTATAAACAAAGCAATTGAAATAACAAATATTTTTATTTTATTTTATAGGTTCATACTAGATCTGTACTATGAATACAATTTTCAAATTCCAAGTCCAAAAACTTTTCTCAATAAAATTAAAAAAAAAGTTTTAACTCTTCTGAGGGGAAGAGTTAAAATATTTTGATAGTTGTTGACCGTATGTCTAAAACTATTTTTTGAAGTTATAGTTATTTTTAAATTAGATAATAGGTAGGTTTGGAAGTGATTTAATCTTTTTTTAGCTGAATTAATCCACCAGTGTAAAAACTATTTAAGTGAGTGTTTCAGCTAAATGGGTGGACTGTATTGGGTTTTAATGTTTTAAAACGTTTTATACGTGTCTCTGGAATAAACAGCATTGCCTTAACAGTTTTCAAAATACTAATTAGTGTTTATAACTGTCATGTAATTATTAACGTTAAAGTAACAAATAGAATTAAATATTGTATGTTTGTATTTTTTAGGAAGAATTTCCATTTGATGATGACATGCTCTTAGGTCATTTAAGTGTACGTTCTCATTTAGAAGATTTAGCTAAAAAGCACCCAGATATTGCGGATCATTTACGTTGTCCACCTTGGGGAGGCGAACCAAGCTCTAAACGTAGTAATAAAAGAAACGTATCTGGAGACGAAAATACATCTGAAGTGCCATCAGATCTCAATCAAAATAGTACTGAGCATATTGAATCTAGTCCCGATCAAAAACGATTTGAAGACAACATGGATAATCAACAGCAGAATCCATCTGAGAATATTTCAGATCTATCAGGAAACAATGATGATAAAGCACAACAAAGATTTATATCTAAATTAGAATTCACACCAATGAATGCCAGTAATCCAACAGAAAATGTTCAACAGCAACAACCACAACAGCAGCAACAACAAACACCACCACCAGTACATCAGCAACAGCAACAACCACCACCACAACAGCAGCAACAACAACATAAAGAACCTCAAAGAGATTCGACTCCACCACAAGGAGCTCAAAAACCTCATGTGCGGGTCATTCCAATACAGGTGGAAGGCCGTTCGAACCCAGTTTACCCAAAGGATACAGATAAAATGAATGAAATGGGTTCAAATGTACCCAAACAAAATCTGGGTAAAACTCAATTTCCTCATCATTCCTTCTACGACCAAAATACTTCACAGCGCCGTCAAACTCCACCGCCATCGTCACACCAGCAACAGCATGCAGCTCCCCAAGAACCGAGATCGACTCCACCGCCTCCACCTCCACCTCGTCAGCAAACAAAACCATTAGATGCATTAGAAAAAGTTCGAATTGTTCAAGCTGATGTCGAAGAATTGGCCAAAGATGTTGCACAATTCTCTGGGAACTCTCGTAGCGATAAACAATTCATTTATTTAGATGAGATGCTTACAAGGAACTTAATTAAGTTGGATACAATTGAAACAGAAGGTAACTAGAACAATTACTTTGTACAACAAATTATCAAGATAAAAGTTTTATTTTATTAATGCACTATCATTATTATAATTTATTAAAATAACTCTCAATCCACTTTTAACAGCAAATACGTATTTCACCAACTATGTTGTCATTTTCAGCACCAATCGTTAACTAAGTGTTTACCGGTAACACCATGTCCTTATATAAGTTCGATTATGTCTACTAAACTACCCAATTTATTTTTGCAAATGCTCCAAAAAAATAAACTTATTTTAAACTATAATAAGTTTGTCTAAAATAATTAAACTTCAATTATATACATATTTATTAAACATTTTATCTCGCTTATAAATATCTTAAATAAAATACTTTGTTTAATAAAAATATAATGACACTAACGATTGACAAAAAAAAAAACGTGAACTTAACATGTGATATTAAATTTACTAGATTGTTTTAAATTATAAATAATTTTAATTTGATTTATAGGGCGAGATGATGTTCGCATTGCTAGGAAAAAAGCGATAAAAACAATTCAAGATAACATTGCAATTTTGGAAGATAAAGTTCCTCAAACTAAATCTGAACCAATGGTAGTTGAACAATCAAATGAAGAATCAGAAGAACCAGTTCAATCTGAAAATCAACAGCCAGAAACTCAGCAGTCACAAACTGATGTAGAAAATAGCAAGAAATGAAATTGAAACTAACAATAAAATAGATATATAGTTTTATAAACAAAAATTAATTGAAAAATTGTATTTAACAAAATATTAATTGTATATGTATCAAAAGTAGTCTTTAAAATTGATAGAGATTTATCATAAGAATGAAAGCCATTTGAGTTTCTCTTTTTATTCCTTAAGTTTACATTTAATAAACAGACTTTTTCAAAATTTAAAACTTTAAAAGACTGTCTGTTATGCTATAAACAAATAAGAGTTTATTAGAATTAAGAGCTTATTTCTATTTTCGAATGGACAAATATATATTTGCCATATATTTTTAATATTTCTTGTTAAATATTTTTATTTGTATATTTTTAAAAATAAACAAAAACATATTTATTTCACACTATTTTAACATGTCACATATATAAAACTAATATAAATTTAAAATGTATACAGTGATATTTTACATTCGCACCATTTAATAAAAAGTGATTGAAAATAGCTCACAACTATTTTAGTTATTTTTGTAGTCGACAATAGTAGCCAACTTTTTGATAATTGTATGTAATCCAAAAATAAAAGATTTCTCAAAAGATCACTCAAACCATTGTGCATATAAATTTTGAAAAAACGTTTTTTTAAAAATAATTTTAAGTGTTGCATCTTATGTAAGATGTTGCAAAATCCATGAACTGCCATGTTCCTTTCCAAATTTAAAGTTTATTACAAGCGTACATTTTTTTCTGTTTGACTATCGTACTAAAAGTACATAATGTTACCGCTTAAGTTATGTAAGTGTAGTTCATAGATTGATATGCTATTGTACTGTTCTGGTTTAAAGTGTTTTGACTAGAATATGTATATAAGTATATATATTATATTCGGATTTGGGCCAGTATTAGTCTTAATGTGAGCTATTTTTCACAATTAATAGTATATTGTGTTTGTTTTTGATGCAACGTACAAAGTATACGCAAATAAGTTAAAATTAACAAGTACAACAATTAAATTACCAAATGATATTTATATTTATGTTACAAGTCGGTAGTCAATAGACTATATAAAAGTTGGGACCATTTAAATCCATCATGGTTATAAGTATAGACATGATAATAAGATAGCGGTAATAACAATGTTCAGGGCGTCTAATAAAATAAACTGATAATACATGATGATACCAAAAACGTAATCAACTAAAATGAAAACAAAATTTCGGATTTGGATTCGTTTACTATTTAGTATTTAAATAATGATCAAACATTTTAGTCTTGTTATTTTAGTCATCATTTGTCAAAACACTTAAAACAATTAATTAATCGTTAAATATAAATTAAATATTTAGTGATAAATTACACATTATTGACTATGGTACTAGAAAGAGTGAGGATAGAGAAATATGATGTTTTATTAAAAATTTAATTTTAACCATATATTATTAATTTGTAGATGCACAGGGTTTTATGATATATCTGAACCCTCTAAAGTGTTTATTTATGCTCTTTAGTTTACCGTATCATAAAAGCAATTATGACTTCAATACTAGATCAGTTCGAACAAGGTGCTGAATGTACTTTTACTCCCTCATCAAAATCTGTACAAGTGGTAAACAAATTAATTATTTTTCTACTGGTTTGTTTGCATTTTATTATTATAATACATTTTTCATGTAATTTTAATGTATATATATGCAGCCTAATGAACATTTCGAAGATGAATTAAACGAAGTCCCCATATTGTCAAAAAAGAAAGTTAATTTCTCGCCAAATGACAAAATCACCCATTTACTAGTCAGTAATGAATACGTAGTGCTTGTCATGATCAACAATGTACTGTTACGAATAAACTTAAGAAAAGATAACATTGAAGGTAAAAACAAATAAACATTATGTTAATACATTCAAGTATAGAATGTTAAAATTGTATATAATGATGTACTGTAAGAAAAATGATTAATGATTAATTATGTTATTATTAACGGATCGAAAAATCGGTCTGCATTTACTAAACAATATACAGTAATAAATGTATCGCTTGTTTGCATTTATGTTTTTAGAGATTGATACGCTAAAAACATCATCACTAAAAGTTAGGCATATATTTCTTGATCCATTTGGAGAACATTTAATAATTTCATGTGGGAATGCCAATAGTTCTCAACTGTTTTATGCTACTAAACAACTAGCAAAACTTAAACCAGTAAGAATTCACGTGTATTTAAAATATAACGATAATTTTTTTACATTGCAATTTGCCATACTTAACAGGTAGGGAAATATCAAGGGACTGAAATAACGTGTGTAGCTTGGAACTATGATCGTACAGTTAAATCTTCATCTAGCACAACAGGACCGATACTGCTCGGGAATTCATCTGGAACAATAATTGAAACACAATTAGGAACTGAGTTTGATAGATTTTTTCAGGGTAGCGTCGTGCAGTACTGGAAAGAAGTGTGTTGTTATTCTATTTTTGTTTTATAGAAATTAAATATAATTTAGCACTTTTTTTTTTACAGTTATATTTTAGAAATAATTCTAATGTTTTAATATTTTAGGTGTTTGATATAAGTAAAGGAAAACCAACTCCAGTTGTTAGTTTACAATATCATAGAGTCCCGAAATCTGATATATTTTATATACTAGCAATTTCATCGACAAAACTGTATCAGTTTGTCGATTCAGCGTTTAATAAAGATGAAAGACCGATGTTGCAGCAAATTTTCAATAACTACTTAACCATTCCAGGTTAGTTTATTTAATGCATAATTATTAATTAAAATGCATACGGCTAATACATTTATTACGCCTTTGTGAACAGAACAATTTGATGAAGTTCCAACGGTACTCAAACACAGCAAACTAAATTTTTACTATTCAAATAATGATCTGACGGATCCAAAGCACTTTGGGTTTCTTACAGAAATAGGCGTGTTTGTAGCAGAGGTAAGAACAACTTTAAATAATACCCAATTCAGTATGTATGTACTTTATATATTATTTCTAGATAGATATAAATAAAAAAGATAAAACGGTGTTTAGTTCGCATACGTTGATCGAGTATAGCCGGTTATATGGTAAAGATGATGATGATTTTCAAATTCCTCTATCGATGACTTTCACCCAATATCATGTATTGCTATTATACTCCAACAAAGTAGTTGCCGTGTCTTTAGAAACACCAGCAAATCGTAATGTATCACGAGTGATGGACGAAGACTATTGTTCAGATGTAAATAATATACAGTTGATAATTTTCGATATATTTATGTTGAACTATGTTTTTATGACTGTTTAGACTCACGGCAAACTAGTAAATATAACTAAGGACTTGGTTACTGGTACAATATGGTTATATGCTGAGCGTGCTGTTTTTAGATACAAAATTCAAAAGGAAGACCGATACGTTTGGCAAGTATGTTTAATTTGTTTGGTTTTTTAAATATAAGATTTATCAAGGGTAAAGTTTCTGGCAAACTTCAAATATTTTCCCTCAATTGGAAAATTATGTTACACATTAAAACAAAAATCAAACAATTTTTTTGACCGAGTTATTCTTTCCAGAAAGTTTCTAGAACATATAAAATCAATTTGTCTAGAACTTTATCAGGAACTTTGTAATTTATACACAATTCAAATTAATTAAAGTAATCTTACTGTAATTATTTTTAGATATTTTTAAATAAAGGCATGTTTGAAGAAGCAAAAGAAATTTGTCAAAATAATCCATACAGAATAAACCAAGTTTTAGTAAGACAAGCGACCACTTATTTCGATACTGAACAGTAAGACGCATGTTTAATTTTTTTAATGGATAAATCAAAACTATTTAACTATTAAAATGTTTGTAAAATATTTCATAATTTAGATACGAAAAAAGTGCAATGATATATGCTGATTTGAATATTTCATTTGAAGAAATAGTGTTGAAGTTTTTACATTTAGAAAACAAAAAGCCATTAAAACTTTTTCTAATGAAAGTATGACCTGACAGGTTTTTTTTATATTAAAAATAAATTATTGTTTCAATAACTATTTTCTGATTATAGAAATTAGAAAGTTTAAAACCTCAAGATTGTACACAAATAACAATGATTACGTTGTGGTCAATAGAATTGTTTGCAGATGAATTAGCCACGCTGAGAAACGACGAAAAAGAAAACGAAGAGAATTATAAAAAACTACAAGAGTCGTTCAAGAATTTTTTATTATATCCTCCTATTCAAGTACAACATACAATATTTAAGATATCTGTTTACTGATTACTAGATAATTGCAAATTTTGTTGGTGTATAGGACTGTATTCGAAAAAATTGGGAAAGCATTTACGATATATTGGCTAGTCACGGCGATGTTCATTTTATGATTTGGCTAGCACTCGAAAATCAAGACTATAAACGTGTTATACAACATTATTTAAATGAAAACAATATTGCAGAGGGTGAATACAATTTCATAAAAATCAAAATATTATATAATATTATCTTAAATAAAATTGGTTTTTATTATTAAATTTTAGCATTAAACGTTCTGGGAAGTCATCCTTTCAGTGAATTGTTCTATATGTTTTCTGCCGACTTGATTGAAAAAGCACCTTCTCAAACCATTTCCATTATAATAAAACAGGGACAAAAACTCGATCCTTTGAAAATGTTAAATGCGTTTATCGTTTTCAATCCGAGTGAACAGCTTGTAAGTGTTTACACTTAAATATTATAAAATATTATGTAATATTATTAATATATTCTCATTTATAAAAATATTATATAATCTGTATCCTATACATGATTTGTTTTTCACTTTAATTTGAAATCACATCAGCTATGTGTTAAACAAACACAATGCCAATTATTATTATATTTTTTTTTAATATATGTCGAGTTTTGAGCAATGTTTCTGTAACATTGCAAATTATACAATTACATATTAATTTATGTGTAGGCTTTGGAAATAATCAGATACCTGGAATACTGTGTTCACTGTCTCAACTGCAATGCGGAATCAGTTCACAACTATCTGTTGTCGTTATATATAAAATTCAACAACGATAAATTGATGAATTACCTCAAGTTGCAAGGCCAAGAAATAGCGGCTGTGTGCTACAATCCTAAATTTGCTTTGAGACTGTGTCGTGAACATAATTTGTTACAAGCACGAGTTCATCTGTCAATCGTATTAGGTTTGTGGGAACCCGCAGTTGACTTGGCACTGTTGGTTAGTGTAGACTTGGCCAAATCTACAGCGTCCCTGCCAAGTAGTGATCAAGAACTATCAAAAAAACTTTGGTTAAAAATAGGTATTTGTACAATAATTTTTTTGTCTTTATTACTTTAACAATTAATGTTTTAAAATATTATATTACAGCCCAACACGTCGTCAAAGAGAACAACGATATAGCTCAAGCGATGAAATTTTTGGAAGAATGCAAATTTATTAAAATTGAAGATATTTTACCGTTTTTCCCAGACTTTGTGACACTTGATCATTTTAAAGACGCAGTGTGTTCGTCTTTGGAAGTGAGTTCAGATTTCAATATTGAATCTTCAACAATAGTATTTATAATTAACTATAATTTTCTTTAAAAAATTTGGTTATTGATTAATAGTAATCAACACATTCATCACGATAATCAATTAATTTTTATATTTTAATCATGTCGCGTTTCTATTGTCTCATTGAATACTTAGTATGTTTAAATAACTCTTAAAAATAAATAAATTGTTCATGTATTTATTTTTTAAGGAGTATAATAATGAGATTCAAACTCTTAAAGAAGAAATGGAAGACGCAACCAAATCAGCTGAAACAATTAGATCAGAAATTGTATCATTTAAAAATAGGTTCATAACAATTCAGCCATCAAATACGTGTAGCAGCTGTGAAGAACAGTTGGTCACTAAAGCATATTACGCTTTTCCGTGTACACATTATTTCCATGTGGAATGTTTAATTAAAGAAATGCAACCGTATGTCAATTCGAGTACTTTGAACACCATAAAAGAATTACAGGTTGGTCTCTTTATTTAATACACAATTTACAAGGGTTTGGAACTATATCAAATGTACAACAATTTAATTATAATTATCGATTATTTAGAACAAGTTGAGTAATCTTTATCAAAATATAAAAGATGATTCACAATCATCGGACATATTGACTCAACGCAATAAAGTTAAAGAGACATTAGACAATTTACTGGCAAGAGAATGTATTTTCTGTGGTGATATTATGATTAAGTATGATTTTGTTTCTCATTGATATATTATGTTAGTTTAATATTAGATTTTTATAATTGCATTTATTTTATTTTATTTTAGCCTAATTGATAAACCATTTATCGAGGATAATGAATTTGAAAAAATCAAGAAAGAATGGGAGTAAAATATATCTTACAATTTTTTCATTTTTTTTATAAACTATCCACCTTTTGGTATGTTTATTATTTATTACTATTATTGTTAATTAATAATTTATTATACGTCCATAATTTATTTATTTAATTTTAATTTTAACATAAACTTGTTACATGTACCAATTCAAGTTGTTTATTTACTCTTGTTTTATATAGTTATATAAACCTGAATAAATGTATAAGTATTATAATTATATCATATAAAACTGGTTAACTTTTAGTTGCCAAAGAATATTGATACTCTACCTCTAGCACATAATAAGCCAGCTGGGTAAAGTATTAGAAAGGATATTTAACTAAAATACTACAATAATTTAATTTTATAAATTCTTGAGCTGTAATACTATAAAAAGTAAAAATACATCCCCCCTCCCCCATAAATAAAAGTTTTTCAGCCGAGTCTGCAACCACGAAAGAGCATTTTCATGTCTCGTTGAAGTACCGAATAAATATAGAGTAGTGGTGGAATTTTAGATAATGATATAGTATATTAAGAAGCAGTAACAACTAGTATATTAAAACATCAAGTTTCTGGCTAATATTGTAGTGTTTAATATCTGGCTTAAAACAATTCATAGAAAATTTGGGCCCTTAAACTATTTTGAATTTATCATTTAGTTCGAATTTATTTTTATTTTGCAAATGACTATTGGCTGATTTGATTTTACATAAAGGTAATAGAATTAATACTAATGATAAAGATAATAATTATAAAATATTTAATAATAATAATAACAATAAAGAAATACATAAATAAATAACAAAACATAAGTAAAACATGTAAGCATTTAAACATTTAAAATTTGACAACAACAAGAAAATTCATTATAATGGCTTCTCAAGGGTCGATATCCAGTTTATTGTTCTAATTTGAACGTTGAACGTACACCATGTCTCTTACCCTTAACTCCCACTCCCTATCGGCTATCTCATATATATTACCTCTACCCCAACCCCATTACCATTCCCACCCCAACCACAACCCCAAATGTCAGTGCAATGTTGACTTATTAAAATTGACTCGACTTTATTTTTTACTATACTTAACGTGACTAGTTTTTAAATTGATTTTGTACTCAGAGATTAGACAATGGAAAAGTAATAAGATTTCCAACTGCGAAGACATTTTTTGGATCTAAATTTTTTTTGGAAGCACTATAAAGAGATAAAACAGTCTTTGGTGTATTTTTCTTATACCAGTGGGCTCTTAGTTTTCCTACACCGTGATGATGAGATATTGACCCTCCAGAGGCGATGATCGTGTCGCGAGCAGCTGATTCAATGTGATGGTAAATCAATACTGGGTCGTCTAGTCCAGTCCAGTTAAATCCAAAGTAAAAATAAACACAACATCCGGTATCGTATGTTTGTGTTACACGACAGCTTATTAAATAGTGTTGAATATTGAGTTCTGAAACAATAAAAAGTTTAGACAGGAAATGGTCATGTTATGTGAAAATTAAGTCTACATACTTTTACATTCATTTTCAACGGTTTTCTTAACAGAATCGCACAGGAGAATTGTATTATTCCAAGGTACAGACGTTTCAAACGATTCGGCTACAACATTATATTCAAGCGCTAAATCCTAAAAAAAAAAAATCATAAAATTGGATATGAGGTATAACAGACTTAAAATAATAATGACTATCTTGTAGCCTGTTTATGTATAAAAAAAATGTACTAAAAAGAAGACATTATTTAAAAAGAGTTTTTCAATGGATGTCGCACTGCATTTATAAAAGAATTTCGTATGGCTTGAAGCTGTATGCATTAAAAGTGTACCTACTACTTATTAATATCGTGATTTATTAAATTATGTATTTCTTTTACTATGTAAACTTTAACTCTAAGATTATTGTTTATATGTATTTGAAGGAAATTTCTTTTTCTAGCCCCTTCCCCCTTTTTTATTTACATGCAAGAAATTTCAACACTACTTAGACATTTTGTTTATTATTTTTATTAACATCTATTATATTTTGAAGTAAACAAAAAAAAAAAAAATTTGATTAAATCCCCTCTCTCAAATGCGACATTAAAGTATACACAGTCTAACGCAAACTGTAAACTCCTTACCCGTATATATGCAATAACAAATGTGAGCATATACCCTCGTTCACCATTTTTTTCACCTGCTACGACACCGTTAAACAAGGCTGCTATTTGGAAGATCCTATTTTTGTGATTATTCACTTCTGATGTAGTACCTACCGATGTAAAAAATATCCAACCATAGATACATAAATGTTAATCTTAAAAATGCAAACCAATGTCAGATACTATAAAGTTAATTCACATTTCAAATACCTTCGAATAATAATGTCATTACGCATAAAGAATCTAGTCCAAAACCACATACGCCAGTCAAGTATTTTATTTTTAAAATATCTAACATATTTCCAAAAATACTGCCTACAGGACGTAGAGCTTGTCCAACCTTAAACTGTGCGTTGTCCATTAGTCTTATGGATGCGGGTTGACACCTCTAAAAAATGAATAAATAAAATTTTAGTTAAAAATGCAAATACATTTAGTATTTTATACTTACTTGTCTCGCTACTTCTCTCATACATTTTACACCCGATTCAAAGTTGGGGAAAATCACAGAATTATACACACTACATTTTGGCAGCGGTCGAATCTTTATAGCTACTTCGGTTATTATACCTAATGTACCTATAAAACAAAAAAAAACCCTGATAAAATAAATATTATTAAGTGACTAACAACTATTTAAAACCTTCAGATCCAAAAATTATTTGTTGAAAATCTGGTCCACAAGACACTCTCGGAACTTTGCTATTTTTTTCTAACACACCCTTTGGGGTAACCATTTTAGCATCGATTACTAAGTCTTCTATATTACCGTAGACATTTTTTTTCATACCCGAGGCTCGAGTGGCGACCCAACCACCTAAACTGAATGTATAACATAATAACCCAATAAATATAAGTACAAAAGGTGCAACACTACTACTAGCAATTCATAATTAAGACATATTGTAAAACAATAAGAATTTATAATGTCAACATGCAACAACAAAAAAAAACCACACATCATTACAATCTAAAATAAAATAATAAAAATGCATCAATTTGCAATATACAATTGTTGCAACACCTTGGTAAAGATAATAATTATAATAAAATAATAATACAAATGTACTACTTCAAAGTTTGCTACTACAAAGGCTACATCCGATTTTTTTTATTTCAATGTATACCTAGAGAATTCATAAGAGTCTGGCTCGTGCCCACAGGTATAACCTTGCTTTCTAAGTTCTCGCTCCATATCTTGACCAATAATGCCGGCTTCAAAACATGCCAGTAAGTTTGACTCGTCTAACCATAATAAACGGTTCTAAAGAACAAAAAAATTGTGTACAATATAACTAATAATAACTTGTTTAATGATCGCTTAACTAATATAGTCACCATTTGTGAAGTATCCACAATAACTATACACCGTTTCTCATTTTCTGGACAGGTCACCGCTCCCGACACACTTGTTCCTCCGCCGAATGGAATCAGAACAACATCATGATGGTTGACTAAATCGACTAAATTAACAACTTCTTCGTGGTTTCCTTGAATTCATGATAAATATTTAAATTAAATTAACAAAATAAAAAATAATTTAAACAAAAACTTACTTGGCCAAACAACAATGTCAGAAATACGTGGATAACATTTACCATGCTGGAGAGAGTAAATATCATAAAGAGTTTGTCCATGAGACCTACTAAGTCTAGCCAAGTCATCAACTGTATAATCAATCTTGATAGTTTTTAAAGCATTCAAAAAATCTAAAAAAAAAATAATTATTTGTAGTACTATACTATGAGTAAATAAAAAAAATTTGGCTTCATAATTTACAAAATAGTTATTACCATCAGGAACAATAGATTGAGGTAACTCAAGTGATTCAAAGTTATTCCGAGGTACGTTTCTAGAATTTAGATCAATATTTAGTTCTTTTTGAATCCATTGAGTGAAAAATGGTAAATCTGTTTCCCCGATAGCATATCTAATTAAAAAAAAAATACTCAATTTATTATATTACTGTTTTTATATTTTATTCTAACTTTATAATAATATGTTTTCATCAAACAACGTTCAATGTGATTTCAGTTTTTAAAAATGAAAAATGTTGAAAATCATTGTTGAAATTTAGAATAACTTGAAGTAGTATTGTTAAAATAAAAATTAACCTTCAATAAATAACACTAGTTACTATTTTTTTTAAGTGACATACCGATTTCCCGTAAAACGAATTATTCCTTTCTCAGTGACATGGAATTTTGAATCTTTGTAGCCCCAACCGTTCCATTTTAACACTGTTAATCTGAATTACAATAAAATGTTATTAAAATATACTACGGTTTTAAATTAATGTACTATTTTTAAAGATTTATTAAGTTAAGAAGTGTTACATACCGATTCTTTGGAATGACACTTTCTATATTCACAATTTGTGATTGCACTTCTGTTTCTTTCTCACACATTTTAAAGCGTTCACCACTGAATCAATATTTTTTTAACGACACCTGTACAATCATATTACTATATAAGGCATATTTTACTATTATATTGATTTTTACTAAATATCAGCATAAATAAACATTAATAAAATTTACAATAGTTTTCTTTGTTTTAAAGAATTGTACTTACCTAATGTTGAGTTGTAGAAGTTAGAACCTATTTGATCATAACTTTTTATGTGAAATAATATTTGCTATTACATTGTACTTTTTTAATATAATTAATATTAATATTATGTACTAGAGTCAAGGAATATGAGTATGTTATAAGTAATAAATCTACTATAACCTTATATATAAGTATTGTAGTAGAAGTGTGGGAATTTAGTATGGTTATTGTTATAATTATTATAATTGTTTTTAATGCATATTAAAATTGGCAAATTGGCTTCGGCGAAAAATATTGTGTAATACGATTATTATATTACAATTATGAAACTAAGCAATGTATCTAAGCCAAATGGCAAACGGTTAAAATGTTTGTATAGCGAAAATTATATTTATTTCTATTATTTAAAGCCGCACAAATTGTGGTGTCAAGAGGGCACTCTCTTGAGGCTTGGCCCGGGGAAGAACTCTCCGCTTAGCATTAACTAGATGGAGAATGTTTTGTATTTACCTATGTTTTATGTGCTATTATACTTATTTTCAAAGTATAAACTCGTCTTGTGTCATAATTTAGTAGCGTCACCTTTTTACGATTCAACTTTTAGTATAAAGTTAATTCTAAATAGCGTATACCAGGACAATCTTTTTAGTGATCAAAATTGCCAATAGGCCTTATTCCTTAAATTCTATACTTACAGAAATAGGCTCTAATCTGGCACTAAGTATAATTAGACATAGGCCTTAATTATGATTAAATACCGTATTAGGTGTTCTGGTTAACTATTACTTAGTGTGGGTTAGTTGGTCTGGCTGAAGTATAGTTTCGAAAGGTTTAGGTGTTCTGGGCATTGGCTTTGATTAACTTTAAACAATCCCAGTATAACTATTTTAAAAGGTATCACGTAGTGTGAATTGAGCGTATCCAGTTAATATCGTATACGACAGTGTATGCGAACATTACAGAAATCATTATGTAATATTTAAAAGCTGTTTGGTATAAGGACCAATTTCATCTGTGACCTAGATTATACCATATAAAAGCCATAGTGTTAAGGTGTTCGGCACCACTCCATTACGGATGCTGTTAACTGTAACGTACGTTGTATATACTATTCTTTGTATGTATACTGTGTGTTTTGATGTTTAACAGTATTGTGATCAATCACATTATTGTCGTGTGTCACAGAACCTTATAAACTATAATGAAGCTGCGAGTTGTGAGTACAAAAATAATTGGATTCAACCCATGGACGACGAAATAAATGCATTGCATACTAATGACACCCGGACGTTAGTGCCAACTCCAGTAGGAAAGCAAGTGTTAAATAATTCCTGGGTTTACAAAATCAATGTACAATGGTAACGGGCGGGTTGATAGATTTAAGGCACATTTAAGTTGTAAACGGTTCTCGACAGATACATGGGATAAATTATAACGAGACATTCTCACCTGTAGTTAGATTTGAATCTATCAGAACAATTTTGGCCATAAGTGCGGCTCAGAAATTGGAACAGCATTTCTATATGGTATGTCAGAAGACGAACTATAAATGGAACAACCGGTCGGATATGATGACAATTCAGGTGGGGTTTGCAGAATGCGTAAATCGTTGTATGGATTAAAACAATCTCCACGATGTTGGAATTCAAGGTTTAAAAATTTCCTATTACAATTCAATTTAATTCAAAGTAAATATGATTCGTGTGTTTTCACTAACCATGATAATAATGAAAAATTGATTTTGGCTATTTTTGCTGATGATGGTCTTACTGGCGTCAGCCAGTAAAACAAAAATACAGGTATTATTGTCTAAGTTAGAAAAAGAATTTGAAGTTAAACACGGTAACTTGGATTATTTTCTAGGAATGGGAATTAAGAAGTTAGATGATGGATCATTATATATTAATCAAACTAATAATTAAACGTTTTAATATGTTAGACGCAAAGAAAATTTCAATACCCATTGATAAATCAACGACATTGGATGTTCACACGGATTCAACAGTACTAGAAGAAGGTCAAGTACCGCGTATCGAGATACAGTGGGAAGTTTATTATTCCTGTCACAATTGACAAGATAGATTTGGCATTTGCAGTCAATTTTGCGTCACGATTTTTGGCATAACCAACTAATGCTCATTGGGTCAAATGCATTATGCGTTTCGTAAAGCATACAATTGATTATGGATTGGTTTATAAGTCTGATAATTATTTAGATTTAAGAATATTCACAGATTCTGATTATGCCGGACATTTAGAAACAAGGAGATCAACTTCGGGACATCTATTCATGTTGGGGTCATCTACAATTTCATGGCAAGCTCAACGTCAAGCAACGGTTTCTCTTTCTTCAACAGAATCGGATTACATTTCAGCCAGTGACATAACGAAGGGGCTAATATGGTTTAAAAGTTTTTTACGAGAACTTACTAATAATAATATGTACGATAAACCTATGTTATTTACTGATAACCGTATTACTATTCGTTTGGTCAGAAATCCGGAGTTTCATCGAAAAACCAAGCACATTGATGTAAGATACCATTTCATTCGTGAGAAATATGAGGAAGGTCAATTCGAAGTTCAATACAAGAACACAAAAGAAATGTTGGCAGATACAAAAGCACTTCCAAACGACAGATTTGGGATGATTCAATCGACCATTGGAGTACAGGATATATCATAGAAGAATAAGTTAATTTAAGGGAATATTAATTAAGGGGGTGTAATGAATATAATTAATATTGTGTACTTGGTTGTGAAATAGGAATTTGCAATAAGTAATAAATTTAGTATTACCTTGTATAGTAGTATACCAATATTGTAGAAATAATCGAGTAAAATGTAAAAGTTGATTTGATACAAGACAAAGTACACTTGACCTAGACTTCATGTATATAAGCTATAGTATTTAGATGTTTGGCACCACTCTATTATGACTACTGTAACATTGTATATTATTCTCTATTATTACTGTGTGATTTTATGTTTAATAGTATTGTGTTAAATCATATTATTGTTGTGTTTTTATTTCTACTTAAATACTAAACATCCATCAAGTTATACTCGCGTATAATGCAACAGTATAAGTATTATAATTATATCATATAAAACTGGTTAACTAAGCGTGTTTTAGTTACCAAAGAATATCGATACTCTACCTCTAGCACATAATAAGCCAGAGCTGAGTAAAGTATTAGAAAGGATATTTAACAAAAATACTACAATAATTTAATTAAAAAAATTCTTGAGCTGTAATATTATTAAAGGTAAAAATACATTTTTTTTCCATAAATAAAATATAAATAATACAATTTTGACTTATTAAGATTGACTCTACTTTATTTTATACTATACTTAGCGTGACTAGTTTTTAAATTGATTTTGTACTCAGAGTTTAGACAATGGAAAAGTAATAAGATTTCCAACTGCGAAGACATTTTTTGGATCTAAATTTTTTTTGGAAGCACTATAAAGAGATAAAACAGTCTTTGGTGTATTTTTCTTATACCAGTGGGCTCTTAGTTTTCCTACACCGTGATGATGAGATATTGACCCTCCAGAGGCGATGATCGTGTCGCGAGCAGCTGATTCAATGTGATGGTAAATCAATACTGGGTCGTCTAGTCCAGTCCAGTTAAATCCAAAGTAAAAATAAACACAACATCCGGTGTCATATGTTTGTGTTACACGACAGCTTATTAAATAGTGTTGAATATTGAGTTCTGAAACAATAACAAGTTTAGACAGGAAATGGTCATGTTATGTGAAAATTAAGTCTACATACTTTTACATTCATTTTCAACTGTTTTCTTAACAGAATTGCACAGGAGAATTGTATTATTCCAAGGTACAGACGTTTCAAACGATTCGGCTACAACATTATATTCGAGCGCTAAATCCTAAAAAAAAAAAAATCATAAAATTGGATATGAGGTATAACAGACTTAAAATGATAATGACTATCTTGTAGCCTGTTTGTGTATAAAAAAAATTTACTAAAAAGAAGACATTATTTAAAAAAGAGTTTTTCAATGGATGTCGCACTGCATTTATAAAAGAATTTTGTATGGCTTGAAGTTACTCTCTTAAGTACTTAAATTGTATGCATTAAAAGTGTATTAATATCGTAATATAAAAAATTATATACTTCTTTTACTATGTAAACTTTAACTCTAAGATTATTGTTTATATGTATTTGAAGTAAATTTCTTTTTCTAGCCCCTTTCCCCTTTTTTATTTACATGCAAGAAATTTCAACACTACTTAGACATTTTGTTTATTATTTTTATTAGCATCTATTATATTTTGAAGTAAACAAAAAAAAAATTTAATTAAATCCCCTCTCTCAAATGCGACATTAAAGTATACACAGTCTAACGCAAACTGTAAACTCCTTACCCGTATATATGCAATAACAAATGTGAGCATATACCCTCGTTCTCCATTTTTTTCACCTGCTATGACACCGTTAAACGAGGCTGCTATTTGAAAGATCCTATTTTTGTGATTATCCACTTCTGATCTGGTACCTATTGATATTAAAAATATCCAACCATAGATATATAAATGTTAATCTTAAAAATGCAAACCAATGTCAGATACTATAAAGTTAATTCAAATTTCAAATACCTTCAAATAATAATGTCATTACGCATACAGAATCTAGTCGAAAACCACATATGCCAGTCAAGTATTTTCTTTTTAAAATATCTAACATATTTCCAAAAATACTGCCTACAGGACGTAGAGCTTGTCCAAACTTAAACTGTGTGTTGTCCATTAGTCTTATGGATGCGGGTTGACACCGCTAAAAAAATAATAAATAAAATTTTAGTTAAAAATTCAAGTAGGTATAGTATTTTATACTTACTTGTCTCGCTACTTCTCTCATACATTTTACACCCGATTCAAAGTTGGGGAAAATCACAGAATTATACACACTACATTTTGGCAGTGGTCGAATCTTTATAGCTACTTCAGTTATTATACCTAATGTACCTATAAAACAAAAAAAAACCCTGATAAAATAAATATTATTAAGTGACTAACAACTATTTAAAACCTTCAGATCCAAAAATTATTTGTTGAAAATCTGGTCCACAAGACATTCTCGGAACTTTGCTATTTTTTTCTAACACACCCTTTGGGGTAACCATTTTAGCATCGATTACTAAGTCTTCTATATTACCGTAGACATTTTTTTTCATACCCGAGGCTCGAGTGGCGACCCAACCACCTAAACTGAATGTATAACATAATAACCCAATAAATATGAGTACAGAAGGTGCAACACTACTACTAGCAATTCATAATTAAGACATATTGTAAAACAATAAGAATTTATAATGTCAACATGCAACAACAAAAAAAAAAAACCACAAATCATTACAATCTAAAATAAAATAATAAACATGCATCAATTTGCAATATACAATTGTTGCAATACTTTGGTAAAGATAATAATTACAATAAAATAATAATTAAAACTTACTACTTCAAGGTTTTCTACTACAAAGGCTACATCCGATTTTTTTTTATTTCAATGTATACCTAGAGAATTCATAAGAGTCTGGCTCGTGCCCACAGGTATAACCTTGCTTTCTAAGTTCTCGTTCCATATCTTGACCAATAATGCCGGCTTCAAAACATGCCAGTAAGTTTGACTCGTCTAACCATAATAAACGGTTCTAAAGAACAAAAAAATTGTGTACAATATAACTAATAATAACTTGTTTAATGATCGCACAACTAATATAGTCACCATTTGTGAAGTATCCACAATAACTATACACCGTTTCTCATTTTCTGGACAAGTCACCGCTCCCGACACACTTGTTCCTCCGCCGAATGGAATCAGAACAACATCATGATGGTTGACTAAATCGACTAAATTAACAACTTCTTCGTGGTTTCCTTGTATTTGTGGACAAATATTTAAATTAAATAAACAAAATAAAAAAAAAATTTAAACAAAAACTTACTTGGCCAAACAACAATGTCAGAAATACGAGGATAACATTTACCATGCTGGAGAGAGTAAATATCATAAAGAGTTTGTCCATGAGACCTACTAAGTCTAGCCAAGTCATCAACTGTATAATCAATCTTGATAGTTTTTAAAGCATTCAAAAAATCTAAAAAAAAATTATTATTTGTAGTACTATACTATGAGTAAATAAATAAAATTTGGCTTCATAATTTACAAAATAGTTATTACCATCAGGAACAATAGATAGAGGTAACTCGAGTGATTCAAAGTTATTCCGAGGTACATTTCTAGAATTTAGATCAATATTTAGTACTTCTTGAACCCATTGAGTGAAAAATGGTAAATCTGTTTCCCCGATAGCATATCTAATTAAAAAATTAATATTCAATTTATTATATTACTTTTTATATATTTTATTCTAACTTTATAATAATATGTTTTCATCAAACAATGTTCAATGTGATTTAAGTTTTTTTTTTAAATTTCAGTTTTTAAAAGTAAAAAATTTTGAATAACCTTCTATAAATAACACTAGTTACTATTTTTTTTTTGTGACATACCGATTTCCTGTAAAACGAATTATTCCTTTCTCGGTGACTTGGAATTTTGAATCTTTGTAGCCCCAACCGTTCCATTTTAACACTGCTAATCTGAATTACAATAAAATGTTATTAAAATATACTACGGTTTTAAATTAATGTACTATTTTTAAAGATTTATTAAGTTAAGAAGTGTTACATACCGATTCTTTGGAATGACACTTTCTATATTCACAATTTGTGATTGCACTTCTGTTTCTTTCTCACACATTTTAAAGCGTTCACCACTGAATCAATATTTTTTTAACGACACCTGTACAATCATATTACTATATAAGGCACATTTTACAATTATATTGATTTTTACTAAATATCAGCATAAATAAACATTAATACAATTTACAAGTTTTCTTTGTTTTAAAGAATTGTAATTTATATTCACACTATATATTTGGAAGATCTACTCATATTACGAACTATACCACAACACTCTGATAAGTTTTTACACTACATAGAAATATTATTAAAAGGTTATTAGACTTTTAGATTGTAAATAAAGTTTTTACTTGTTTTCATACCTAAATGCCTACCTCCCACAAATCGAAAATCGCTGTGTAGTGGTTACTAAATAAACCTATTTGACTATAACTTTTTGTGAAATTATATTTTGTAATGCACTGTACTTACCGCCTTAACTTTTCAAAATGTTATTAAACTTTCAGAAATCTCAAAAAAAAAGTTTGAAGTTCCGAATTCTAATCAGTAGTCAATGAAAATAACATTATCAAGAAGTGTAAACAATAAATAATAATCCGGTTTACACGACGATATGAGTCATGAGATAACAATCGATTTGAATTTTGAACAAGAACCAAAATCCAAATAGGTAACAATCATTATTATTAGGCAAATATTATTTTTGGATATTTTCGCAGAATTTCCAATTTTAACTTTTCCTCCGTTTTGTGTTATTTTCAGCGTGTTCAGTACGTTTGAATAATTGGTATAAATGCAGTGTACTTGAATGTAAATACGTGTATGTGTACACATACATTGAGTAGCGGCTCGCTTCGGTATTTATAATTTATGCTTCTTTTCATGTAGCCAGTAGCTTTTGTTTTTTTTTTGAAAATTTTAAAATTTTGCAAAATCGTTTTCTGTTATATCGATAGCTGTCGAGTATCGATTTTTTTTGAAACATCGATATTTTTTTTTTTTGCTCAACCCAATAACGAAGGGTCAATGTGTCCGTACGGGTTATTAGTTCAAATAGCAGGCAGCAGCTAACGCCAGGGTGAACAACAATAAACAGAATAAAGTTCAGAGTGCGTCGGATATAAATATATATTATTTTATATTAATTAATAATAATATTGACCGACGGCCACAAAGACGGTGTAGGTCAAACGACATTTAAGGTGCAGCGCACGACGTCTGGCGCCTGGTGACAAAAAGTTGATAATAATATTATGTTGGGAGGTGTTATGAGTAAGCCGTAGAATAGATAACAAAGAAAACAACATGATTATGAAAAAAAATAAAAATAAAACAAAAAAATTGCTAATTTCCTAGGCAGTAATCAACCGGAAAATCGGTACATATTACTGTCAACAATAACAGTAGTTGTACACCAAGTGCGTTTTTGTAGAATGCGTCTGAAATGGAAGCCTATTACATGTGGGAACGAGTGCACTTGACTGAGGACATGAGTCGTCCGTGCAACTCCTGTGACTGCATCACGTATTCCTATTTTCTGATATCGGTGTTTCTGTTCACATTGGGCATGGTAATTTGCATATTTTCAATAGGACCGTTCGACAACACCATTTTTTCAGACCTCAGCCACTTGTGGATGTTTGGTCCGCTGTGCATTTGTTCGGCTCTGATGATCGGAATCAGAAACGTACTGTACCTGAGGAGACGGCATCTTATCGATTTGGTTCTCCTCGAACAAATAGAAGTAAGGTTTACTGGCGGGTACGGTTTATTCGTGAATACAATGACTAATCATTGCTTTTGACTTTCAAGGATATCCGGGCCCAACAAGTTCACCTGGCGGACTCCCAACAGTATTCTATGCCGATACGCAGTGTAAGTGAACTGACTCTGCCCCCGTCGTACGACCAGTTGGTCAGCAATCAAATTGAGGAAGACAATGATTTGCCACCACCTTCTTACGAAGAAGCCATAGTCGGAATGCCCAAAGAAACGACCAAAAGTGATAATATTTTAGTACTTAATTATTCTGTTAAATAATTAGTTTATAACCTCGATGGATTAGTTTTAGTGCTTGTTTTAAGTTAAATTTATGATAAACAATGAACATTTAAAAATGATAACTACTGATGAGAAAAGTAAATATTTTTTTTGTTACGTACTAAAAATTATAATTTGAAAAAAATACTTTTTCACTTAAGAGTTTAGATGACTGAGCAAAAAAAAAAAACAGCTTGTAACACTTGTACATACTATACAAGCAGTAGATAATGTACATTTTTTATTAAAATATACTATATTGTACCGGAGGGATTACTAATATTAATAACAATACATATATAACAATTTTTAAAATGTTTTCAACTGAATAATATTTGTTTGCATTTTATTATATAAGAATCATTAGGTGTATTACGCTTTCCTCATTTGTATGAAAATAATTTAGGTGTACAATAATTGTAAGCAATGAATTTCCATTAAATAATTATTATTTCTACTAAGTGTACAGTACACGCCTATTAATATATTTAAAAATAATATTGTGACTACCTTTATAAATTAAAACAATCAACAATTTAAAATGTAACTTAAAGGTTTGACTCATTAAAAACTAGTTTTACTGTATTTATCTGTTCTGTAGTTTTATTGCCTCATGAAAAATAATTAGTTGATCAATTACTCAATTCATGATAATTTATGTTAAAAGTACGCTAATGTTTGAAAAATACATTGTCTAGTGTTAAGAGTATTGCTTATAAATATATGATATTTTAAATAAATTAATGTATTCCTAGTATTTGGAAAATATTTATCGCATTAATTATTTGAAAAATTTGTTTTTTTTTTTATGTATTATAATTAGTTTAATTTTTTGTTTTAAGAAAAAAGCAAAGTTTATAGATTTATTGATATGTTGTTATTAATTAGTGGAAGTCACGACCTTAAAATGATCAAAGATCAATAGTAACTAGCGGTAATTTTTTATTTATTTAGATAAAACACAATTGAGATATTAATTTTTTTGCTTAATAGTCAATTTAAACGTATTTCCTACCACTTACCAAAACACTCATTGCTCTTGTATGTCTATTGTTAATAGAATTAATCATTATGTTTCAATTAATGTTTTTGCATTTTTTTCTTATGAAATCATTGATTTTAAATAATTTTATTAAGGCAAACCTAAAAATAGTATAGCTATAATTACTCATAACGAAATCATTGCCAATAAAATTGAGCGCTACGTGATGCAGCAATATTGTCAACTCCATAGACATTTTTGATATTAGCGAGTGAAACTGCGATTGTTACGGCATATGCAAATTTTATTTAGCAAAAACTAAAATATTTACATTAGATAATATTTTACATTTAAATAGTAAGTACATTTGGTTTGCTCCTTCGTACAAACAAGTAAAAAAAAAACCCAGTCAAAATGTATTATTGTTGTGTGTGATAAAACTCATTTGTGTATTACATCAAGTTAGAAAGACATGACCAAAGTCGACATCAGAAAAATATGATGTAGGCCAATTCGATTATAAGTCGTTGGTCGATTTAAAATGTAATATTGGAAAGAATTTGTATTAATAATAAAAATAACTTTTTGTTTTTTTGTAGAACATAATATATAATAAAATAAGACCAGAAATTATTTTTAACCAACTTCGATCATAAGCAAATGACTTATGATATAAAATGTATAATTAACAAATGTGATAATTAAAAAAAAAGTAAACGTTAAGAATTGCAATACATAATAAATAAATAAATAAACAGATAATTATTACTAATATATAAATTTGTATTTGTGATTACATATTTCATAGAAATACAATTACTCTTTTGGGTTTTCCTTCTGTACTTGAAATTTATTATGAAGACTAATTTACAGAATAATATAATAATGAAGTTTATAAGATGTAGAAGGTTTGAAGCCATGTTAAACGGCATTAATGTTTTAGACAAAATGGCTGATTTGATAATTTTATTGAATTATCCAAAATACGAAAAGAAAAACAAACAATTGGATAAATTTATTATTTTCGTTTACATCAAAAACATACAAAAACGCTTACTCAATTACAGTCACTTCTTCTTTAACCAAAAATTCGACCTTCTCTTCTTCGGCATTTTTCTGGTCGTAGTTCAGCTCATCAGTATCGACATCTGATAAATCAAAGTGAATATTAACAAAAACATATTAAATCAGGCTAGGTTATAACTGAAGTATCATCATAACATACAAATTGGCCAGTAGCTAAATATGTTTACATAAATTAAAGACTCTATTTGCCTTATTTGTATAATGTAACTATTTAATTGTAAGAGTTTGAACTTACGATTTCTGATGGCCATTCTTTCAGATTTTTGTTTGGCCCAGTCGGCCAAACGTTTACTACGATATTCTTCAAAGTCTTTCATTAATTTACGACGCTTATCGATTACTTCCTAAAACAATAATGAAAATGTATTAGAAAAAAAGAAAAAAAAAAACCAGGAAAACATTGTAACATTTTTCTATTATTACTTTCGAGGCTTTGGTCATTCGCAATTTATCTTTAGTTTCAAATTGAGATGTATACTTCTTTAAACTCTTCTTTATGTCTTTTTGTTGTTTAGCACTTAACAAAGTAGGCGGTCTCGGTCTCCACTGCATATGACAGTAGGTGTTTGTGTTGAACCTGTTCAAGATTCTTCCTTGGAATGACCATATCCAGTAGCCAGAATCTCCCTGTAAAAATTATGTGAACCATGTTAAAAATCAGTCGGTAAAAATGCCAAGACGTTTTTCAAAACCTTTACCTTAGTTTTCCAGGAGCTGACACCCGTCGCGACAAATCGTCCAGTGGGATCCCATTCGATATCGGTTGCTTTGTAATGTTCTGTAGAACACATTGTTGTGAAATCGGCAGTGTCTACAAATTCCAAGGCGCCAGAATCTCGAATTTCAGCAATAACAATATATTGGCCGGCCGGCGACCAAAACAGGTGACTGCAGAAGTGTTTGTCTAATTTTTCTATACAATCATTGACAGTGTGCAGCAGTTAATAACAATTTATAGGTAGGTACGTACAATATACAATTGATTCATTCAATTGCCGTAGTAGAATACATACTTAACAACACTGGAGCCTGACCAGATTTGACATTGTAAAAGCTTACGCTGTTATTACTAGGTTCACCGTGAATGATTGCGAACTTCGAGCCAATTGGTTCCCAGGCGAATGCATGAATTGGCTCTTTTATTTCAACACTATCGACGGGTATGTTTTTTTCCCTCATGTGGAAAATTTCGAAATTGTAGTACATACCCTATATAAATAATCATCAAATAAAATAAAATATAAACAATTTATGACCAATCTAATAATGGCTAAGCCCATTTCACATCTGACAGGTATTGGTGTGCACGTTTTTAATTTGTTACTGACAAGCCACACAATATATCAAATGCATAGACGTGAAATGGTGTGAAACAGGTCTCTTACGCTGTATTTAACGTCTCCTTTTTCTCGCTTTATTTTCGCATAACGATCAACTTTGACGCACAAGTAATCGCCAGCTTTTTGCCAGTGAATTTTACAATCAGCTACATTGAACAAGTTGTTTGCTCGAATTTCTTTGCGGCTAAAACATACATAATTGGCAAATATAATTTTACAAAAAATCCATAAAAATGTATGACATTAGAAATATTAATTATGTACGTATATACATAATACTATGTTTGGAAAGAACGCATTTAAATTTTAACAAGCAATATCGATTATAAATTATATATCTATTAACCCTAACACAATAAATATTCAGCAACTCTATATATTGATATACCAGACGATAACCTACTGTGAAAAAATAAATCGATGACTAAATAATGAATGGAGAAAACGTTCCAAACACTGTATAATACGTAAATTATATTAATGTTTTTTTTTCTTCAAAAAATTCTGTTGGAAATTTTATTTAATGTTAGCTTTAATAAGAAGAAAAAAAATTTACCTTGGTATTTCTAGTAGAACTACACGAGCTGGAACATCCTTATCTTCGGCTACCCAATAAGCGAGAACGTTATCTCTAGGCGACCAACTAAAATCTCTTATACCGTTAACTGTGATACTTTTTTTATCTAACAAGCCAAATGACTGCAAACAAAAATTGTTTTAAAAAAAATAAATCAATATAAATATACACATTTCTTAACTGATTGAAAGGGAAACATACCGGCGTTTCATACACACTTAATGTATTTTCTCCGATACGAGCAAAATACTTATCATCTTTAGACCACCTTAAGATAGGCACTGGGCCTCCAACAGGAGTCTGGGAAATAAAAGATCGTTTTTCAGCACCAGTACGAATGTCAAAAATAGTCAGCTTTTGTTCATCGTTGTCTAAAGGAGCGTAGGCTACAAGATATCTAAATACGACAGAAACATATTAATAGCTGAAGAAATTAATAAAAAATACAATACTATTATCAGTGCCTTACTGTTCACAAGGAGAAAAATCAATAAATTGAACATTTTTATGAGAGAGCTTCAAAACATTGGTGAAGTTTGGTCCACCCCAAAGCACAACACCTTGTTTGTGTAAAGTGGCTAAATAGGTTCCGAGAGGTGACCACATTATTAAAGATTCAGTCCATTTCTGAAAGTTTATATTATTAGCAATTATTTCTGGCATAAAAGTCAGTTATACAAAACATTACATACTTCACGTTCGACTAATTTTGTTGGTTGAGGATTACTATTCAGCCATACTTCAATATGATTATTTATATTGTAAACATAATATTGGTCAAATGCATCTGGTTCCGATAGGAAGTATTGTAAATTAGGTCTCTCTGGGAATGGCTGAGGAGTAGGCGATTCCCATTTTTCCGGTATGTCATTATACCTATAAACAGTTGTTGCGTTAACATACATATGTTTGTTGTATGGGATAATATCGACTTATTTATGAAAAATTCAACATACTTTTTATAGTCAGAAAAAAGATTTATTAAAAATGTATGTTGCTTGTCTAACTTATAGTTATTAACTTGAGTGACCGCTTCTAAGGCGCTCTCGTGTTTTTCGTATTCAATGAATATGTAACTAAAGAACGAAAAAATATTATGTTAGACCAGAATATTACGATAATGCAAATCGAATTATTTAAATCGTACCCTTTGGTGAAGCCATTTTCCGACTTTGGGTAGTAATCACTGGTAATTTTTCCAAAAGCCGCAAAAATTTTTGTAATTACTACTTTGAGTTTGTCAAATCGTTCAGGATTCACTTGAGGTACACCGTCAACAATGATAACCGTGTCCACACCGTCGGATACTTTCGGTTTTTTCGCTAGTACATCACCGAGCAACTCTGTTGACAAAACGGATTTAAAATGAGCACGCTTGTATCGTACGATTTTCCATTAATTTATGAACCAAAGAAAAATATTGTACCTTCATCCGTAATATCATCAATCGCGTTGTCCAAATCGTTCGAATCGTTGTCGTCCTTGTTGTATTTTCCCTTTTGGCCGTCTTCGTGCTTCTCGGAATCTTTTTTCTTGGCCATTATGCTAGAGTGGTTCGTTGAATGGGACCGGGAAATTGATGAGAACGGGAACAACCGCGATAACTTTCAAGTCGGAAAACCGAAATACACAACATAACACACAGTCGAGGAGTTATTCCGACATTTCGAGGTTAGGGTTCTGATTACGTGTGTATGCCGCGGCTGCAGTCATGGTACGATGCCGCGGCGACGGTGGTGCGATGCCGTTACACCAGTTCCGCCAACTTAGGATTTTGCGGCAAAACACAAACTGATAAGAGATAAGAGATATATGATAACAATAATCAAAATGTTGGCAAACAACGACCAACGTAAGTAGAAATTAGAATATAAATAAAAAGCAAGCGGGAATAGACGTGGTTTGCGTGACGGGGCGTAGTATATTATAAAAAACTTGCGAATTAAAGTACAGATTCCTTGTTACGGCTCATTAGTTTCTTTCGCCAATTATAATATTAACTGCCGAGTAGCAGAGACGGGCAACAAATATCAATTCAGGGACCTATTCTCAAGGGATGTAATGGACTTTTTTTTACTATAATATGCTGTACAGCCATAAATAATTTGCTCATCACTGTATCAACTGATAGGTACTTTAGTTACAATTATCAACATTGGTCTTAGTTATTAATCTATTAGATACACACCGCCTATCAAAAAACTATTACATATTTGATATTTTTTACTACAAACTTAATAATTTTATTTTATTCAGAGACAGCATATAATTGCAGGAGTTCGGCACTGTATTTGTACACGATTTTCCATTTGCCTCACGCTATCATTTTGTAGCTGCAATGGATTTAAAAAACAAAAATTCTGTTAATTTAAAAAAAAAACATTAGATACATTTCACGCTACAGTGATCTCAACTGATAGGCCGCCTAATTATTATTTAAAATGTAAAAATTAATTCTATACAAATTATAGAATCTTGTTAACAGTCTACCCAGCTTGGACTACACTAATGTTTATATTATCCTTTTTTAGTGCTATATTTTTCACTAAAAATTGAGAAATAATACAGGTGTAGTATTACGAATAGGCACTTCAGTGAATCGCAATCTAAAATCATTGGTAATGTTTAATAAGAATAATTATTATAATGATATAAGTCGAATAGTACATATTATTAAACGGGTGAAAAACGAATAAAATAGATATAGATTTTTGTTGACTGTTGAGGTTTAAGAAAAAGAGTATAAATAAAAGTTGTTTGGTACCTAATGTGTTATATTTAATTACAGCTATTTTATTGAGCTTACTATAGGTCATAATTATAGGATAACCGGTGTAGTTATTTTTAATTTATACACTTAATAAACGTTGAGTTCTTTTAGACCCATCGTGGCAGCTTTTCTCCAAAGACGGAATCTTGCAAGATCTTTTCGTGTGATCATGCCAACCACCTAAGTAAAAAAAAAAAAAAATGTGTTTGCAATAAGTCATCTTTGAAAAGATATGTATTGTCACTACGACTAAATGGAAAACAAATAATAATTATAAAACCATTATATTCTCAAACTTGTATCTAAACTACAAATTAATAGTTGTCTTTGGTCATAGATTCAGTGTATACTATAAAAATATTCTTTCTCAGATTACTAATATGTATTAATGTTTATAATTATGTGCATAAACATCCATTTATGATTAATAGTGTTAAACTAATAACTTTTTTTAAAGATCGTCAACAATTTACTTTGAGTAAATTTACTTCAAATTAATTGTTAATAGACGAAAATCAAAATGCTAGGCAAAACATAGAAGCATAAAGAAAAGTCTCCTTGACTTAGGTTAGGTGGTAATGGTATTTTTTACAGTAAATCCACATAAACTAGGATTATATCAAAAAAAATACCAATTAACTTGAAACTATTTTGACTACCGGTAGGAAATAAACTGCAGATATTATTTACAAATAAATCAGCTAATTGTATAGGATATTTTTTTCTTAAAATTCTACTTGTAAATGTGCGAGATTTTGTTTAAGGCCAAGCTGTAATACTTTACTGACAAATGTATTTGTCAGTAAATTATTTATCATAATGAATCTGTGTTTACTAGTAAACACCTTATAGTAGTCTCGACACATGTTAATTATTCAACAACCAACATAAACCTACCAACCTCATTTGTATTATTGATGACTACTATATGCCGCAGACCAAGTGTGCGAAACAATCTAAAAGTCCTTGGCAAACTCGTTTCCTGAAATCATTTTAAAATTGATCAATTTTAAACTCCAAAAAAAATAAAATAGGTATACTTATTTTTTTCGTATACATTGAATTCGATTTTATTGTAGGTAAAATATTATTGTTATAATTAATTGATTTTTACACTATTTACATAACTTGCGGATACTCACAATTTTTTTTATTACAAAAAAACAAACGACTATTGAAATGATACTAGTTTTACACATTGTTATGTACAATTCAGACAGAAATACAAGGAATCTATTGATAATCGTATTGGACCGTTTATTAAACTCCGCTTAAAATAAAATTATATTGTACGTAAAAAATAAGAATAAAATTATATTATACAGAAATCCAAGTATTTATAAGATATTGAACCATTAATTTTAATTTTTAGGCATAAGCTTAACTGTTAAACAATGATTGTATATTATGTACAATTCAAATAATTTAAAACATTAGTTAAAATTACCTAAAAAGTAGGTAAAACAATTAAAAACGTATTCCAGTAGTTTTCAATTAAACATAATAATATTATGTTGCTTTGCTAGCTAAATCACATGTATTTATGTGCAATGATTTAAATTTGCACATACAAAATTAGTCAATATTATGATAGGAAATGATAATATTCTATGATGATATCATTGTTATTCGTTGTTAATTATAAACTGAACTGAGCTAAAGTTTAAGTATATTTTTAGAAAATGTTGGCCGTTTTTTGCCCGTTTATGTTGTCAATGTGAAACGAAACACCTTTAAAAATAAGTATTGCGTTAATACATTGCTATTTCATTAAAAAAAAAATCTGGATAAAAAATTCAACAACTTATACCTACTTGAAAATAACAGACAATTTTTGTAATGATCAAACCAAATCCAAACAAATGTTCTTTTGGAAATAAAACGTTTAAATATATCAATGGGCACAGACTGAATAAGGGATTAACACATTTTTGTTCAATAAACTGTTAGTACTTTAAACAAACAAAAAATGGCGCACTAATGCCAAAAATCGTTTTATTGGTCATAATAAGACTTTTTAGCAGTTTGACACACTATAAAAAACGTGTACGGTGTAATATAGCATTAAATTATTTTTTACCTTTTATACTGGTTAACATACCTAGCATAAAATATTATTTATTATACCATGGATAAATTTCGCCAATGACATTTTACTTAATTTGTAAACATGTATAAAAAAAAAAAAGAATGAAAAAATGTAGTATTACATATAAACAGACGATTTAATCAGGTAGGGCTTTTGTGTGATTACTCTGTGCCACATTAAAAAAAAAAAAAAACATTGCCAAGAATAAAACTGGTTTGTTTAAGGAGCCTCTATATTTGCATGTTTTTGGTAGAAAACAACTCATTCTCACTGTAAAACTATCTGACAATATTTTTTAAAACGAGTTTAGTTTTTTTGATATTTGCTCGAAGCATCGACCGAATTACATTAAAAATTGTCTTATTAATATTATTGTCAAAACGATTAAAACATAAATGGTGCCACAGTCACTGGAATCGGAGTGTTCTTAGGAACGCATTGTTAGATGTAGAAACATAGCATTATGTTAATAAAAGAATATTTAAGTAAACCCTTAATCACAAAAATAACCCTCCATAGCGAATTTGGACAGCAATTTGGCCATCGTCAGAGCGCACACAACAGACTGAATTATGTACAAAAATAGGTCTGTTGCAATACAAGTTGAAAAAATAAATCAAACATCAAAACTGAAAACAGATACATAGTTGCTGTGTTAATATGATTTTACAAATTTTAGCTTAGTGTTAAATACTCGCCTTAATAAATGCAAAATGCAATAGGTAAAACCTTTAGCAAAATAAGTTTTGCAATCAGTAGATTTAATTTGTTTTATTGAAATCAAATTGCCAATAAATCAAAATTCTACGAAAAGACTAACTTAAGGCCATCTTATGATAATAATAAAATGCGTCATCTACGTGCGTATTATTGTATTATATAATTTTATTATTTATCTAATTACAATGTTAGTTTTCACACATAACACTTTGGTCAATAGTTGTTTTTATTATTATACTCATTAATTTTATAAATCGCTTATTTATTTATCTTTTTTTTTTATAATTACCCGACTATTTTAAATATTGATTTGTGTACTGAACATATACAATATGCTTAAAATTGTTTAAATAAAGAAGTTTGTACATACAAGGTGATTCATTAAGGATGACATTAAATTTCTTTTGAAATACTTGCAATTTTCCAGTTTTTCTTTTGAAGTCTTTTTATTCATACTTGTTTTACAACATTAGACCGTAATATACATTTTTAATTCAAGAATTATTTGCTGTAAATTAAAAATGTTCACTGGTCGATAACCAGTTTTGAATAATTAATTTTTAAGTTTAAAATTTCCTCTTAATGTCCTTTTTTTTCTAAAGCTGGATTTTTTATTTAATGGTTTCACTTGCACTTATTGTTTTGTCTCTGTGTTTTGTTTTAAGATCATATAGTTTGTAATCATTTTAATCTTTAGTAACTTTAATAGTAATCATCCAAAAATTTGTTCAGCAAATGACTCGGAAAGAAAATTAAAAATATAAAAATTATTTAAATATTGTCTTATATTATAAAAGATCGTAAAATACAATTTTTCCAATAGGAAAAAACTACAAATTTGTTGTTGTTTTAAGAGAAAACGGGTGTCTTATCTCTAATGAACCACTCTGTATGACTAGTGCGTTAAAACCCAAAATACAACCGTACGCCATAAAAAAGTTAATCTATTCAAATGATGTTATTGTAGATCAAATGTATTATTTATCATCCGTAAGCGTTGTATTAATTATTAAGGTCATATAATAATTATTTTAAAGGTGGAATTTCCTATAATTTATATAGAGATTTAAATAATTATGAGTAAATGTACAAAGCGCAAATTATAAATTACAATAACAATGTGCAATATATTGCAACGTTTATTTTGTAGACAAACAGAAAAATACTTGAAAATTGCACGCTTATTAAAAAATATATTGCCTTGTGACTCTTTTGCCACTGCGATTGTTCACAGTGGCAAAAGAATCGCAGTCACTTGTGTACCAAATAAAATATAAATATTTTACTAATTAACAATAATGTGGTACTGATTAATCAACTTTTACGGCTAAACAATTTTATTAAAACTTGAAAGTAGATCTCAACTTCCTTATTTGGAACACGAATGTGGACTTAGCACGAGCCATGAGGTGTAATTGTAAAAAATTGAACCGTTTTATTTCGATTTTTTACAAGATGGATCAACTATAACAATTTTTGAAAAAAATTTTTTTACATATAGACGATGTGGATTTACACGTTCCAATAGTCTCGTAACACTAGTCTTTAAAAGTTTAATTTACTAGTTTAAATTCATTGATGAAAATAGCCCCCCCCCTCAACTTTTTAGGCCATGTTTGTGGAACGCGACAAGTAAAAAACATTCTTTAAATAAATTGCTTAATAGTTATTAATTTTACCAAAATTAAAATATTTGAAATAAGGAATATCTTTTTAAATTAAGACATTAACGCAATTAATAGAGAAGCAAGCTTGGGGAGTTTTGACCGTTCAATAGAGTTTATTATAGTTTTTACAAAACTTTAGCTGTTTTGCAACTAAACTGGTGGAGCTGTAAAAAAAGCCCTGGAAGACTTGAAAAAGGTTTGAATAACTTAGACCATCCTGAATTAATTTTATAATTTTTATAGCTTCTGACCGACACTTTTATACATTAAATTTAAAATGAAATTCTTCTTGATCTTAAAGTATCAATTGTTTTTACACTCATTTTATCAACCATTATATTTGGACATGACGATTATATTAATTTTTAGAGCAATTAATAAACTAATATAGGTATAGGCCAGAAATAATTTGAAACATGTATACTATAAAATTGTGTTTAATTTTAACTTTAGCGTTAGTGCATTGATAGAAAAATTAAAATAACCGACTCATTTACATTTAATATTGCATTATATAGCGTATGGTACGTATGTTGAGTACTAAATAATTATTGATAGTTTAATAAAAATATATTATTTGGTAAAAACACTTATAGCACGTTTAGTTCTATGCATTTTTTGCTGTATTATAATGAAATCACAAATGACCTTAACTATGTATTATGTTGTTGGTCAATAACAAACATTTTTTTTTTTATTATAAAAGTTTTTATAAAAAAATTAATTTAATTATTATTATTATACCATTATGTTTTCAATCTAAGTCCAAGACAGTAATATAAGGTTATTTATCTGTCAACGGCGATAACGTTTATTATACTAGGTATATACTAATCATGTAAACATTATTCGTAATAATATAGCACTAAACATATGAAGTAAACACGAATCATACACCCATAAACTAATAACCTGTTTAAACCGTTAGAAGGGGAAACAAAAAAAAAAGAAGAGAGGTTGGGGTTTGCTAGGAAAAAACCAAAGATTACAACCGAAGGTTAATATCCTAGGAGCGTTTAAACAATATTTACAAGACGTTTCAGCAACGTGGGACCAGATAACTACTATAAAAGCTGTTCCGACCAATACAGGAACCACAGTCTGCAGTCATTTGTGCACCAAGAAGCTCTTGTTATAATAATAATATTAAATTACCAATCACAACCATGGCATCTTATAAATCAGTAAGTATATTTATATTTTATTCAATATATTAAATATTATACTTAAACATTTTTTTCAGTTCAATACAAATTAAGTAAATAATGTACATACAAAATGTATGTTTAACTTTGTACGAAAGCGATTAAACAGTTTTTTAAAATTTAATTTTTGAATTAAAAATTGAATTGGACTTGTAAATAAAGTATTATGGAAGAATGATCCTAACTATTTAATTGAAAATAAAATAATATATCAAGAACTAATATTAGTTTTTTTTAAACATCTAATGAAAATGGTAGAAAATATTTGTATATTGATGATTTGCATGTTAAAATTAAATATACTAAAAAGTGAAAAAAACCAGTAGGTAATATGTAACGTTTCAAAAGTCAAAACAAATAAATAAATAATTTGGAACACATAATATAATCCATATCTATCCATTTGCAAATTATTATTTATAACAAATACCTTTTTTTTTTAATCAGATAGATACTTGTTTGATTTTAGTATATAAATCTAAATTATAAAAATTATTTATATAACTTTTTAACTTAAATTATTATTTTTATATACATAAAAAGTTACTTTAGTTAAAAATAAAATAAAATTATACTTAGAATTTATTAATTTGTTTGAACAATTTTTTTGGAGCTTTATTCAAATAAAAATAAAAATTGTATTATATTTGAATTTTTTTAAATTATATAATTTTTTTTTTTTTTACTAATGCACAGGTTTAAAAAAAGATGGTATACAAAAACATTTCATAATATTGATTCGTTATTGATGAATTATGAAATTATCTTATATATTATATTGAATTTGGTATATCTAAATTCTAAATATTATTTAATGTTAGCATACAATCGTCTATGGTACAAATAAATTGCTTGGTTTTGTTGTTAAATGCATATATTTAATGGCATATCGATATTTTAAAGACTAGCTATGTATTAATATAAATGGAGTAATGTGCGTTTAGATTAAGTAAAAGTTAATAAAACTTATTGAATGTATGACATATTAAATATTCAAAAAAATATGAATTTTTTTTAACTAACATTAATTTATTTGTGAAAAATGGAAAAAAAAAATGAACACATGCAATAGGGGTAGATAATATTTCCATTTATGTTGAAGTACATATTTATATTATTATATACATTTAGTTTTATTTATGATTGATAACGCAGTCGTCGAAAAACGTATTCGCGTTTAAGTGATTTTTTTTTTTGCTGTGGATAGGGTTTTTATTTAATTACATTATAGATTAAAAACAATACTATTTTACCACCAAAAACAATATGATATTACAATTATTTATTTATGTTTTATAGATTTTGTTTGTATCTATTGTGGTCTTTGTGGTCATCCAGCAAGCGTTAAGCGAACCACTAGGACGCAGCCAATCAAAAAGTTACCATAATGGTGGGCATGAACAAGGTGGGCATGGCAATCAAGGCTATGGACAACATGGAAGTGGTCAGCAACATGGGCAACATGGACAACATGGACAACAAGGCTTTGGTCAGCAACATGGACAACAAGGCTATGGTCAGCAGTATGGACAACAAGGCCATGGTCAGGAACAAGGACAACATGGACAACAAGGCTACAGTGAACAATATGGACAACAAGGCTATAATGAAGAACATTCACAATATGGAAGTCATGGAAGTCATGGAAGTCATGGAAGTCATGGAAGTGGTCAACAACAAGGACAACAAGGACAACTAGGACAACAAGGCTATGGTCAGCAGAGCGGCGGCGGATACCGTGAACGTAACTAATTTCCTAGGCTTATTCAGTGTAAATTGTTTTAACTTATTTTGTATAATATATATATATATACTTTTTTTATGTTAAATTAATTTAAATTAAGACACGCTTTAACTATTAAAGATAATTAAGTTGTACGTGTATGTTATTTTGTTATAAACCAAAACGGTATGAGAAAGGTTTATAGACAGTAGGTAGATGTTGTTAAACATTTTAACTCAGGAAGATCTAATATCATATTTCTTTTAGTTTTTAACCATCGTTTTGACAATAATGATGTTGTTACTCACAGCCCTTTTGGTCGAAAAACGACAAGAATTAGGAGATCTAAATGTCGCTATTTATGCATTGTTTCGGCCAGGTTTGTGATCTAATGTTATGGGTACAATTACCATAAGAGTTGTTAAAAGCCGATAAGAGTTGTTTACCTATTAACATACAATTTACCGCCACTATTTTGTTGCATTAACGATTAACGAAAAGCCAAACGTTTTGGTTTTTTGTTGTTTGTTTCTGTAAAACGACCACCGTTTAATGGTGTCGGTATTTTATTTACAGTACCCAGTGTGACTTTGGAAAACCTTTAAGGTTTGTAAGGTTAATATGAAGTCGAAATTTGAATAATTTAGATGGTCTTAGATATTACATAAGAAGTGTACTTCTAACTGAAACATTTTAGACGTTAAATAAATATCTCACACAAGTATCATACAAAAATATGTTGAAATATTAGAAAATATTCTATGCGGTGCAGTCAAAAGGAACACAGATTTATTTTAATTACTTGAAACCATGCAGCCCACATTATTTTTGTATATTGACTAGCATAAATAAGCACACTCCGTGGTTATTAGCAAATTATTACCCGTATATCAATCGTACAAAATGTTCAAAGGTTAACGGATTTTCTGGTTGTTTTTTTATAGCACAGTTGCCATTCGCCGTACAATCTGTGTATTGGATAACACATTACATTATACCGTATACGTATCGAATAATTAAAATAATAATTAACTAATCAACAAAATAATTTATAAAATACGGTATAATTAGTCCTTGGAAATGGTATCCAATTTTTTCCAAAAAAGTTAAAACATCTAGTTTTTTATTTTTATATGCCATTGCCTTTCCGTTGGTGTGAAACTTGTATTGATCAAATAGTCATTGTTATTATTCTTAATAGCTAATAAAGTATTGATGGCGTAGTGTAAAGATGACCTAAGTGCAACACACTATCGATATTCATAAATGTACATTTGGCTATTTTGGCTCATACAAAAATTGAAGGTGTGCTCATTTGTGTAACGCATTTTCTATGATAGGTTAATGAATAATAGTCTCTGACCTTTGTCGTCGCAACAAGGCCTTATCACAATAATAATAAAACGGTATAAATGCATAATTACAAGTACACTGTTCTAAGAAAACAATAATATGTAAAATATACCACCGCTTGGCTCCTGTATGCGTTTTTTAATTTAGAAACACCTTAATAAGTCCCTAGCATTTTTTTTTTTATTATAAAAATATTTACCAGTCTGGTTATGTACGGAGCTGGATTCATGTAAGGCCGTAAATCAATGGCGATATTTTTTTCGTTTTCGTTGACTATTATTTTCTACAAATATAAAAAAAAAAAAATAAGATTAAACATTATTAATTGATTAAATCAATTTAACGTGGCCGTAGATATTAAGGTAAATCGAGCTGAGTAAAATACAATATTTAAGAACGTACTTCGAATGTATTGGATTCGTGAGAAAAGTACGTTGATTTTCTTATGAGCTCCAGTTTCTTACAAAAGTTTTCATCGTGCAACGGCGTGATGTACAACTTGTGCTTGACAACAACGTTCAACTGCGACCGTAGAATGAACCCTTTCAGAAGCCCATAGCACTTGTGATCTTTTTCGTTGATCTGCAAAACGAATGCCCAACGATTATTGACCTAAGGCCCTTACACGCGGCACAACGCGACGGGGGGTTTTCCAAAAACCGAGTCCCCTACTTACACGATTGCAAAAACAGACATTTGGCAACACTACCGGAAATCCGTTATGTCTGGTCGTGTTTAACACGTCCACTAGCTTTCCGATCATCATTATCTGAGGCAGCGCACTGACCTTGTCGTTCATAAAGTCGCCGGCCGTGATGTCCCCGGTCAAAGGCGGTGGTTCGCTGACCAACATGGGCACCCCGGATAGATTGATCTGCATCTCGTATATACCCTGTAACATATAGGAATTCAACACACCGAGGTCTGAGAGACGCGATGGATTGTAAATGTATATTAGTTATTGCGGTGGTAAATTCGTCTCGGGACTTACGTCGCTAAAGAAATCGCCGGTCCACTTGGCCGTGAACAAAGTGATCATGAGCGGTAACAGAAATTGTAGATTTCCCGTGGCTTCGATGAGCACTACGGTTAGACTTATGGTGATCCTGGCAATGCCGCCTAATGTAGCTGCAGCCCCGAGCAATGCATATTTTGACGGGTCGAGCCCGACCTGCAAAACCGAAAATACAATATAGAAAAATATGATAATAATAAACCAAACACGTATTTAACTTGTGTTGAATGTTTGTAAGTTATTTCAAGTTAGCTGTTCGCGCGATATCTCTGGACACGCTGCGTTGGATTTATTATAGAAAAATAGCCGCCGTATGGATCTTGAATCAAATTTACAGTAGGCGTATACTTAATGAAATACTAATTAGGTATAAACTGATTGAAAGTAAAAAAAAATATATAATTTGTTTTGTTCCCAAAATCTGTATCTAGTAGTAGCTACCATAAAAAAGTAATAACTTTTTTCAGCTTTCATTTTCAAACGTAACAGTTTCTTACAAAACAATCAAAGTTACACATTTTATTTATTGGGACATTTTCCAAACGAATTATACACCTTTATGCAATTTTATATTTATTTAATAAGTGTAATAACAGCTCGAAATTAAGATAACTACGCACATAGTTTATGTATAACTTGTTTGATCCATTACAGACTACTTTAAATCGACGATTATTTATGTTAAAATATCATATTATTATCTTTAAACGGTCGACTTAAAAAGTGGACCACATGACAGAGTTATTGGATATTTTTCGCTTTATACTTACAATGTATGGTACATAATAATGGATTACTGTGCCAGCAATACGTCCCCATACGGCACCAATCAATAATGATGGTAAAAATATTCCAGCTGACATGTTTAGACCGACTGTGAATACGGTTAAGAAAAAATATATCATTCCATAGAGTAATAATGGCACTACAGAGAATTCGTCTGGAAAAAAAAATACCAGAATCATCATGTAAAATAGTGGATTTAAAGTCTTGAGAAGGGGCGGCATGAGATAGGTATAATTAGGCAAAATATGTTGCATAGTTTTGAAAAGGAATAATTTTTCAATAAATTAGGTCAATTTTTTTTTCTACGTTTAAAATAAATCAAGAAGTAATATAAATGAAATTTAGAGCAATTGTTTGTATGAAAAAAAAATCTAAATATTATTTAGTACACTTTGTACTCTCGTCTTGGTAGAGGCTGAAAATGGTAAAAAGTATACTGCGAAAAATGCATTCATAGGTTAATGTTTAAACTAAATTTTATGACACATAATATACTTACCGATGGGACTATGAAATAACGTTCTGATATTTTCTTCTTGCGTATGAAGCCAGAATGTACTTATTTCGTTATAAAATCCTTTTGGACAGTTCATCTGCAATAAACCTATCATAAAGGTAAAAGCCGTTTCAACAACACCTAATAGCTAATGGCTAATGCAACTTAATATATCCAATGTTTTACTAATTACTTTTAAGGTATGGTGCGTTTTGTTTTTACAAACTATTTGTAACTACTAGTAGCTGCTAAACAATGTCGTTCAATTGATATTAAATAGCAAAATATATAGTATTTTATTAGAAAATCTATCTTTTTTTTAACTATCTTTGCATCTATATATATTTTTAAGATATTATACCATCCTATTCAAATGTATTTTTGAGTAAACTATTTTATTTGGTATAGTAAAAATTGCATATTATTATAAAATAGGTACTTCAAAATATTAACCCGTTGTCCTTCAAAAATAATTAAGATGCGCTTACTTGCACAGCGTATGATGCGTTTTTTCCTGCTTTTGAATGACAGTAGTTTAATAACGACATTGATAATAAACTGACAACTGAAGCTATAATTGCAGTAAGTATACATTCAAGTAATTTTTTTCTATTTGACGTGACGTGCCTTGAAAATAATTTCGATTATAAGATTCGGTTATATAAAATATTATAACAATAAAACTAACTTCATCCTATAAATGGACAACCGGTAATTAACAGTAACAAACAGCGCTCCTAGGATTCCTCCGAAAGTACCAAATGCTATGAAAATAGGAAATTCTGAGTAAGAAAAAGAAAGCGTTGTGTCATTGAAGTTTCCAAAGAAGTACAAACTTTGGCCATCGACCGACTCGGTAACGTCTAATGAAAAAAAATATATATAAATAATTATAGAACAATTTTAGCATAATTCTTACTTTGTCAGTGTTAGGAAGCAAGAAATAAATTGTCTTTAATCGCCAAATGGTAATATGTGTTAAATATTTGTATACTTAACGAATACTGTTAGTTAAAAAGCTAAGACTTTATGGCTTATATTTATATGGTTAACCTGAATGTGTTAATGTTTATATTTTTAGAAGGAATAAATAGGCATAGTAAGAGGCAAAACATATTTTGATTATCAACTAACTTATATTGTTATCCTTCAATAACTTTTTTCCAACATTGCAGGTCGGAAATGCTACTGCGGCACAAAAGAATACTTTCCACATAAGACTGGAGCTCCAAAAACTAGTACCTTCTTCTAAACTCATCAACGTTCCGCCTATAATGAAATAAACCATTATTGTACATTTTTTTTTTATGATCAAGTTAAAGTTGAAATCACGTGGCAAAACAAACATTTTTTTTTAAATTAAAATATTTCATAATCAAACAAATTTATGTACCGATTGATTTTTCGACTTTTTGGTTACTAAATAGTAAATTAATAAAAACGCACGTTATGATTATTATTGTAGTTTACAAATTACTTAAATTTTTTCGATAAAATACTTTTGTTTTTACTAAATTTGAAGTTCAAGTTGTTTATAACTTCAATATTGTTGTTAGTTCGGACCATTTTTTAGTTTCATATAGTGTGCTGGTTCATAAAATACATTGTAGGTATAATAATTAAAATTGTATAATATATTGTAAACTGTATAGCCCAAAGGAATTAATATACTTTTGGAATTTACCTATAATACTACTATTTGTTTTACAGATAGTAATAATTCGAGTTATTGAAGGGGTAAGGGTTATTATAGTTATTACTTATTACCAACTGGTGCCCCAAAGGCAGATGATAACCCTGCGGCAGATCCGGCTGCCATCATATCTCTTCTTTCTCGGTCATTTTGCAACGGTCCGATAAATTGTTGGCCAGGACTATTTCTCAACCCTTTCCACCAGGCTTCGACCACTGAACCACCGACCATAGACCCAATGTGTATCAGTGGTCCTTCCTAAACGACGACGGCATAAGAAAATAAATTTTAAAAAGGCGATTGTTTCTCGATAGCGGTAAAAATATATAAATAGGTATTATATTATTAACCTTTCCTCCGCCAAGGCCGGCCACACAAACGCATATCACGCTAACGACTTTAACCAATAGACAACGAACTGCTGTCATTCTTGGAATTCGCACACCGTTTAAGTACGCTATTACGAATGGTATACCACTTCCGGCAGCCGAGGGCTGAAATATTGTTGCAATTTTTTAACTGTTAAAATCATCATTAACGTCGTTTATTATTTTAGCTGTAGTCAATAAATTTGTTCTATCCAATCCTCCCCCTTAGTTATGCAGCTTAAGAATAGGAAATAATTAAAATCGGCTTCCTACATAAAATAAAAATAGTAAAGTAGCAAAAAAAAAACTCAAATCTCTTTAAAGATTTGAAATTGGACCATCCTATGTTTTTGGTCAAAAATAAACCAAAATATCTGTTACTCGTAGAAAAAATTATTTTAATTAAAAATAATACCTTGAAGCTTATTATACGACTTAACCGGTAAATTAATTGACGTGGTCGAAATTATGAAAACCTCTATTTTCCTAAATATGCCTATACAAAACCCCTTAAAACAGACCGCATGCAAACCCCTTAACACCTTTATCCACTCACCCCTTCAATTGTAATGCGCGGAAGAATAAGGTGAATATATTACATCCGTTAATTAATTGTTTTTTATATTAAAATCTAAGTCGTTCAATAATAGCGTTAAACCCGTAACGTTAAATATATATATATATATATATATACATTAAACAAAATGTGGGTCAATATGGGCCTTTAATATATTAGGAATTACAATTATTAGAGACTATTAGGATTAAGATATTTGGGATATCTCATTAGGTGTAAATATTTTTCATGACAATATAATATTTTATGATGATCCCCGACATTGACCGACTTTCCCTTAACTGTGTACAACGACTGGGGTAATCGCAGGTAGTTCATTTGCAAATAATAATAACTACTTGCCTCACCCAGGGCATCCCTGCAAAATATCGATAATACTAAAGTTTGAGATTGATGTTGACAATGGGGAAAATTTTATGCGGCATGCTGTTGAGTGAACTCATTTTTATGTGATGTATTACCATTGAATAAAAATATAAAATGCCGCAATGTGAAGTTTACAGACATATCATATTTTTATGTATTAAAGTATTTACCTCCATTAACAAAACAACACAACATCCTATAGTTGCTGGGACAATGGTAAACAGTATCCAATTAACTGCGCACTCTGTCGTTGAATAATTACTTTCTTTATCGATGCATCTTTGTATCGATTCATACTTCCAACTGCACAAGTATTCAATGATAATATCGATACATATTCCAACAGCTGCAGTGCAAATGGCAATTGAAAAATAAATAAGCCATCTTATCAGATTAATTACAACTACAGTTTTATAACCATGCTGTTTTTCTTCTCTAACAGTGAGTTCACTTTCGTAAGTGTCATAATCCAAACTCTGAAATACAATTAAAAAAATAAGTTAAATTTAAACTTTAACCAATTATTATGGTGCACGCGTACAACACCCTCAATCCTCTTTTAAATCTTATATTAGGATCTGATACTAAATCATTTTTTTAGTGATATCTTACTTCATAGTCGGACGACACATAATTGATTGAGTGAGATCTGAATCGTTTATCAAATTTGTTCGTTGAAATCTCATCGGAATCCTAAAAAGAAATATATATATATTTAGCAAAAATAAAAACAACGTCTCCAATGTTGGAAACAACTAACAAAACAAAAATTAGAATTTTCCAATTGTTCTATGTGTTAAAGAAAAACTGAAACATTCTACATTAAGTTTCTGGCCAGTTCTGAATTAAAAAAAGATAATATATGAAAAAAAACACTAATTGAAATAGATTTTAGAAAATTATTCAAAAGTTCAAAACACGTTAATCAAACCGCTAATGGAACATTTAAAGCTATTTAAAAAAATTACTTTACCAGAGAAAATCTGAGGCCATCGAATTTTCCAAAAAAAAAAAAAAATTATAGATGATTTTTGAAGTTGTTCTAAAATAAACAATTCAAATTTTGATGTACCTACTGTGTATTCATCTTCAATTTCTCGTCGTGAAATAAAACATTGTTAAACATTTTTACAATGTTTTTTAACAGTTAGGTTAAGTTATAGGAATTGTAGTAATAAAGCAAATAAAGAATAACCCGTCAATGCCAAATGGCAACCACTACCGCTCAAATTGCGGGCAGTCGTCCAATTGGCGTTAATAATAAAAAATAGTATAGATGAACCAAAAAAGTATACTACCCGTATCACTATACAATACAATATAAATAAGTATTTGCATAAGAAAAAAAACACTAATAAAATAAATTAAATGTTAAACGTCATAATATTGAGTTAATCCTGTACCAAAATATATGTTTGGTGATTGCAACAATGGCCGTTATATATTTTATATTAAAATTTAGAAAGTGCAATGCAAGTACAAATGTTACAAACTATTACAATATTTTTTTTTAAACTTTCAAGTCAAAAATGTTGACATTGCCAAAGTATTACTTATTTTATTACAATAAAATCCGAGTTATTTTTTAAGTATCCATGGTAAATTGTTAATTATATAATATTTTTATCCACACCATAGCATATTATGATTCTGACAGATTTGTTCGATGCTTTTAGTTGTTAAATAAATTATGCGGATACAAATAAATATTGTTAGACGTACCTGCACATTTTTTCGGTTTATAAATTTGACGCTATTAATACATTTTGGTTTATGCCAATGGTTATGATTTAAAACGTGATTTTTGAATTCATAATTTTCAATTTGATTAGTCTAAAACAAACAACGATATATTATATTGTAATTTATAAACGAAAAACTAGAAACGCGTACACGGTTTAAACTTACCATTTGAAAAGTACAAACAATTATACTTAACGCCAAGACACAAGGATTTATTCGGTCGTGTAATTATCAGTAGCAAAGACGAACACTGACTGCACTATTGGCATTCGACACTAAATTAGAATGGAGCAAATAGTATTGCATTTTTTTCTTACGTCTTAAAAATTTCGCCTTCCTGTTGTGTATCGGTTAGTTTAGAACCACAATGGGTGGTGTACCTACCTACTGTAAAATGTAAAACTTATAACCGTCATTAATAGTTTTCACGATCAGCTGGTATGGGACACACTTGAAGACAATCAAGTCAATGGCCAGTATCTCCAAATCCGTTTAGGACCGTACTACAGCCAGCGAGACTAACCCACACTAGAATAATAATTAGCCAGTACCTCCTAATATGATTGTAAGTCAACGTTAGGGACTATATTATCTAATTATGATTTTAAGCTGAATTAATGGCTATACCTGTAATATTGAACCTCTGGGGTTAGGGAGTAGGGGCTATATCAAATTTTGATTACTTTAAGTTGCCACAGTGGCTATATTTAAAGGTGAACCGTTCGACGATTATAATTAGCAAGTGATAGGGTGCCATTAACACTTTAAAAACAATTATAATAACACAAAAAAACTTACGTTTCATAAAATACAATTATCGTAGACCGCACAGCCAATATAAAATTAAACGTAGCGATTTCCTTTTGGTCTCGAATGGGAGAATTCTCTTAGTATTAATTTTCATTTGCCTTAAATAGTAATAATAGTTGCTACATAGTGGTTTTGCTTATGCTACACAAAAAATAATGTGGGTCGTTTGTACATATTATTGAGTTAGCAATATAGAAACATGAACGGTAAGTATAGTTTTAAATATTGTTCTGTCGAGGTAAACATCATCAATTTCCGGGCTAAACGAGACACCTATAAGGGCGATATTTTTGTTAGGCGACATAAGAAATGCTATTAAACTATCGTTAATAATCAAAACGTACAATGATAAAGGTGAATAAAATTATATAATCTATAACTTGGTGATGGAATTTACCATTGGGACATAATACGTTACACATAATATAATAAAATGCGTAATATTCATTATTGTAATAATATTTTTTCTTACTTAAAAAGGCTACCGGCTGAAGTCTACCACATAATGATTCTATATGCTTCAGAATATAGGCAGTCCATAGAGTGAATTTTTCTAAATAATATTTGTTTTTAACACTTGTTTACGACGCTGGAATTTCACAATACAGTATAACTGCGCGAACACAGAAAGTTTCAAAAAAAATTTTTTTTTTATTATCTGAAAATATATTTACAATCTATACAGTGAGTACATTAAGCGAATTTGAATGAATGATATTATATACATGACAATAAAAAATTAACAGTTATGGGAAGACACTCAGCAGCGTCGCCCGGCTGCTAGGAAGTAGAAAAATATTATTTTTCGTTACATTATTATTTATTGTAGTTATTGTAGTAGATCTCTAGGCCATCTTCTCTTTAATCTTCTGGGAGCATTATCGGGAATGGAGGCCGAGGATAGTTGTTTTATTAGGGGGTTAGAATGCGTAATTAGATTTGAATGGAAATTTGAGTAGAGCGAATTTGCTAGTTGGTCGAGTGTTGGTGTGTTTAAGTCTTTGTGTAAGTTTTTATTTGTGACATACCAAGGGGCAGAGGTTATTAGGCGCAAGCAGATCGACTGGAACGCCTGGATAGTTTTGGTGTTTGAAGGTTTGGCTGTGCCCCATAGTTGTATGCCGTAGGACCAGACTGGACGGATTAAAGATTTGTGTATGATTAGTTTATTGAAGAGAGAGAGCTGGGATTTTTTAAGTAGAGGTCTGAGGAGATGGAGTCGGGAGTTTAATGTTTTACGTTTTAGTTTTAAATGTGGGCCCCAAGTGAGGTTTTTGTCCAAGGTAAGGCCAAGGTACTTAACTGTGTTTGCTGTAGGAAGGATTTGATTATTAAGCGTGACTGGTGGGGAATCGAGGTTGCGCATGGAAAAAGTTAATAGATCAGGTTTTTTTTGTATCTAGAAGCGGATAGGTAAATTGATTTTTTTGAGGCTTCAAATGTTTCTAGCCGTTAAAATATAAATAAAAAAAAATTAAAAAATGCTAAAAAGGTAGATTAATCCTGACTCGATTCGATCCCGAAACATCTTGATTGAGAACTCAAGGTATTAACCATTACGTGACACGCGATTTTTATACATATAGAGATATGCCTAGCCCAGGCGTCCCATAAGAAGCAAAGATATTCAAAATAATAATAATAATATTTCTACGTGCCAAATACTTTGATATTTGCAATACAGTACCAAGTTTATTGATAGCTATTTATTATAAATTTATTATTATAGATTAAACTGATCTTAACAGTGATCATATTACATACTATAGAAGAAGTAACTTACTTAGGTACCTCTATTCCAAAACCGTTTAATAAAACTTCAAACATGAATACATCAAATGCGTTTCACAGTACGGTGTCAACTTTAGCTCAAAGTGTCTCTGTTTATGAATTGTTTCGACCCGGTTTGTGATCTAATGTTATGGGTACAAACTACAATACGATAAGAGTTGTTAAGGGTTGATAAGAGTTGTTTACCTATTAAAATACAATTTACGAAAAGACCTTCAAGACTGATTATAGCTGTAGTTTTAACAATTTGTTTTGTTTAGTTTTCCAAATATTTTTTCTAGAATAGACCTATAATGTTACATACGATTATCTTAAAAATCTGTAGTGGAACTATTTCATTAAGGAAGAACTAAAGTGGAAAATAATTACACTTTGACGGTTGTAAAATTGTAGGTTGCAATGAGTGAGAGTGAATCAATAGTCAACGGGTGTCTAAATTATATTTGCATTATATCGTTGATTACAATATACGGGTACAACAATGGTAACAAATTATTGCAGAAAAACTATCAACCCTCATCGTAACCGCCTTAATAGAAAAAAAACAATATTTAGTACATTATATCATTATTTTGTCATTACGATACTATTATAGATACTGATTTATCATCACATTCAGTCAGCTCGGTCATCCCAAGTCCAGCCCTCATTTTACTGGCTTTTTGCTTTATTAATATAACAAATAACTAAGCCATCTTATCAGACTAATTACGACTACAGTTTTATAACCATGCTGTTTTTCTTCTTTAACAGCGAGTCCACTTTCATAAGTGTCATAATACAAACTCTAAAACAAAATTTAAAAAATAAGTTAAATTTAAACTTTAACCAATTATTGTGGTTGCCAATTATTTTGCATTAGGATTGAAAAGGCCTAAATAAGGAATATACTAGGATCTAAGAAGATAACGTCGATAACTGTTCTAAATGTCAAAGGCTCGGGGATTTATTTGAAATATTAATAATATTAACATTAATGTATGTAAGTAGGTGTTCAAACTTAAATAATATGATATACTAGTCTAAATGAGAATATTATTTGTTGAATAAATATTTAGATACCATTAATTTTCTTTAAAAGCAAGTTGGAAATTGACTACGATCAAACTGTAATTTCCCTCTTTTTAGAGTTTTCATTAATAAAAAAAAAAGTTTAATTACATATTTTTGAGAAAATTGCTTTAATCCCATCTAGATCTACATTCGGTCTAATTTTTAGACCCAAATCCCTAAAATATTGTTTGAAAAAGTGAAATAAAGAAAAAAACTTATCCCTTCTAGGAAAAAGAGTTTATGATTTTTTTTTTTGTTTTTCAACGTTTTCGGTATTTATAAAAAGGTATTAAGAGTATAGTAATTTTAAGTAGAAAAATATGTACATTTATTGGGTTATTTTCTCGATTTTGAAGGGGAAAGGGTGAGTTTTTTTAAAATTTTTGATCCAATAAAGTACCTTTACGCCCACCTAATAAAACATATTCCTTTTTAAGTTATGAAAAACAAGTCAATGGCATCATTCGGGGGCTTAGTCTTCCCGGCCTCTTCTCTCAATCCGTTCCTGTCTACGACCATTTCAACTTTATCAAAATTATGTTCCCTACCTGGCAATCGGATCAGAGCGAGAATGAACATTATGGATAATCGTTGCAGTACGGGAAATACGTAGGTATACATTTTTATTGACATGTCTTTACTTTGGCACACAACCGGTTACCAAAAAACCTAACGGTCCTTATACATATATCCTTATAGATGGAGATCCTGTATTCGTTAAAAAAGTGCATACTACACTTAAACGAATGTAGGTTGACTTTAAACATTTATGAAATTAATACACTACAGAATTCTTTACTTAAATCAATTTATTTTCAAATAAAAATAGTTATTATTTCGTATTCATTAGTGTTTCAATATTATTATTATAAAAAAAAAAAATAACAGTCAGTAATAAATGTAGTGTTCAAAAGTGACGGCAGAGAATGTTTTTACTCTCCGTTTTCAACTGTCATGAATCTAGATGAATGCTATAATACCGGCAATTATGGTTTTGTGGTGGGAACCATAAGTGTCTTGTGCGTGATGATAGGGTTGCGCAGGAAACCGAGGCCGTGGTAGAAATTTTGTATGTTGTCCCGAGTCGTAATTTCGAGTACAGAGGACAAGAATTCGATCAGATTCATTTGATGTTTGAATAAGGGTTTCGAATTCGTGTACATACTTTCGAAGGTTTCTCTGTTCGGCGTGACCTCAACAATGCAAAAATCGTGTAGGAATCCCGACATCGTCTCAGAATAGGCGATAAACGAGGTGTTAAGCGAATCAAATATATTATTCAACAAGTTAGGCGTCATGTCGGTATCCAGTAACGGCTTCATGAGGAAATTGTGGTTCTCATAGATGGCGTCCATGTGCGTTATCAGTATCCACAGGTCGTATTGGAACCTGGACACGGTGATTGCCACGTCCATGTGGTTGACGCACTCGATGGCGCCGAACATGTCTATCAGCATGGGCCGAATGTTGTTGACTCTCTGCACGGTCGCCCAGAAGTAATGCCACTTAAATGCCGCCATCGTTTTTTTCTGCTGCTGCTCCACCAGAATCAGCCGTATCGTTTCCACGGACCACCACACTATCGCGGCGTACTTGCAGCTCAAGACAAGCGACATGATCCTGAGTTTCAGGTGTACGTTGTGCTCGGTCACGGGCAGTTCCGACTGACCATGTCCGTACAGTACTTTGCTGTGAACCACAATATTTGTGCCTGGGTCCTTGACGGCAACGTCTATTATCTTCCAACCTGGATTCATGAGCAACGCATTCATGTTGTTGACGATTTCTTTTCGGTCCATACAGTAAACGGCCGGTGTTGATGTCACGACGGACCAACACGCTAAGCCGACCAGGACAAGCTTTAAAAAACGATACATGTTTGTTTTTTTTTTAATTGAAACAAACGCCTTATTCGGACGTACTTAACTCGCTGATTGACTTTACTCAGGCTTGTTTGTGACACGCGCGTAAAACGCGAATTTGAACTGTGACTAAGAAGAAAACATGTTCGTTTATTCAGCTGTATCGAACGACCATATGTACACGCACGGTCGTGTGTACTTAAACTTCGACGTTCGACTTGTTGTTTTTGTAATTGCGCTTTCTACGGTTTTCGTCAGCTCGTGTAGGTTTTATGTTCAGCTAATTTTACTTGTTATTTCTTTTTAGAAATATGAGAAACGGTCGCAGCTAACTTTTAGCTGCCCTCGCGGATCCCGCTAAACCATATATGCCATTGCTGGTACGTGTGCGGGCGGGCGCTATACAGCGGTCGGCGTGCGGTAATTTATATCTTACGGTAAATCCAGGTATATTGATAAAGTTTAGAACCAATCGCGCGGAACTAGTCTCCTTTTATGGCCCGCGGTATTTCACATGGAAGTCCGAAGTTATAATCCTTTGGAGATTATTTCGACGGCGTAGGTACACACCGTACCGGAACATTATGATAAATTTAGTTTTGCCGGCAGTCAGTATATGTGTGTGTGTGTGTGTGGTAAATCGAACGGATAAACACAAGAAATGAAAAAATTATGACGGTATTACTTTTTCTCAACAGTCGCTGTAGCTGCTGCTGCTGCCGTTGGTGTTGCCGGAAGTCCGATGGTACGCTAGAATCGCTGCAATCGTTTTCCAGTTTTGCGCGGAGGTGGTCCGCCGTGATACCCGTCACAAATGCCCGCCGAAAGGCTGTAGAGTCCGTACTGTACTCTGGGAATCCCTCCGGGAGCGCCGTCACGCGTGTTTGCCCGCTTCAGTGTTGTGCCGCGTGTACCGCGAACTAGTTACCGCTCGTTACCGCGTGGTAACCGGCCGCCACAATTACACGGGTATGAATATCAAATTTTCGTCGTTGAAAAAAATTATCCCTTGTTTGATTTTGCTGTTGCGTTGAAGTTATGAAAAACGACCGTACAATATCCGGATGTTACTGAAATATTAACAAGTAATAAATTATTTTATTATTTTATTTCAATGTTTTTTTTTTTTCATAATCTCGGCCCGTGGGATAATTTGGGTAAAACCCTAATGCCGCAATTGGAATTAAATATTCATACGATTGCGTTACGCGCTAATAACATTATAATCGCCGGGAGGGCCGGCCGGACCGAGTAAAATAATTGCATACGGATTTTATCATTTATAAAGCTTTGTTGGGGAATTGCTATTGCACAAAACTGTTTGTCAATATTTGTTTAAAATGTCCACCATTAGCGCTAACTAATAATTACCTAAATTATCTGGTTAGGCTTAACGAGTTATTAGAGGTCTAAATCCTTAAAATGGCGAATGCTTTCTATAAAAATATGACAATAATGTTGTTCCACGATGTTTTGCATAAAAGGCTATTAAGTAAAAAAATTACGAGAACCACTGGAATAAGCAAATAATGCCTACCCACAAATATTTTCAATAAAAAGCAGAAAATAATGTTAAAAAAAAAAAATTAAAATTTCGGAAACAGCTTAAGCGGCTCATTATTAGCATAATTATTTACTAAAATTCATAAAACGTAAGTAATTTATTTTAAGGAAGCTACAACTATAGGTATAAGAGTTCAGAACAAATTAAATTATTATAACTTTTATGAAAATCTTTTTGTAGAATTAAAATTTCGTTGTTTTTTAATAAATAAATGGTTAACGCTGTCTTGTTTGTGAGAATTTGAGACATAATTTAATTTTTAAGTACGTGACTATTTTTTTTCTTTATAACTCAGAAACTTTACCTTTTTGTATAGTCCGCATAAAGAAAAAGGTATTCAAAAGACAGCGAGTTAGATAATGTATTACAATATCATTATAGTATATTATATATGCGCATTTCCGTCCTTCAAAGAGAAAACGTTTAAAGTGAAGAGACGTAAACTTAACAAGAAAAAAAACTAAAATACAATACTTGAAAAACATTTTCCTATTATTTATGTTATCTGTAAGTTGTCATATTCAACTTTGGTAACTAAATATTGTTAAAGGAATATCTCGCACGCCAAATCGCCATCAAAAAACTTTTAGCAAAAACTGAAGAATATTGTACTTATAATTTATTGGTAAACCGATAATATATAATTTAATGGAACGATTCGTAATATTATGAACTTTTCGACTGTTCCCATTTATATTGTAGAAGATTCATCTATGAAATATATTGTATTAAAAATCGTTTATACATTTATTTTTAATAATAAATTAAAATGACAATGCCTTAATATATAATATTACACAAGTAGCTTTGGCCTAACTTATAGTCCTAGTCCTGAAACTTCAGTAGTTGAGAGCATTTATGAAATCCCTACACCTTCAAGTTCTAATAATTGATTAAATTGTGCATTTTCATCACGTACAAGTGTACAATACATAACACGGTTTCGTTATCGTGAAATAATAATCGCACCCTGAAGGGAAGCGTTTAATGACAATTCAACTATATATTATGTAATCAATGAGTGTGTACCGTTTTTGTCGTTATATTATAAATTATTTCTATAAATACAGTATAATTATTTCTATAATTGTTTAAATCCATTTCATAATGCGACAAATCAATCGAATTTTCATACAATAGTGAACCATAATTACAACTCTGTCCAGAGTTGTTTTTTCTTTTTCAAAAACTAATACTAACATTGTTTTGTATAAAAAAAAGTAATTTGTTGAATTCAAAGTTACCGTAAAATGAATCTTTTTGCATTTCAACTAGTCAATGTCTTGTTTTGAATAAAAACGACCTGCAATCTAAAGTCTGTATTATTTAAAAATACAAGACAAATCAGTGTACGCAAAATAAAGAAATACAATTAAACACATCATTTATAAATAGAGTTGAACTGTTAAATTAATTAACTTTTATATTTAAAGCAATTAAGTATGATTATTTAAACTATATGTATCTTTGATTTTTGTTTAAATACAATAAAAGTATTTGCTCTTAGTTCTTACTGTGTTTTCGGAAAACCTTAAGATTTTAGATATATTTCATTGAGTTGATTTAAACTCAATAAACGCGAGTGCCATAGAAGTAAAATCAATAAAATACAATAACGGAAACGAAATGGATAGAGTTAAGCCAGGGGTTTATACTTTATATAGTGGAATCGTAAGATAAACATTCTAAATCAAACAAATGAAATGTATACTAAGACGGAATATGTACTGTATATAATACATGAACACCAAACAAAATCGTACAATACATAAGTACACTCATATACCGTTAGAGCATAATCAATAAAAATAAATTGAAGACGTACAACGATATTAATCTAAACATTGGATTTAACACAAATGTATACCAGTGTGCTTATTGCTTAAGTTCTGAAGGGTCGTTTTTCTCGCTTTCTACTTCAGAGATACAAACAAATAATATTGATTTTTTACTCAATTTAAAATAATCTATTTGATTGGCATAGGGATCGATTCAGATCCATCCACAGTAAAATTTTGAAACCATGTATTCCTAATAATAATAATTGTCGTCCGCATTTATATTCCAAGCATTTTATATATTATATTTTCTACTAAACATTATGAGAAATTATTTATCAAACCTACTTTTTAAGGTCGAGTTTTCCTATTACGAACTGTTGACCGGCAAAATACATTTTCTCATACTTTTTCGGTGTTTTAACCGGAAAGCTTTAAAATAGTAAAAGTTTTAACCCCCTTCCAAATGGTATTTTAAAAGTTTAAATGTACCAAGTTATAATGATTATGAACTCGACGGAATGGAATGTCAAAAACGCATTAAATCAAAAATGTATCTCGTTTAGTTTTAAAAACGTAATATGAAAAAAACATTTTGGCTAATTGAAGATAAACTCGTGTAATTGTTTTTATTTTTGTTTCAGCAGTCTGGATCGTTACGTTGATGCGATGGTCACAACAGATGTGTGCGAATTCGTCATTAAAACGACGATGCTCGTTACATAACATAATGAATTCATCAGTTTCCACATTAATCTGCATTAATTCAGTTTTCCTCTGAGACTTAGCCAAGAAATAAACACCGATAATGAAAACGTACTCGAGTTTGTGCGCAGTCCTAAGCTTTTGGTACATATTGACATCATACTCCGGGGAAGCCGAGTCTGGAACTTCCATTAAAGGTTAATATTATATCCGAATTGTTGTATATGACATTCAACAATGATAGTTGTCTGCAGTTATAACTGTACTAAACAACGAAAACAAAATCATTTAAGCCGTAATTGATATATATATATATATATATAGTCTTAGGTTAAATCAAATAAATAGTTTTAGATGCTTAAGAACATAATTCGTGGATTATCAAATTCTAGATGTAATTACACACTTATTAGCCGACTAATGCGATTAATGATTAGTTTTACGGTCTATACATACACAAATATTTAGTAAGTTAAACAAAGAACCGTAGTCGAGTGTTCGTGAATTGTAAGGAATATAGATTTTTTTTTTTTTAAGAAATCCCAGTTTGGAATTGAAGTGTCTATGTACAATGTAAATGAAATTTTCTGACAAAAACGAACACTATTCAGTACTCTGAAATTTATAGTAGCGCTATTTCATTTTTAGTGACAATAGTAGTATTTTGATTTTTTTTTTTTTAATATCAACATTTTAGAACTTTTATATTACCATTTTATTAAATTAAAGTATTCGAGTTATTTATTGTGTATACAAAGTTGTACAGTAATACAAGTGTTCTATATTTGTATAACGTAACCCGGTACCGAAAACGTTGACTAAAAACTTATAAATTAAAATTCATAAAAAATATTGTTCCCTTTTCAGACCGTGTTTATGCGAAACGACCTTTTGCTACTGAGGGTTTATTAACTTCCTGGCCATATCGTTAAATTTATGGTTTTATATATACACACACACACACATATAGATTCACATAAACACATTACACACACACACACCCACACACACACATATATATATATGTATGTTGAACGTATTCCGGCTAGATACGGATTTGTAAAAAAAGACCAATAACAATAAACGTACAAAGCCCTTATTTTTTTTTCCTGTTTAAAAACGTTATTTATAACATTTTTATCGGCGGCGTTTTGCTATGAAAGCTCATTAGTTTGTAAAAATAACCACAAGTGTTTAAAATGGTAAAAAAAAAAGTATCTAATCGATTAGGTATTTGGTTTTTCTTAAAACTACATTTTCATGGACGAATAAAAAAAATGCATTTAATCTCCAAAAAAAAACGTTGGGGTAGTTATTGAACGTTTTTCCATTTAATTTAAAATGCATTAAGTTTATTATTTTTTTTACTGGTTTTAAAGTAAAACAATCAATTTTAATAATAAATAACTGAAATCGATAAAATCACTTTTAAACAAACGCTTCAATGCGAATTTGTAGTAGCGTACACCTTAAAATATGAAGCATCGACAAATGCAGTGTAAAGATAAAAAATAATAATGGGCTTAAAATTGTTCATCCTAATAATTTGTTGCTATTGTTTTTTTTTCAGTAACCTTTTCATTGTTAGGTCTTTTCTAGTCTTGAAAGTTTTTTTTACAAATTTCTGAGAAAACTATACTTAGATCTACCTTTAGTATAATATTCAGACCTTACGTCTCAAATGACATAACTTCGCCTAAAATTGAAATAAAGAGAAAGTTTCAGCCTTTCGCGGTTGGGTTCTTGGAAAACGGGTTAATGATATTTTCTTGGAGTTTCACTGTATATCCGTAATACTATATCTGGAGATAAACATATCTCACAGAAGTTTGGAAGTAATTACGCCATTTGTGAACAAAGTTATAGCCTAATGCAATTTTAAGATGAAAAATGTTTATAAAATATTTTAGTGTTTTTCTCGATTAAAAAATAACTTTTAAGAAGTTTTTCAATTTTTGGCTCAACAAAGTGCATTTTAAGTACTTGGATTTCTGATCCATAGACTTGCTACGTGGAGAAGGTTAAGGAGATACTTTAGGTCCAGACACAAAAATAGTAAGACAAAAAAGGGGAAACATTTTTTTTGTAAACAATTTCTCAGTTTCGTATCGAAGCTGAAAAAAAAAATTGTAATAACATCACTTTAATCATATGATCAATAAAAAAATGAATTACTTAAAAAAAAGCATATTTATTAAGAAGCCTAACATTTTCTCAGTAAACCTAATGTACAGTTTTAATGTACAGTTTGTTTATCGTTTGTTTTTGAGTTATTCAAATGTATTATTGGATTACTGGTTAGCAAAAAGTATTTGCTAACAATTTACATATATAATTATTTTTCAATGTAAAATACTAAATAATATAACCATGGGGTTGCCTGACTGTATTTATTTTCAAATATCTACAGTTACATAATATACATTTATATTATTTGAGTTTTTATAATTAAAATTTATAAAATTAAAATAACAGGAAATAACAAGATTGGAGAACTAACTATATTACAATTAAGTGCCATAATTAAATTTAAAAACTTTACTTTACTATTGCGCTGCGCTGCGCTCCGTAACTTATAATAGATTCTTGTTATCTCAAAAGATGAAACGGAATTAAATTAACTCATCATAAGATACCATAAGATGGAAGTAAACGTAAAAGTTCTTCGAAAAAGCGTTAATGTTTCAAAAACATTTTAAGGTCTCTGTCGTTGATAATATATTTAACGCGAAAAACGTACACGAGGCACGAGGTACTGCTGAATAGTACTGAACTTATTCAACTATATTTTAATTGCTTTAACGTACAAAACGTATTAGACCTTGTGATTTTCCATTTGAAATATATATAATGAAAACTGAACGTCATACATCATACACTTCATTGAACATGTCGTATTATTGATGTTTTTTCCCACCCGATGAACAAAGTAGAATATTTTCCGACTTCGGAATTCTAATTTATTAGCATAAAGGCGCAAAAATCGTTTTTACAGTTCACGTAGGAAGCAGACATTCGATTTTAAAATCACGGCACGTTGCATAGGCAAATTTACTACACGGCTGTATTCAATGAGGACGCAATAAAACGTATGTAGTAATCCAGAATGTGCTCAGGTTATTTTCAATAGTCCATCATCGAGTTCGTTTTTTTGGGTTGTACACTATTCGTAAATATTTAATCACGCTCTTTTACATATTTTCTTCATACAGGGCGACTTGGGGAATAAAGACATTTTTTTTTTTTTTAAGAAAACCGGCAAAAGACCATAGTTTAATGTACAAAACTATTGGCTTTAAGCAAAAACCCTTTTTAAATATTATATAATAAGTATATTATTATATTGTATATATATTATTAATAAGTGGTAGTTATTAAAATATTATACTAATAGGGCATTATACCTTATAACCAATACCTACATGTTAATAGGATATTATGTCTATCTAAGATTCGCAGTGCCGCACATATTTTAGCCAATATGGATAACAAATTATTGTTTTACTTAACGATAATAAAATAATACATAACATAAAAAATAATAATTTGTTAGCTTATTTCATATTCTCGCAATAATAACGCTTTCAACATAAATATCGGACAATTTTAGTGTAGTTTTGAGTACAATTTATAACAAAAATATTATGTAAGACGATCGTATTGAAAAATAATCAAATCGGAGCATACGTGGGGGCATTGTTGATGAATCACTCTGTATATTATGATTTATCGATGAGATTTTCAATAAAGTCACCGTATTTTGCACGGTTTTTGTACAGCAACGAACATAGCTTTATTGTTGACTTGGTTATATATTCCAAAGGTGAATCTTTTGTTGAATTATTCATGTTGTGCGCAATCCCTTATCCGAGAATTCATAATTATTGCAGAAAAACTATATATATATATATATATAAATATTGTATGATAATAACGGAATCTGCCATTATCCTACAATGATATTGTTGATTTAGTGTCTGTTTTTATGGTATAAACTGGACTATAATATATTACTACTATAAATCCGGAATTCTCACAATTTAATATCGGTTATGAATAATAATGATTATATATCTGAAGTTTACGCTTGATTTAACGACAACAGTTTTAGTTTTTTTTTATGAATGTGCTAAATAATATTTAGGTGAGGTGCTTATGGAAAGCACGCATAATATTGAATAATTGTATGAAATAAAAACAAAGTAATAACACTTAATTATCACGTGACAACTGTTTTTTTTATTTAGGTTAAAAATTTACAGTTATCGATAAACATTTTGTAAACAAAACAGATTTTTTTTCACACTAGTTTAGATATTTATTTATATATTCATAAATTTAGATTACACGGAGATATCACACTATATTGTAAAAAAACTGAGTAAAATAAAATACATTTTTTTGATAAACATGTCAATTTTTACGTGAAGTATGTTTCTTCAATAAATATATTTTTCTAAGCCGTTTACTAAAGTAGAAAAAAAATCGAAATTGCTTAGCTGATTGAACAGAATGTTAGTGATCAAATCGACTGTGAAATTGGACAACACATATATTACTGTGTGCTTATCCAGTTCACGTCCCCATTTTGTTAAAAAGAAACGAACATTATAGAATAAATATTTAAGATGTTATTATTCATTCTTTAACAATAACATTGTGTAGCACGTAGATTGACATATATGCAATGATTAATGGATTTTTAAAACCTTTAACATTCGAGGCGTTTTATTTTTTGGGAAATTATGTTATATTATATTTAAACATTTTTATAGTTTAAATCGAAAATGTATTGTGTGTATACATAATGTTAATGTATTAACTAGACTCTTTAGTGTAACATTAAATGAAATACTCTTTGTACTGTTTCGATTAATATTTTTTTATAGTAGTAACAGCTCATATCATAATTTACCATAATAAATTCAGTGCATAAAATAATAAGTGTTTATAAACATACCAAATGGGTATTTATTTTCCAAACTTTTTTCAAATCATATTGAGTTGTACATTTTTGGGCGAGTCTGAAGTTTATAAATCTTACTTAAATTTCTAGATGGTAAAAATAATTTTTTAAATATTCAAATATTGCAACTTTTAAAAACTATATACCGTTACTAGTAACTATACATACCAGCTCTCTATTTGAAATATGTTTATTATGTAGGAAAGAAATTTCACTTGATACCATTAAACGCATACAGTTATATTGTAATATATAACTGCTAAGAATGATTCTGAAAAAAGTGTGATAAATCTAAGAGATGGACAAAATGGGAGAACATAAACGTATTCCTGAGTTACCTATTGTGTGTAAAGCCTTAAAATGTCTTGGCATCAAAACGTTTACCGCGTTAAAAAGTATGAATTATTTATAAGTATGTTTTTTTATAACTGCACAAAATAAATACCCAATAATAACAATAATAGAACAATAAAAAAATATATAGATCGAAATTCGATTTCCTGTTTAGATGAAAATATTTGGATGATTTAAAACAACTTAAAGCAAACGACGTGTGAAAGGGTAGGTAAAAATAAAGAGAAAGATAAAACAACATTGCAGCAAAGTAAGATTATACGAACCGAAATATAAAATATAGCTAAAAGTCCGGACGTTGAACTAGCCTCTAGGGTCCAAAAGAATATAAACTTTGTATGTGTTTGCTTAATAAACGAATGTGTGAAACTCCAGAACGTACTTTGTTTGAAAATACGTACCTAGACGTGACTTTCTTTAGTTTGCTCAAATCATGGGAATGACCGTCGTATTGTCTTCGGTAGAAGAATGATATTTTAGTTATCAGATATGGATATTATGCTGATCTTCGCGCTGTTGAAAATTCTTTATCACATTTACTACAATTGACGGTGAATAATGCGTATTATCTTAATATAATGGACTTATCCGGTTGTTGCACTGAGCTCTTCAATTGTTTTTTTTTTTTAAACATTCGGGTGATAAATGTGGTGTTGTAATGTGTTGTGACGTGTGCGCGTGTGTGTATTAACTATTAATTAAAGGGTTGGACTTTTTTGACAAAGACATACAGTGTAGGTTCACAATTTAATAGCGATAGCACCCGGAAACTTTATGGTAGTGTAAAAAAGTGTCATGAATACATTACACGAGTTCGGTATCTACCCGGGAGGTCTACAAACGATCGTATATTATTGTTTATGGCCCATGTAGAACACATATTATTGTTACAACGTGTATTGTAAACAGCACAATGTGAACGTTCTCAACTCTCGGGCCATTATTCACCTCGGCTGATTTGCTACAAGGATTAATAAGTTGTAAATTAATTACTACTTTTCGGGCGGTTCGATGGAGCGAAAAGTTGTGTTTGGGAATGATCCGCGTAATCGTTTGTCAGGATTTAATGTCCTCCGGGCTAGGTTGTCCACTAACGACGCTGCTCTTTGTTGTTTTCCCAGTCATTTACTTTCATTACGTTGAACGAGTGCTAAAAGTCTTACTACGGACGAAACAAAGTGTGTTTCATTAAAATAATAAGTAAATTAAATGCAACAATGAAATTTATCATTTGTCACGTTTCTATAATAATCAATCTTCGGTGAAATAATCGAAAATAAAATATAATTAGTTAATGTTGGAATATACTTGTTTTTAAGAGAAGTTTGTTAATTTAGGTTAATTCAGTGTAAAAATAAAACTTTAGATTCTTGATTTTTTTTTTCACCTTAATATTCCCTCTTGACGTCATAAATCATTAAAAAACTGCAATTAGCTATATTTTGTTATTGTTACATAAAAAGAAGACCAATTATTTTGACATACATATTTAAATAAAAGCTAAAAATGATTTAGAAGTATACATGTTTTAATCCCGACCTTTTGTATGCATCATTCGAAAATATAGTTTATAAATATAAATATAGTTTATAATTATGGGTTTCCATTTAAATCATTAAATAAAAATAATAGTTTCAATAATATTCTACATCCTTATTAAACACATTGAATATTTAAAAATAAATGAATATGACTTTTTCTTTTTCAAGTACCCATACTTCTATACAATTTAGATAAAATACAATTTACATTTTCTGAGATCTCTACATTACATTAATTGGTTTTATTAAAATATTTCTCAGTAAAATGAAATAACTCTACGAGTAAAAACTAAAGCTTGATGACTGAGTCATTCTTTGAACTCGACTCTAACTAGATTTTAATTTAATATTATTAAATTTAATATTATTATGCATAATTTATATGTTTTAACCTTTTCCTCTATCTAAATTTACCCATTGTACATATAGTATAAATTGTAAATATTCTCAATAAACGTTAAAAAAAACCTTTTCCATTCATTTCATCATAAAACAATTGTACTATAATTTTTTAAAAACATGTAACCAGGTTAAAAATATTAACGTATAACAAACAGTTTTGCTGTTTTAATTTAATTAACCCACGTTCCATAGTAACTATATTGGTAATATTTAAAAATATAACTTTCGTTTTTATTCGATTATAATAAAAATTAATTTCTACAACGATTAATTAAACATAAAGAGTAATTTTTTCTAAAAGTTCACTATGTAAAAGTAATAAGTAAATGTATAGGTTACAGCAGTCAACAGGTAGCTGGGTATAATACATAACAGTTTATTTTGATGTTGTGTATTCACCAAAATATATAGGTCCTATCGACCTTTTAAGTTGTTACTATGATATTAACTGAAACCTAAAGCTCCTTCTGTTTAGATATAATGATTCGTTCGCCAATGATGTAATTGAATCACAGAGAACTCACCGCCACGACCACCAAATTACTGCTGGGAAATTGGAACATCCTGTGGGAAGCGTATGCTTCAGTGGTTCTCGTCAACCATAATATATTATGTACATACACTTGATTAATCCAGTTCAATAGTCGCCACAAAAAAAAAACTTAAAAAAATCATTACTCATTAATGTTATAGAATATTCAGAGAAATAAATAAAATGTATTCTTCTAAGAATTATTAGAGATGTATGGAAAGTGGATTTTCGTGTAATCTACATTAACACTTAATCACGATATATTACAACGGGACACCTAAGTATAAGATAATAATAGTATCTTTTTACACATAGAGAGGTTCTGGAATGTGTATATATTTTATATCCTCACAAAGGCCAAGTTGGATGTTGGATGAAGTCAGTGAATGATTAATTTACTTATTCACTATAAATCATACAAAGTCGACATGCCGACAAGAGTGCGGCATGTAAATTTCACCAAATTCGCAGTACAGTATGTTACAAAGTATTTAACATTTTTTCGCCCTATGTAGGCGCATAATGCATATATCACACGACGCTATGCATATCATTAATTCAGCGAACACATATTTTAAGCTGGGAATCCAATTAGCGCGTTTTCACAGGTAATAAATTATGTGTAGCTTTAACAATGCGCGTTTAACATATAGATATAAAAAAAAGGTCAATTTTTTTATTTTAAATTTGTTCGTCTTATTTTCTGGTATTAATTTATTTTTGGTTGATTGTACGTTTTTTTTACTATGCTAGAAATGGTGGCACCAAATTTAAACTTTAATTTTTAAATTATATTCGTTAAATTACATGTTTTACTTTTGCGAAACACAGTTGTTAATTTCAATAATTATGTTACAAAAGTCGTTTGTTTTTTCAGGCAGAGTGGATCACTGCAATAAAACCGTTGATATTTACGAGGATATCATAAGTCCTGAGGTGACACCCTTCAACTTTGGCAAACCTCTCTATTGCTCATACAGATTTCGGTCGTTTAAAGGGACGCCCAAGGACTACATACTCAGGATAAGATTCAAAAAATTTAAATTTGGAGTTTTGGTCAACGGGACATATTGTCAAGGAGGATTTATGCAGGTAAGCTATTTTATACTTTTACTAGATCAAAGAAAAACATGTATTATTTTGTTTTCCTATTTTTTTTTAGTGTACGTTCTGTTATCACTAAAAAACGTAAAAACTTTTTTTTGAAAAAACTTAATTACTTGTCGAAGAATATAATATAAGCGAAATTTCTTGAAACAATAAAAACATTTTTCCATGTAATTTCCGAAAAATCACGAGCATAAGAATGAATGCGTTGTATTGTTTAAACGACTGCTGGGGGAATTAAGACGCAAGCCATAATAATAATTATAGTTTTCAACAAACTCTATTACATTCTGAACGACTCTCTAACACTGCGGATTCTGTTTATTTTCTTTAACGGTTTAATTAAAGTTTAACCTAATAAAAGTGTTTTGGCGTGGTAGTAGAATGATCGTAAAGTGGAATTGGGTCATAAGTCAAGCATCAAAAACAGCTGATAATATCGATGCCAAAGTTCAAAGTTGCAACAAATAGAAAATGTTTTTTTTATGTTAAGACTCTTCTCTGTTCGAGTGGATTTTGCATACTTTAAACACATTTTGTCGCAGAATGTAATATAAACAACAAAAGTCTACAGCGCGTTTTCTGCGAATGTCATAAAATATTTACATTGTATTATGATATAATACAAATTAATGTAAACTCAAGAATAATAGATTGTTATTTACTTTTTTGTTTCGCTGTACAACGTTTGTAGTTAATATTTGCTGTGATTTCTACAGTATTCATTAATATACGGTTTGTAAAAAGTGGTTTCTACTGTGAACAATATATTATAATAGTGCGATTCCACAATGATTAAGCCGCAATTGTGTATAGCATTAAAATTTGGTTGGCCGCAATTTTCCAAGATTATATTTTATTTTTTGACACGTTGAATAGTCGATTAAGAGGAAGTCCTTAAAAATGAACAATTCATAATATTATTGAACGAGTAATTCGTTTATGCGTACATTGTTGTGTATAGAAATAATAGGACAGCAAGAGGGGTGGATCGAGTAAATAAAATATATTATTATGTAGAGACTATAAAATATAATACAAAGTCGGTGTAAAATAAGAATAAAACTGGTATTGACAGAGTTGTGATAATTTAAAAAATGTATAAACTTGCATTTTTCGAGAGATAAAAAAAAACAACGATGAATCATAAATCGAGAAAATAACTAACAAATAATAAAAAAAAAAAAATTAGAAACGAACAAGTTGTGCGCGATATTTGTATAATTTACGATCGACATCATTCGGAATGTAAATCATATTACAGCGTACAAAAATAACAATTCTTTTTTGGATCAAATAATATATATATATGTGTATTATAATAATGCTTCCATGTTTCGTGTATTATTATTATGCAGACGGAGCATTACTAATGGGGTTCGGGGAAGTGTTTCGAGCGATGACAATGCAAAAAAAAAAAAAACCGTTAAAGACAAATAAACCGGTAAAAATCGAAATGGAAAAAACTTTTTTTTTGGATGTTTCATTATCAAGGGGGATAGTCAGTTGTTTTCCTCGAGGCCCAGTCATTGCGCCGCCGGAACGACTTCATTATGAGAATAATTCGACAGGTGATTTTTGCCCAACTTTGTACCTAATGCTCCGGAACGGGTTTTCGAGGGAAACGAAAAAGATTTATAGAAATATATTGTATTTTATAGTGGTGTAATAAAAAACAAAAATGATAAAATCAAAAAGTCCCCCATCTGGCGACACCCCATTTTCATCGGATGCATTATTGTTTCATATTATAATATATATATATATATATATATACACATTATACTTACATTTACATAAATACACGCACAGTGATATTTTGCATTGGTGCGTGGATTGAATGCGAAATTATAAAACGCGCCATAACATCAGCTGCAGGTCAAACGTTATGACTTATATACTTATATATGGCTTGTATATCTGTAACGCTTCTGCTAACCACGTATTGATGTTTTGGCATTATGTAAACCTTCGAAACTCCGGCACCACCTACACTGCAAAATATTATGGAGAAGGCGGGTGTATAGCGGGCTACCTACGAAGGAGTTGAAATATCTTGGAAATAAAAGTCTAAATATTTCGTTGTTAATCGAATTTCATCTATAGCGGGGTAATGCCAGTCTCCGAAAAATACATGCAAAATGATAGAAAATGATACAAATTGTACAAATTATGGTCAAAATAACATATGACCAGTACAAACTTATTGTTCAAAGATATTTATTGTATGTTTTAGTTAGATTAGGCTGTTTTACTCTTATCAGTTTTGGCCGTTATTATCCCTATCACACTTTTTTTTTTAAATACATGTACTTACTTGAAAACTATAATACTCGGGTAGATTAGATTATGAGTATATAACTAAAATTCTAGACAGTTTTAGATATAAATAAAACAGACAATAAAGAAAATATGTAAAATACCTACCTTAAAATTAATTTTGATTAGGAAAAATGTTGCTTATCATTTTGAAACATCTACAGGTTTTTATAGCAAAAGTTATCAAATTACGTGCACATGTAAATTTTAGCTATCATATATTTAATGAGATATGCCACCGACCGTTGTTCCCCATGTTCCCCTACTGAAGAGAAAGGTTTTTTTAAATTTTTTATCTCTTATCAGGACTGAGTTCCTGCTTGCGCGTCAGTAATAGGGTGACCAATTGAACGTCTCCGCCCCGACTCAGTGCGCTAGCTGTTTTTCGTTTTTTGGGGAGGATTGCATGAGGTCTATTTTTAAGGAGGTTTGTATTAACAATATTTAAAAATAAAAGAAGATTTAATCAATTTCGACCGTGTCAATTAATTAACCGGTTAATTGGTATAAGCTTCAAGGTATTGTTTTTAATTTAAATAATTGTTTCTATGAGTAACAGAAATTTTGGTTTATTTTAGACCAAATGCTAGACAAAATTTCGACTACATAGGATGATTCAATTTGAATTCTGTAAAGAGTTTCGAGTTCTTTGGCTAATATAATATGTTGTACAGGAAGATTATCGTTTAAAAATGTCAATTTCTTGTAATTAAATAAACGAAATTTAAAATTTGTTCAATATTAAAACCCAATTTTTTTACACAAAAAAAAAAAGGAAGAAATGAAAAATATTTTTCCTCTGTAACCTAGTAAAGTTGTCAAAGAACTCGTATATCTTAACAGAATTGAAATCGGGCAATCCTAAGTAGTCGACATTTTGTTTGGTTTTTTTTTGGGGTAAAACGACAAAAAAACAGACCGCATGCAATCCCCTTAAATAGTTTTTGAAGAAAAAAAACAGCTCTGGGCAGATTTGTAATTATGGTTCACTATTGTATGAAAATTCGATTGCTTTGTCGCATTATGAAATGTAATTCAACAATTATAGAAATAATTATACAGTATTTAAAGAAATCATTTATAATCAAACGACAAAAACAGTACACTCATTGATTACATATTATACAGTTGAATTGCCATTAAACGCTTCCCTTCAGGGTGCGATTATTATTTCACGATAACGAAACAGTGTTATGTGTTGTACACTTGTACGTGATGAAAATGCACAATTTAATCAATTATTAGAACTTGAAGATGTAGAGATTTCATAAATGCTCTCAACTACTGAAGTTTCAGGACTAGGGCTATAATTGTTCGGGAACGTGTAAGTAGTTAGGCGAAAGCTGCTTGTGCAAAATTATAAATAACAATTTACAATATTAAAAAGACTAGTAAAAATTAGATATTTTTTTACACAATTTTGAATTGCTTACTTTTTTTATTTTAAACTATAATTTGGGCAGTGACAATTTAATTTATCATTAGAAATAAATACATAAACGATTCTTAATATGGTTCATAGATGAATCATCTGCAATATAAATGGGAAAAATCGAAAAAAAAATCATAATATTCCTTAATCGTTCCATTAAAACATCGAAATTTTGTCTGACTTTTTGGTGTAAAACGTCAAAAAAAAATAAAAAACAAACCTCATGCAGCAATCCCCTTAATTCTACTTCCGACAGTCGTCATACTGTCTATTGTTTGGGTAGTTGTAAACAATTTCAGGTTATGAGTAAGGCTAACGGAACTTTTACTCAGTCGTGGGATGTGTGCGTACTTAACGTACTCTGTACAATATGTCTAAATGTGGCGAGGCTAATGAGTATAAAAATTCCTAAAGGTTTTCAGGCGAATAACGACGTCGTCATTGGATAGCACAGCAGGTAAACCGGCAAAGTGGACGAGGGTCTGTGGGACCAGATTAAAGCCCGGACCCTTTTTAGGGACGACGTTAAGCTCGTTGATCTCACATAATATTGTATAAAATGTTTAGCGCAGGGATCCAGGCCAAAACCCATTGCAACGTACCGGATCCCGCCGTGCATGACCCCAAAGCACTTAATTAATTCGGGATCCCCAGAGAACAATGTCATTAAACAAAAACGTTAAAAAAAAAATCATATGGTATACATTATATACGTGTATAGGATATTTTATGGAATCCGCAAACCGGCTATACCGATACAAATTGAATTTACATTATAAATTCTAGTCGTTTATGTTGTGGAAACAAAGCGGCGATATGTACCGCAACTGCACAATTACTAAACTGTCTTTTCCATTTTTATTATTATTATTATATTACTCGATTGCTACAAAGCATAATCAATACAAAAAAAATATAAATTATTAATATATTCCCCGCGCATACCTACCTATTACATTATGTTAATAGTAGCCCGACAGTGGCTTTACCAAACGTTACATTTCATAGTCAAAATAATTTTGTTTTTCTTAGAATGGTGTAACCCCTCTATCTCTGGCCACTTAATTCTATTTGCTATTAAATTTATAACAAATAGAATTAAGTGTAATAGTACGTTTCGTCGCTTAGATAGGTTAATCAGTGTAGTGTTGGTAAGTTACTTACACGGTTTTATAAAACAATATTGGGTATGACAATATAAACTGTACAATAAAATATAAAATTTGTTTTTTTT